CCCCCATCAGAACCCCTAACCCCACCGCCACCGCCACCGCCGCCACCGCCACCACCTCCAAGCCCGCCACCTCCAAGCCCGCCGCCGCCAAGCCCACCACCTCCTAGCCCGCCGCCGCCAAGCCCACCTCCGCCAAGCCCGCCGCCACCTAAACCGCCGCCGCCAAGTCCACCGCCTCCGCTGCCGCCATCTCCCCGGCGACCTCCTTCACCCCCGAAGCCGCCACGTCTGCCCAGGGATCCACCGTCTAGTCCGTTGTTCCCGTCAGCACCCAACCAGCCGCAAAGGCCTGCCAACCCGGCAAGGTCCCCGCCGCCGAAGCCAACCACACTGAGGCCACCTCCACGTCCCCGGTCCGGAAGGGTACGTCTTTTGCCTGATAAGGCCCATCAAGGCTGACACTAACGTCCACCCAACCAATCATCCATCCGTCCTCACCCAGTAGTCCAAACCACGCACCTTCCAGGGTCTAGGAAGGGTAAAGGCGGAGGGAGTGTGTGTCAGTCGGTTTTAGCGCCCGTAGCGAGAGAGACAGGCACAGGACCCAGAAGTCTGAACTGCTATCGATGATATGCTCTCATCCATCATTTCCAGTTACCGTTGAACGCATCAGAGCCGCCGACGTCGGTCTGTTCGGTAGGCACCCATCCATGCATAGCAGCTGCGGCGCTCGTGCTCAGCTCGTGCCCGAAGTACTTTGCGTAGCCGTCCAAAGAGACTATTTGGTCCTCTTGGCACAGTGTATACCACAACTTATTACACCTGCAATGAAAGTACTGCACGATCCGACACGACAGCACTCTGAACAGGCAACGTAAAATATTACGTAAATGGCCATGATGGTGAGTGGGCGCTACCTCCTCACACACAGCATAGCTCATAGTGACATCCTTCTCCTCTCTCCACACAACCGCCTGAAGCACCAGAGAGGAGACTACCACATTGAGCTCTCACATCTGCCGCCTGTGTTCCCTCTGCCGGTCCACTGCCGTACAGGACAAATCGAAAGCCACCACTGGCGGCATTTTGTTCAGCGACGAGTATACCGTAGCCTACAGCTTGGACGGAGAATACCAGTAATATCTTCCCGCCCCTTTATTTCCCTGGTAGCTATGTGTGATCCATACTGGAGCCAACGACGCCCTCCTGGCAGTGTTGATGACCCGCGGGTCACTGTAAGCGGAGGCGGGAATAGAGGCAGAACCGATCGCGGCCCTGTCGGACGCAAACACACGGGATGGGATAAGGCGGCGGCATGTACTGGCTTATGGAAGCTTATGGAAGTCCTGCCAGTTGCGCGGCCTGGACTTCTTGCCAGCGAGTGCATACTGATGCACGCATGCCTCAACTGAAAACTAACAAGACCGTACATGTACTGCGCCCGCTGTCTCAGACGCGCTGTTATGATCTCGTCCGAGCGCTGGTGACGCTCCGAGCATTCATACTGAGCCGGGGGCAGGAGGAAGGGATCTGCAGCTGGCTGTGTCTCAGTGAAAGAGATGGGGGGGAACGGGGTTGTCTGGCCGGTGAAAGGGGTGGGGCCGCCGCCCCCAGTTCGGCCTCAGCCGCCCCAGTAGTGTGTAGGATTGCGCAGTGCGGTGTATTCATACATCTAGAGACGCAGCGTTTCGCAAGTGGGATGTAAATCGGGATTTAACCGCCAGTTAGGCCAGTTAGCTAGTTCAACGATGTCAGTTAGGTTCAATCCAATCGAAGGCATGGGGGGCCCGGTGATACGGGAATCGGACTGCTCCCTGCGGCCTCCCGGTACCCCCGGAGTTTTAACCCACGCCGGACGCTGTCGATGCGTAAGAGCAATAGCAACAGCAGCAGTAGCGATAGCAGTAGCAGCAGTAACAGCTGTGGCAGCAACACCAGTGGAATTGCAGTTTGTGCAAACATCGGAGACCCGCGAGGCGCCCATTCCTCATATGGGACCTAGACATGTAGCTACTGGAATGGGGAGTACCACACTTTTTTAAAGGTAAGAAAGTGCCTTTCCATAATTCCAGTTAGATGGTGATGGTGATGGTGATGGTGTTGCTGGTGGTGGATTTGTTGTTGGTGCTGGTGCTGGTGTTGGTGTTGGTGCCTTCGGTGCGTAGTCCTGGCTGGTCTGCGCCGCACTCACCACGTCAAGAGCGGATAGCTTGTTTTTTTAATTGTTATTTTGCAGCGCACACACCTGATATTCTGGCGTTAGGTAGGGCTGGTCTCCCAAGCTTATTTCTCCTAGGCCTCTTGTCCCGGTTAGTTAATCCTAGGCTATTAATGGTGGTTGTGGTGGTTTTATCGGTTGCCGACGACGCTGGGCTCATCGGTGGGGAGGGGACGGGGAGGGAAGGAAATGTTCGAGTATCGCCGCTCCGCCTGCCCTCCGGACGCCTGTTACTCCTCAGTGCCCCGCTCCTTTCCATCGCGCTCTGAAATCGTCCACGGCGGTGAAGGTGGAGAGTAGCGAAACCAAATTCCTTGTTGGTGTTCCTGGCCGTCCCCTGTGTTGCTAGCTATACACAATCCACATCCTGCTTGCTTGCTCCTAGTGCTCAAAACTCGTCCACGCTCGCTACATGGGCAGCGGGACATACGGCAGGCGTAACGCTTTAGTGAGGAGGTAGAATGTAAACGGACGTGCGGCACGCTGGTTGATCACTGGCTATTTATTAGTCATGATTGTACGCCGTACGCTTGGTGTTACCAATTCGCTGTAAGCTGGTTGATCGGGTCCCCGGGCCCCGTGTCGCTGTGTGCCCCTCTCAACGTGTCTGTTCTGCCAGAGCCTGGAATGCTCTCTTGACGTTGTGGAGGTGCGGGCTTGCTGACACCCAGCACGGGATATGCGTTTGGAAGTCACAGCAGAGGTCATCTTTTCCACCGATTGCGCCGACCTGCTCTAACAGATATATGGCATGATGCTCGTTGGAACCGCCAACATGGCGTCGTAACGTCAGGACGTGTGCCAATCCATCCGTGACCGCTGCACCGCCGGTTTCTTTCGTTCATCCATTCTATTCGTCCAGCCTTTCATTCAAGCGTTGTGGACTTGATGAATGGGTAGCTGCAGCTGCAGCTGCCTGGGAAGGAAGGAACACAACACACAGACGGGCACGCACGGGCACACACATGGGCATGCATGTCCTGTGATGCCGTCCCGTGCCTGTGTTACATATGTCCGATATAATCCAGTATATCTTCCGTACTGGCCCCACTGTGATGCATTTCGCGCATGCACACATACATACATATACATAAAAACACGCATACTTGAACACACGCACACGCAATACACACGGCATATTTGCCCCCATCCGAAACTGTCAACCCAACCGACTGATCAACACCACAATTACCTTCACAACAGCAGCCGAAATGAAAGACCAACTCCGAGCCGTAACGCAACACCTGCCGCGACTGCCGTCCCCCAATCCTCCTATCTCTCTGTCGTCAGCCCTCTCTTACGACGTACATACATACACACATACACTTACAGGCAGTGGAAAAGCAAGTCCACTGCACAACACCCGCTTCCCTCACAACAGCACACCGGAAGAAAAGCACATATAAACACTTGCATACATACGTACACACATACACACAGCCCTAAAGCTCCGAGCCCGCAACCGAACTTAAAGGCGCATGTACACGCTCGCACACTCAAAAGCATGAACCCACAAACAAGGCGTAAAACAAGAACCAAGCAAGGAGATCGACGTCACCCTCGGCCCCCAGCTCCAATCCCAATCCCGATCAGCCAGGCGGCCCTATGAGCCTGTTCCAGCTCTCCCGCCCTCTCTCCCTCCCCCCTCCCTATTCAGCGCCGTCATGCCGACGCCGCCGACTTGGCGCAGAAGTGGTTGAGCGTCTCATCCAGCTTGGCCGGGTCGAAGTCCCCGGTCACCACACAGTTGCCCAGGGCCCCGCGGAGCAGGATGAGCCTCAGCTTGCCCGCCAGGACCTGGAGCGGGGGGAGGGGGAGGGGGAGGAGGAAGGGGGGAGGGGGCGGACCATTTCCTGCTGCTGCTACTACTGCTGCCACTGATGATGATGATGGTGATGGTGCCGCTGTCTATATGTCCAAATGTCCGACCCCGAAGTCCTCTTCCGTAGAGGAGAAGGGGCGGATGGAGGAGGATTGCGTAGGAAGGGAACGCTTTCACGACTCGAGAGAACCCCCCCCCGGAAACTTGGAGCCAACTATAAGGAAACGCCGGAGGCTGGGGCCCACCCCTGAACTCTCTCTCATCCCTCCAGCCGGCCTCCTGTCCCCCCCCCACAAACACACACACACACACGCACGCACACCTTCTTATCCACCGCCATGAGCGACCTGAACTGATCCGCCGTCATGGAGGCGGGCGGCAGGGTGGGCAACCGGGCCCGGGTCAGCAGAGACACGATGCGGTCGTACAACGACTTGTCAATCCAGCCCTGCAAGGCAAGGTGGGAGAAGGAAGAGGCGGAGTTACCGCACAAGGGCGGTGCAGAAGGGAGCGGGAGTGGGTTTTCTCGCAGTAAGGGGGTGATGCGTCGTTGGTTCATAAACTTAACAAACAAATTCGCGGGGGTAAAACCGTGGGGCGCTCTTCACTCAACCCACCAGCAACATCAAGTGATAAAATGTTCATTCGTTTGGTGGTCCAGGTACAAGTACATGTACGGCGGGAAAACACAGCGGCCGCATGACTGCACATGTACCGGCCTCGACGGGGACGTGTGCGCGCTAGCTCCCGGCTCAACCCCGACGCAGACCTCTTCTCCCAACCCAGGTCACATCACCACCACCCAGCCTCACCAGCCTGTACGACAGGTCTGCCGCCATGACCGTGCCCGCCGCCACCGCCTCCCCGTGCAGCCACACGCCGTACCCCGTACCGGTCTCGATGGCGTGGCCGAATGTGTGTCCCAGGTTGAGTGTGGCTCTCACCCCCTCGGAGGACTCCCTCTCGTCAGCGGCCACCACCTCGGCCTGGGCCCGGTAGATCCCGGTGGGGAGCAGAGGGGTTGTGTGTATGTGTGTGGCGGAGGGTGTAGCGGGGGTGGGGTGGGTGTGGGGGGGGGAATGTTATATGAGAGGGAGATGATGGTGCAGATGCCCGAGATACAGCTGCTGATGACGTCCGAAGCAGCAAGCTGCCGGAGTGGTGTTTCCAAGTAATGAGAGAAGTGGGGAACCGAGGGCGGGTGCGGCTCCACGTGTGTGTGTGTGTGGGGGGGGGGGTATATATTTGCCGAGTCAAGGAGAGGAGAGGAGAGGGGAAACGAGGGGGAAGTGAAGGGGCCGGGAGTGTCGGGCCGTGTTAGGGAGTAGTAGTAGTAGCCGTTAGGTGCCCCTAAGGGTCGGGCGGGGCCCCCTCTCCTCTCCTTTTCCCCCCCCCCTACCCTACCCGCCACTCCTCCCCACCTTGTTAATACAGGACCTCTCCACGGCGTACGCAATGGCCCCCGGGTCCCGCTCCAACAGCCGCTCCATGTTGGCCTCCAGCCACTCGAAGAAGGGGGCGTCACTGGAGGGGGGGCCGGTAGTCAGATGGCAAGACCGGTAACGGGGTGTGGGGGAGAGACAGTTCGGTGAAGGGTGGGGTGGGAGTGGTGGTGGCGAATGGTGAGACGCCCTCCCTCTTCCGCGGTCGTCATCACTACATCATCCCGAGGTCGCCATCGTTCAATAACGCCTACTGGTCACAGTTCTGCTTCCTGTACATTCTTTCCTTGGCAGCAGCTTAACTCGTTCATGGTTCGTCTTTCCCCCTTCCCCCTCCCCCTCCCCCTCCCCCTCCCCCCCATTAGCAGTTCGTCCTTCCTTCCCTCCGCCCCCCGTCCCCCCTCTCCCCTCCCCCCTAACCCCCCCGTGGGCCCCTCTCACCGTATGAGTCCGTACTTGACCACCTCGCTGATCCCCGAGGCCAGCTCCCTGTCCGGCAGTGAGGCCAGGGTGTCCGTGTCCACCAGCACCACCCGCGGCTGGTAGAAGGCCCCGATCATGTTCTTCCCCAGCGGGTGGTTCACCCCGGTCTTACCCCCCACACTGCTGTCCACCTGGGACATAACGGTGGTGGGGACCTGAAGGAGGTAAGGGGGGGAGGGGGGGGCGACAGGAAGGGGGTGTGTGAAGGTAAGGGGGACAAGTTTATAACGAGGGTGAGGGGAAAGGTAGCCAGGACACGGTTCTTAAACTGCAGCGGAGCTGAAGGAGCTGAAGGAGCTGAAGGCAAAGCTTCGTGGACTGCGTGGCTGGGGTCTTTGCCATGCAAGCACACACATACACACATGCACTGCATCATCGCTTTAATGCCTCATGAAAACCAAGCGCACAAACCCCCAAACACAGCCTCCGTCTCACCCCGTCCCCGCTACCCGTCGGGAAAGAGGGCCCCCCCCTCCCCGCACTTCCCACCTCCTGCCCCTTTCCCCCCCATCCCTTGCACCACAAGCCCCCACTTCCCTCCACGGGGCCGCATGTGATGTGCACAACCCCACCCACCCACCCACCCATTCCAGCCACGCACCTGCACAAAGTGCACCCCCCGCTGGTAGCACGCCGCCGCGAACCCGGTCATGTCGCCCACCACCCCACCCCCCAGAGCCAGGAAGGTGGTTCCCCGGTCCATGCGGCACTCCAGGGCCTTATCCCAAACCTGAACAGTAAAGCAACACCATCGTGACCCCCGGACCATCAGGGTACGGGTGACGTGTGTGTATGACGCATGTACGTATGAATGTATGTGCGTACATCAGGCCAGACTGGAAGCGGCAGGAAGTAGCAGCAATCCTTCAGGACGAATTCAAAGCTGAAGGGCTAGTGGCGCGGGAGGTGGTCCGCAGCAGGCAGCAGCTGGTAAGCAGGCGGGTACGGGCCGGCGGAACCGCTGACGGGAGGAGGGCGGTTTGGAGCGGCGGACCGCAGCGCACAATGCAACATGCGCGGTACGCAACATCGCCCCTCCCACCCCCCTATTATCTCATGCATCGGCCCCCGAAGTGTAACTCGATCCGTCCGTCTTTCTTTCAGCCTTACCTTCTCCAGCACCTCCAGGCTCTTGTATTCCTCCCCATCTGGCAGGATGACGTCATCCACTTGCAGCTGGCCGCCCTCCAAAAGGGCCTTACGGCACCTGCGTACGAGTGTGTTCGCGCATCAGCCGGCCGCGCATCAAGACAAGCCGTCGTCGGCATATGCTGAGACGGTACCGAGGAGCGGGTGCTGCTGGTTTGGTGGGTGGAAAGGGCTGCTGCTGCTGCTGTTGTTGTTGTTGTTATTGTTGGTGGTGACCCCACGAGGAGTAAATCCCCCTCCGCCCGATATGGCGCATCCCCACCCTTTAGATCTGGGTCAGTGGCATTCCCGGACATTTTAAAGGATGTCCGGGTTTAGAAGCCTTATTTTCAATAAAGTGATAAAGATGACTAAAGTCATACGCCCCCGAAATAGTCTCTTTGCGATGGGCGCCAAGGGCACAAGGCGAGGCACTGGGCGGAAGCGAACGTGTGCTGGGGGGGAACCCTTGTCTGGAGGAGGGCAACATCCACTTAAAGGACTCCGGACTGCAGCCCCCTGCGATGATTCTTTCACCTAGCTGCTCACCGCTCCAGATAAAGCGGAGCGATTGTCTCGTTCGTGACGATCAGCACGCGCTTGCCAGGAATGTGCTTCCGTAGCAGCTCCCCATGGTTGAGTAGACCCGCCCCGATGTAAATTGGGTAGGAACGATCGCCCAGATCCACATGTACTGTCTTCATAGAGGCTGAAGCGCGCTCTGGAGCAGCCACAGCATGCATCGCGAAGCGACGACTGCCTGTGGAGTCCATGCACTGCTGCTCGCGCAGCCTCTGCACCATGCGCCGGTTGACGCCGGCACAAACAGTTGACCTCCGGAAAGAGGTCGAGGAGCACTCGCTGGTGCTAGAGCTGGGAGCGCTGCTGAGAGCACCGTGCGCAGGTGCAGCATCTGCGACAGCGTGGACGCGCGGCGCTTTGACAGCTGCACGCGCCGAATAGGATCCGCTTTTCACGTGTGGCCTATAGTGTAGTGACGTGTTCGGCATCGTGGCAGGTTTCCCAGCAAAACAAGAGACCCGAGGGAACAATTGCAAGGACGCCCTCGTATTAGTAGGTATGTAAGAAGGGCGGCAGATTAGCAAGTCTGCCTCTTACCCTTCCAAAACTGCAATAATTTTGCAGTTCAGCCTGAATTGACCAGTAAATTTTACGATTGCTCGTCCAACTGGAAATGAAGCTGTGAACGTTTTCAAGCTGCTGCCCAATTTGGGCCTGCTGCGTACACATACGTGATCGTGTGTACACAGTGCTTTTGCACAGCTTTAAGGGCGTCACCTCTTGCCCAACCAAACCAGAGGCTAGAACCACAAGTACCTCTGTTTGGATGGCCCCGACGGCCCTGAAGGCCCCTAAGGCCTCTATTGGTTGCAGTGGTCAGTCGCCTGCCACCCATTTTGCGCCGATGGCGTGCGGAGGCCTTCGTCGTGCACTTCCGCTCCTTCGGCAATGCACAGGTGCGCATGCAGTACGCGCCGCTGGTTCCCACATTATCCAACTCGTTAAACCGCCTAACCAACAATAGCTCCACTTGTCATTTCTTCCGCCTGGCTTGTGGGGACAGGTCGCCCTGCAATCGTGGCTGCCGGGCCATTCTACGCACGGGGAACACATCTCACCACTTTAGTTACACCCAGTGCGACAGGTGCGCGCATGTGCTATGTTGACGAATGCACGCGTTCCATGTACAAATAGTCAGTGGGTGACAGCCGTAAAGTAGCGTCCTCCGCCCTTCTGGGAAGCAAGGCGGACGAGGGAAGGAGGGCGGCACCTGTTACTGGGTAACAGATTGCGCCCTGCTCCTTGACTGCAACCCACCGCAACCCCCCTCTCCCATCTTCCCAAAGGATCCGCCTCCGTGACCACCGCCCCGGCCGCTCCGGCACCCACCTCCTCAGCTTCCCAGGCGCCGGGACCACTTAAGAAGATGGTACGGGGGGAGAGAGGGTTTTTGGGGGAGGGAAGGCGAGGGAAGGGGAGGGGAGGGAACGGGAAAAGGGCAGTGTATGTATGTATGTATGTGTGGAATGGCGCTTCCATGGAATGGCGGTGCCGTGTGACGGACATCGCCCAGGTCAGGAGGTGGTGTCAGGCCGCACCGTTGGGCCACTGCCCTGTGTGTTTTATGGGTGGGGGGAGGGGGAAGGGAGGGGGGCAGTCGGAAAAAGTAATCCCCTTCTCCAACACACGTCCACACGCCCTGCGTTTGAATTACCGCTCCCCGCCATACCATTTTCCCGTTCCCCCTCTACAAAATTGAAATCCAAATCCTAACAGAGCGGTGCCGAGATCCGCGAGGCCTTTTTGTCGTTTTTCGAGTCCAAGGGTCACACCCGCCTTCCCTCGTCGTCCCTGGTTCCGGAGGACCCCACCGTACTGCTCACCATCGCGGGCATGTTGCAATTCAAACCCGTGTTCCTCGGACAGGTGAGCGGGGCGGGTGGGGGGGCTGGGCGAGGTGGGGGGAGAGGCGGGATTTGCTTGCAAAACAAGGGGCAAGAAGGGGGGGGGGGAGAAAGGGAGGGCGGCGCAAGGCTGTGACAGGGAAGAGATTTAACGCGCGGGGAGTGGAGAGGTGGGGGGAGGAGGAGGAGGAGGTCACCTGCCTGCCTGCCGGTGATGACGACGTCCTTCCAAAGCGCCACCAACTGCCGCAGGAATCCTGAAAACGAAAATGGTGCAACAACCCCGGTGTGTGTGTGTGTGGGGGGGGGAGGCGGTGTGTGTGTGTGTGTGTGTGTGTGTGTGTGTGTGTGTGTGTGTGTGTGTGTGTGTGTGTGTGTGTGTGTGTGTGTGTGTGTGTGCCGGCCCCTGCCGGTCGCCTCGTGCGGTAGCGGCCGCTTACAGATAGTGAATTTCTTTTCCGCCGCTGTCCTGGTCGCCCCTCCCCCTCCTCCTCTCTCCCTCGCTTTCCCCCCACCCCCACCCCACCCCACCCCGGCACACATACACACACACCCTTCAGGCCCCCCGCAAGGTCCCCACCGCCACCACCACCCAAAAGTGTGTCCGTACTAACGACATCGGCAATGTGGGGGTCACCGCGCGCCACCACACCTTTTTCGAGATGTTGGGCAACTTCTCGTTCGGGGACTACTTCAAGGAGCAGGTGGGGGGAAGGGAGGGGGGCATACATACATGCAGGTAAACACACATCACCCATACACATGCACGCCGCCCTGCACGACACTTCACGGCGGCAATCCGCCGCCAAATCCAGCAGCCGCTTTCAGCTCTGTATGGTGCGGATCCGGCTTTGATTTGAATTTCACTGTGGGCGAATTTCCCGCCAATGGCAATACAGCCTGGATCAATCCCTCTCTACATACATACATACATACATACATAGATAAATACATGCATACATACGCGCAGACACGCACTCCACTCACCTCGTCGCAGCGCATCTTACCCTCAAGAACAATCCCTTTCCCCCGCTCTCCCCCTTCTCCGGCCTATCTTCCTCACTCATCTCTTCCCACCCACCCACCCGCACACTGTAACACCCCCCCCCACACACACACACAGGCCATCCGCTGGGCCTGGGAGCTGAGCACGGGTGTGTTTGGTCTCCCCCCGGAGCGGGTGTGGGTGAGTGTGTTCGAGGAGGACGGCGAGGCGGAGGCCATCTGGCGGGACGTGGTGGGGGTGCCCCCGGAGAGGATCAAGAGGATGGGGGCGGCGGATAACTTCTGGTCGAGCGGACCCACGGGTCCGTGTGGGCCCTGCTCGGAGCTGTACTACGACTTCCACCCGGAGAGGGGCACGGAGGTGCGAGGACGCGAGGGGGGGAAACGGGGGAAGGGGGGGAAGGGCTTGGCGACTGAGGTATGGGTGTGTGGGGTTGGGGTGGAGGGGGGGGTGGAGGGGAGGGGAGGGGAGGGGAGGGGAGGGAAAAACACATGGGAACCACAGCCCAAGAATGTATGTAGTCATTTGAAGAAGGGTGCTGTCCGGTGTGGGGGTTGGGGAAGGCGCGCTTATGCTAGTTACAAAAACTGTGTACGTGCGTATGTATGTATGCATGTACATCCGTGGCTACGTGTACAGAGCTGTGTGTTTTCTTCCGCAGGGTGGTGCCCACGCTGCAGCAACGCCCGTTCTGATGTTAGCGCTCTCAGTGGCTGCGTCTCCTTACTCTCCTGTCTCGCTCTCCCCCCCAGAGCTATTTCCATGATGTATCTCTTCCGCTCCTACCACAAGCCTGTTGCGCTCTGTAACCGCCCCATCCCTCGCCCCTTTTTCCCCCTCCCCTCAACTCCTTCCCCTCAACTCCTTATATCGCTGCGTCAGGGCGCCTCCCTGGAGGATGACACGCGGTTCATTGAGTTTTACAACTTGGTGTTTATGCAGCTGAACAGGTGGGGTGTGAGGGGGGGGGGGAGGAGGGGGAGAGGAGGGGGTACAAACCCTCAGGTCCTGAAGGACCCCCAGAGGGAGCAGCGGCAGACACGCAGGGGGGGCCTGTCTTCCCCGCCATTCCTGCCTCTCAAGTCTCCCAACCGGGCCTAACAGTACGGCATGTGTTTCATCCGGCGCACCTGTCACCCCGCCAACCTCCGGGCCTCTCCCTTCTGAGTGTATCGCCGTACGTGTCGGGAGGAGCAGTGGAGCCGTTTGAACCCACCGCCGCCTCAATCCCTCCCCCCCTGACCCCCTCGCCCCCTCGCCCCCTCACCCTCACCCCCCAGGAAGCCCGACGGCTCCCTGGAGCCCCTGGCCGCCAAAAACATCGACACGGGTATGGGGCTGGAGCGCATGGCGCAAATATTGCAGGTGTGGGTGGGTGTGTGGGTGCAGGGTGGGAGGCATACGTGGGAAAGTGGGCGGGGTGGGGGGAGGAGGGGCCCAGGAAGGGGTGCATGTGTATGGTGGAAGTTGGTCGCGGGGGAAACGTGTCAGCTGTTACTGTGTTTTTGGGGGCGAGGCCCCGGGCGCCTTTCGGGGACCCCGAGGCCCCCGGGGTTCACTGCTGTCAGTCAATCTGTCAGTCAGTCTGTCATCGTCGTGTCTCATCATCAACTTGTATGCCACATTGGACTGAGAATTGCATTGAAAAGCTAATGCTACGATTCTCTATCGACTTACCGCGGCGGCTACCGAGGCGGATAGGAAAGCGAGACAGTGTAACGGTGCATACTCATTACAACCGGTCGGTAAGGTAACCGACACATATATACATACATACATACATACATACATACATACATACATACATACATACATACATACATACATGCAGGGCGTTCCCAACAACTACGAGACCGACCTAATCTTCCCCATCGTACAAAAAGCGGCTGAGATAGCGGCGGTGGACTACCACTCGGCATCACCCGCGGTCAAGACGGCGCTGAAGGTGCGGGGTAAGGGGAGGGGAGGGGAGGGGGTTGGGAAGGGATAAGAGCTTGGGGGCCTGGGACTGGGGTTGTAACAAGCGACGTGATAACAGCGGGCTATCATGCAAAGTGAGACGACCTGATCGGAGGGGGAGGGTTCAGGAGGGGGAGGAGAGGGGGAGGAGGGGAGGGAGGGGGCGCCCGTCGCAACACCACGGAGGACTTCCCACCGTTCTGTCCCCCCCCCCTTCCTCAACCGCCTCCTTCATACCCTCCACCCACTCCCCCATGCCCCCTGCTTGCCCCCTAACGGCCAGCTGCATCATGGCGGGGAACTGCCAACAGCCGTTTGCGACTTTGGACGTCCGTCAGGGCACTTAGCGCCTGAACCTTCGCGCTTCATGAATTTCCTCATACCCCCCTTCCCCCCTCCCCCCCTTCCTCGCCCCCACCCCCGGGCCCCCTCAGGTTATCGGTGACCACACTCGCGCGGTGACGTACATGTTGAGTGACGGAGTGACCCCCTCCAACACGGGCCGGGGCTACGTGCTGAGGCGGCTGCTGAGGAGGGTGGTCATGAAGGTGGGGGGACAAGAGGGCGGGCCCCCAACACACACACACACACACACAACCTTCCCCCCCCTGTCCTTGACGTGAACAAGTCCATCAGGGGCTTGTTCCCCGCACCCCGTGCAGTGTCCTGAGGCTCCTGACCTCCGCTCTCTCCCCATCTCCTCGATTTCTCATCCACCTCCCCATCCCGGGCTTCTACACATACATACACATACATACACACGCACGTTGCCCTTTGTTCACGAGTCAGAAGTCATCCATCCCGCACGCGCTCACGGGAAGGGCTTCTTACGTGCGCCGGCGGGGGGCCCGCACCCACCTTGCTTACCGTCATCGCCACGCATGTGTGATTGAAGCTGGGGGCCCCCTCCTGCCCGGCCCCCTCCGGCTAGTGACGACTGGACGACAAGTCCGGCTAAAGCAGGACTCACCACCCATACATATCGCGGACCGCCGACATAAGTGCATCACGAAGAAGCAGCTGGAAAAGGAATTGACATGTTTGCCTCTTACGTAGTTGAAGCCAGGGAGGGAAGAGAGTTCCTTAGTTGGGACGAAACGTTTCTTGCAGCGTAGCCTCTAGTAGCCTGCAGTAGTAGTAGTAGTTATAGCACCCATCGACTCCCCACCACCACCACCACCACCCAGTAGTGGTCCATGTCGCCACCACTACACAGCGCCTCTGGCTGTTGTTATTCCCACTCGCTCGCCCGGGCACCTCTTCCCCCCTTTATCAACGTCTTCAAACAACCCATCCCGGCTATTATTTCTACGGCGACTTCTTTCCTGGTGGACTCCGACTTGGCTTTGATGAAGTCTTGCATGTCCTGTGGCCGCCTCCCGCAACCTGTATGTATGCATGTATGTATGTATGTATGTATGTGTGTATGTATGTTGTATGTATGTACTTCCCGCGGCTCACTTACGTTAGCGCATACACGCACGCATTACCCCCCCCCCCGGTCCGTCCCCCTCCCCCCCCCGCGTGCCGTCAGGGTCGTTTGTTGGGTATTCGGGAGGTGTTCACTCCGGCCGTGGCGGCAGTAGCAGTGGGGCTATCTGGGCCTTGCGACCCTGCCGTACAGAAGAATGCACAGAGGATATATGATGAACTGGCGCGGTGAGGGGAGGGGGGAATGCTGGGGGGTTTGGAGGGCGTGAAGGAACCCCGCATGTTTTAAAGCCCAGGTGGATGCGATTGAGTTTGTTTGTTTGTTTGTTTGTTTGGAAATTGAGTCGCATAAAGAATAATATCAGGCAGGCCTTGTTGTGCTGGGCATTGTGTATTATGGTGTTTCTTGCCAAGTTTGCAATTGGGCGACGCTTTCCCCCCCCCCAAAACCATCATGCGCTTCCTTCCCTCCTCCCCGCCTCCCCTCTCCCCGTCCCCGTCCCCCCGCCCTTTCCGCAGCGAGGAGGGTCTTTTCGTGGCCACCCTGGAGCGAGGTCAGAAGCAGTTGGACGAGCTACTGTCAGCGGCAACCGCCTCAACCGGCAGCCGGGTTATTGGCGGTGCCGACGCGTTCATGTTGTACGACACATTTGGGTTCCCCCTGGAGCTTACCCAGGAGCTGGCGGAGGCACGGGGGGTGGAGGTGGACGTGGCGGGGTTTGACGGGGAGATGGAGGCGCAGAGGCAGAGGTCGAAGGAATCCAGGTAAGGTGCTTGCCAGGTGGTTGGTCTGGCTTGTGTGTGTGTTGTGTGTGTGTGTGTGTATGGGAGTCGGACGGGGGGAAGGGGGAGGAGCACCGGAAGAAGACCGGCCGGAGGTTGATTGGGATGTCCAATGGCAGTGATTGGGATTTGAAGGGGGGAAGGGGGGGGAGGGGAATGGAAAAAGGGTGTGGGTTGGGGCCCGCAGCTTTGGAAACCCAAAGGTAAGGACAGACTGCTGCCAGCAGCAGCACCTGCAGCATGGGGTGGTGGTGATGTCTCCCAATGGTGGTGGTTGTTTTGTAAATGTGTATCATGCGCTTCTGTCCCGCCCCAACCACCCAGCCCTCGCGTACGGATGTGTCGTACAGGGAGACAGTGGACCTGACAGCGCAGGCGGGCCTAGCCCAGCTGGCGGCGCAGGTGAGGCTGCCTGTGTGACGTGTGCGTGTGTGTGTTTTGTTAGTAGGGGGGGGGTAGATGTGATCGTAATGTACAGCGGTACGTGGGAGGCAAAAGCTGCGTTGCCCCTGTTTGCCCTTTTGTGGATGATCCCCATGTGAAGTGGGCGACCTTGTTCTCTGTGCGTGCCAAGTACGTGTGTATTGTCAGGGTTTCGTTTGCACCCCAGCACTCGTCCCCCTCCTTCCCATCCCCCTCCTTCCCATCCCCCTCCTCCTCCTTGTCGTACAGACACACTCCCGGAGTTGGCTCCCTCCGGGGGTCCGTATTCCCATCCGCACGCAACGCATGCGTGTGTGTATGACCGTACAAAACCCCCAACAATACACACACACACACGCAAACCCCTTTCCCCCCACATACATACACAACCGTCAAACACTCACATACACGCACCCGCCCGCCCCACCGCACCAGGTGGGCCCCACCTCCTTCACGGGCTACTCCGCTACCCGGGGTTGCGGTCGGGTGGTGGGCCTTATGCGCGAGGGGAAACCCGTGGAACGTGTGCACGCGGGTGAGCCGGGTGGGGGGGAGGGGGGGGAGAGGGAGGGGGAGAGGTGTAGGTTGTTGGGAGGTGGGGCCCAGGGCGGGCGAGTGATCGGGCCGGGGGGAGGGGAGAGGTGGAGGGGCGGGGGTTTGATCTGGTGTTGACGGTGACGTGTGTCATCAAGATGCTGCTCGCATACTCCTACACGTGATCCGGTGCGCTCGGGGGCTCTTGTCAGTGATTTTCCCTTCCCCTCTTTCCCCACCACACAACCCCGGAAAGAAGCAGCCACGTCAGCGTGTCCTCCGCCGCCGCCGCCGCCTCCTCCGCCTCCTGCTTCTTTCCTCCCCTAATCCAATACAGGCGACCGCTGTGAGGTGCTGCTGGACGTGACTCCCTTCTACGCGGAGAGCGGGGGTCAGGTGGGGGACATGGGCCGGCTGGTGCTGCCGGCGGCGGCGGGAGAGGCGGAGGTGGCGGCGGAGGTGGCGGTACGGGACTGCCAGAAGGCCGCCGGCGGCTCCGTGTTCGTACACTCGTGCGAGGTGGTGGCGGGGGAGCTCGGCGTGGGCGACGCGGTGAGTGACGGACATACGCATTCCTGCATGCACACACATACACAGGCACAGGCGCAGGCACGGTCCTATTTTTACGTTTCCTCCTCCCCCCCGCAAACCCGCTGTCACCCCCCACTTCCCCTCAATCCCCCCTTCACTCACCCCCTCACCCCCCACCCTCGAAACCCGCCCCAGGTAAACGCGCTGGTGGATGATGACCTCCGTCGCCGTGTACGAGCTCACCACACCGCCACACACCTCCTGCAGAGCGCTCTGAAGATAGTGCTGGGCCCGGACACCTGCCAGCAGGGCTCCCTCGTGAACTTCCAGAGGCTCAGGTGGGCGGGAAAAGGGGGGGAAAGGGGGGGGGGCCAGGCTTACGGCGGTGATGAGTGCGGTGGGGGGCTGGGTCCGTGCGCCGATGATGAACTTTGGACGTGGACGACAAAACCCGCACGCGAACTCCCCCGCCCTTCCCACCTCTCTTCCTTACCCCTCAGTGTCAACATCCTCCCCCTTTTCCCCCCGCCGGCTCCACTTCCTCGACATTTACGTTTTCTGCGCCCAGCTTCACCCGTACTTGTACGGCTGATTCGTACTGCCTTATTGATGTCTTCTTTCCCCCCATCCCCCTAACCAGACCCTCCAAACCTCTTCACTTGCATCTATAGTCCCAACCCCCCAACCCCCACACCGCAACCCCCCTACACCGCACCCTACACACACACACACACTCAAACCAACCCCCAAACCCCCCAAAACCCCCCAAACCCCACCCACCCCCCTTCCACACACACCCGTCAGGTTCGACTTCAACTTGGCCCGCGCCATGAGCCCCTCCGAGCTGACCGAGGTGGAGCGGCTGGTGAACTGCTGGGTGGCGCAGGCGGCCCCCCTGGAGACCAGGGTCATGGGGCTGCAGGAGGCCAAGGCGGCGGGAGCTACAGCCATGTTCGGGGAGAAGTACGACGATGTCGTACGTGTCGTGGACGTGCCGGGTATTTCCATGGAGCTGTGTGGGGGCACCCATGTGGGGAATACGGCGGAGATCGGGGCGTTCAAGGTGGGCCTGGATTCGTTTGTGAAAAGGGGGAATGGGGGTTGGGAGGGAGGGAGGTAAGGGAGTGTGGGGGGGATGGCGGGGGAGAAAAATATTTGTGTGGTAGGAAGGGGCCGAATGAGATGGTGGCGGCTTTGGGATTTTTGTCCTGTTTTTGAGTCCGGTTCTCGACCTTCCCCTTCCCTCCCTTCCCCGCCCCCTTCAGATCCTGTCGGAGAGCGGTATCGCCAGCGGCATCCGGCGTGTGGAAGCTGTGGCGGGTACGGCAGCCGTGGAGTACCTTCATACTGTGGACGGGCTGGTTCGGGGTCTGGCGGGGCAGTTGAAGGTGAAGCTGGAGGAGGTGCCCAGCAGGGTGGCGGCTTTGCAGGTGGGGGGGAAGGGGGGAAAGGGGGGGGGGGAAACGTGGATGGGGGGAGGCGGAAGCGTCTTGATGGTGGGACGGAGGTTCTCCTGTCTCATCCCACACAAACAAGAGCCCACGTCGCCACGGCTAGATACCCCATCGTGCATGAGTACCCTTTCCCACCTCCACACCTCTCCACACCTCTCCACACCTCTCCACCTCCCCCGCACATGCGGCCCTGAAGACCCCTCTTCCTGTGGTTAGTCTTCCCCCCTCGCCCCCCTCGTCCCCCTCGCCCCCCTCCCCACTCACCGCCTGCCCCCCCCCCCCTTACCGGCGGACCCAGTCCGAGCTGCGCTCCACTGAGAAGCTGCTGTCGGAGCTGAAGGCGCAACTGGCGGTGGCGCAGTCGCAGGTGGGATGTGGGAGAAATTATGAGGTGGCGGGGAGGTGACAACGAGGGGGGAAGGGAGGGAGGCAGACAGACAGACAGACACGTCAGCTGCAGAATTAGGGATTACGGCTAAGGGTGGTTTGCCGTACAAATTGACAGCCTTTACATACGCGGGTCCTCTTTTTATGTGAGCGTAATGCGCAGGGGGCTGTTTGTCGTTTGTCGTTTGTCGCTGCTCTTGCCATCGAGACACTGCTAACTTCCCGTCTCCCTCTTTCCCCCTCCCCCCCTTTCCTGCCGTACACAGTCTCTGGTTGGTGAGGCGGTCACGGCCCCAGGCGGGTTGAAGGTGTTGGTGGCGGAGCTGCCCGGGGAGGTGGAGGCTAAGGCGATGCAGGTGCGTGTGTGTATGTAACGCGCGTCGGTCATTACCTCCATTCCCTCAATATTTCAAAATGAATCCTAAATTATACATGAAACTCGTTTATTGTACGCTTGTAAAACTGGACAAAAGAGGAAGCAATATTGATATTGGGGACTGGGACTGGGAGGGAGAAGAGGGGGGTATGCCGGAGTGGGTGTGTAGAAGTGAGGTGGGAGGGGAGGGGGAAATGAGGCGTATGCGGGGGGAGACGCGGAGGCACCAGAGAAGGAAGGGAAGCGTGTTTTTGTACGGCAGCCCTGGTTGTGTTCCTTCTTCTGATGCTCCGTGACTCCTGTCTCTCTCTTTTTCCCCCTTTCCCTTTTCCCACCCCCTCATCCTCGCGTCCCCATCATGCACACACACACACACACACACAAACACACACACACACACAAACACACACACACACACAAACACACACACACACACACAAACACGCACACACACAAACACACACACACATACACGCGCAGGAGGCTGCCAGTCGGCTCCAGGGGGCTCTGGGCGATCCGGCTGCGGTACTGCTTGCCTCCCGGGCTGTGGACGGCTCCAAGGTCAACTTCGTGGCGGCGTTAAGTCCCGGGGCGGTGAAGGGGGGCCTGCAGGCGGGCAAGGTGGTGGGGGCGGTGGCCAAGGTGTGCGGGGGAGGGGGGGGTGGTAAGCCCGCTCTGGCGCAGGCGGGAGGGCGAGACGCGAGCAAGACGGAGGAGGCTCTGGAGGTGGGCAGGAAGCTGTTGCTGGGGTTGTGAAGGTGGGGAGTTGTGTGAGGGCGTGCGCTTGTATGTATGTGTGTAAGTGCGTGTAGGGTAAGGTTCACTAACGAGGGGCTAACGAGGCGGTGTGTGCATACGTATGTATGTGTGAGCGGGGGAAAGGGTTTGTGTGTGTGTGTGTGGGGGGGGGGAGGATCTGTGTCGGCTAATCTGTGTGTCTTCAGGTTTTCGGGGGTGAGGGGGAATGAGGGGGTGAGAGGGGATGAGGGGGTGAGAGGGGGCAGAGGCTGTGTGTTTTGTGCTTTGGAGTCTCGTTTTCATGCGAATGACCTGGCGTTGAGAGGCGACAGGTGGTGTGTGAGTGTGCGTGCGGGTTTGTGAAGGTGGCTGTAGCTCGCGTGTGGAGAGAGCACCGATGACGGTGAGATGATGCTGGTTCGATGTCGGGTGGGGTTGGGGTTGGGGATGAGGTGGTGTGGGGGGGGAGGAGGGGAGCTAGTCGGCGGCGTGCCTAGTGGTGGTGTGGGAGAGGTCGGTGGAAGGGGGATGTGTCGCACAGGCGGACTAGATGTGTACGAGTATGTATGTGCTGACGAGTGCTTTTAGATGTTTGATGTAGTTTTCTGCGCGAGCGGCTGTACGGATGTATGGCTTTATGATGGCTATGATACCTTATTTGCTGAAAGGGGGATTTCCATTGGGTGTGTGGGGTTGGTTGGACTGCTAACGTAATCAGTACGGACTAGGGGGGCGGCTTTTCAAAGCCGAAAAGGGGCGAGGCCCCGGTGCAGCCACTTGCAGCCCGTATGTACGGCATAGGGCGGGCGGCAAGGCGGCCGGCGGATGGGGGCTGCCGACATGGCCCGCTGCGGGGGCTGGCACCTCCGCCTGCGCAACGGCCCGACCTGGACCATGGAAAGCCATCTTTGTCGCGCTCCGATGCAGCTGCAATTTCTCCTTTGGCAGGTTGACACAGTACAGATATAGCTTCTACATGCAATCTTTTGCAGAGCGACATATGTAGCTGTTTGTCAAACTCGCACCCCTGGAAAGCTATCTTCGCGCTCCGATTTATCTGCTATTTCTCCTTTGGCATTTCGTTATAGAATGCTTATAGCTTCCATATTAAACCTTTTGCGGAGCGTGATATGTAAATTTATGTTTAACCCGCAGCCATGGAAAGCCATCTTTGTCGCGCTCCGATTTATCTGGAATGTCTCCTTTGGCCGGTGAATGTAGAATGCATATAGCTTCTACATGCAATCTTTTGCGGAGCGAGATATGTAACTGTTTGTCAAACTCGCACCCCTGGAAAGCTATCTTCGCGCTCCGATTTATCTGCAATTTCTCCTTTGGCATTTCGTTATAGAATGCTTATAGCTTCCATATTAAACCTTTTGCGGAGCGTGATATGTAAATTTATGTTTACCTCGCAGCCATGGAAAGCCATCTTTGTCGCGCTCCGATTTATCTGGAATGTCTCCTTTGGCCGGTGAATGTAGAATGCATATAGCTTCTACATGCAATCTTTTGCGGAGCGAGATATGTAACTGTTTGTCAAACTCGCACCCCTGGAAAGCTATCTTCGCGCTCCGATGTATCTGCAATTTCTCCTTTGGCATTTCGTTATAGAATGCTTATAGCTTCCATATTAAACCTTTTGCGGAGCGTGATATGTAAATTTATGTTTACCTCGCAGCCATGGAAAGCTATCTTCGCGCTCCGATTTATCTGGAATGTCTCCTTTGACATTTCAATATAGTATGGATATAGCATTCAAATGCTAATTTTTGCGGGGCGAGATATGTATGCCACTGACTGACTGACTGACTGACTGACTGACTGACTGACTGACTGACTGACTGACTGACTGACTGACTGACTGACAGGGGTGAACCCCGGGGGCTCGGCCCCCCGAAGGCGCTTCGCGCCCGGGGCCTCGCCCAAAAAACATTGTTACATACTGCTCAGCCTTGCCGTGTACGCTTTTGACTACAAGGTGTCCTCCAGCTATTTACAGTTATGACTTAAGTTTAGGTAACATGCGAATATTAATTTAGGAAACGTGCGAATCGGCCAAAAACTAGGCTTCTATTAAGACACTTACTCGTACACATAAAACACATTGACGACGGTTCACAAGCGCACGATGCCACGCAATCCTCCGGCAATACACGAATCGACAACCATAATCCTACCTCCGCTCCTCCTCCTCCTCCTGAACCTTCTTTGTCAGGGCCGTACAGTACGATTTTACAACGGTTACCCCCCGCCTGTACGACTCGCCACAAACGCGCTCATTTGTTCCAACAGCCCATCCAAAGTCAGGGGCCGCTCTAAAGCCCCCGGGGCTCCGGAACCACCCACAGGGCCCGGGCCGGGGCCGGTGGGGGAAACCTCACCAATCCTGAGCACCTCCATAAAGTCAGACATATCAGGTATAAGACTGTTGTACTGCCTCAGCGCCTGCCGTACGTACAGCGTCTTGGAGCGTTGTGACAGGAAAGTGAAGGCGAAGTGCTGTGCGGCTGCTGCAGTCCGGTGGCAGCGAGGGGCGTCACTTCGCAGCTGCTTGAGGACCTGCGCGCGAGCCCGTGCGTGTATGTGGGGGGTGGGGGGTTTGGGGGGGAAGACGGGGGGCAGAAGGAGATTTGGGGGCCCGGCACGTTAATTTAAGAGTGTGGGGGGTTCCGCCGCCCCATCCACGCGGCGCCCACCTTATTATAGAGGGTGCGGCCTTGCAGCTAATGCGGGTGTTAAACACCGTTACTGGTGACATCATACTGCCGTACTTAGCGACACCAAGCAACAGCACAACTCCAACACAAGGGGGCTCCTGAGCCGCTGGGGGCCTGCAGGGGTCCGAACTCGAGAGTCTAGTCTCAACACAGTTCCAGCCCCAGGACCCCAGCCCCAACCCGGGGACATGTACCGGATGTTCGTATACGTACGGACCTGCAGTACATTGTCCTTGTTGAAAGGCACGTAGTGCACGTTGGGGACTAGGGACCTGCGATGGGTGCCGTACAGCAGCAACAACAACCATTAGGAGGGTGGGGAGGGCGGGGAGGATGGGGATGTCAGCGGAGCAGCAAGCGGGTGAAAGGGGGCTTCCACCCCAGGTCCCCTTGTAACCCATAACCGTTATAGATCTTAGCCGCTGGACAATCTTTTTATAATTTCCCCCGCAGATAACCCCCTCACCGGTAGTAGTACTCGATCCACACGGAGTCCTCCTTAAGGGGGTGGGCAGGGGGGGAGGGGAAAGGAGGGGGGTTAGGAAGGAAAGGAAGCGGAGGGCAAACCAATGAGGCCACGAGGCATTATTGAATGGGGAGTGGGGGGGCAGGAGAGAGCACCACTCGGCACATTTGGCACACTCGGCTACATCTCCCGGTTCCCAGCCCCGCTTTAATCTTCGTCACTGGCTTCGCTGCGTCGTCTAGCCTGAACCGGTGCCTGGCCTCGGCGCTGTCGCCACCGCACATCCCCTTCCTCCTTTCCCCACCTTGAGCACCACCGAGTTGGTGACCAGCAGCTTCCCCAGGCGGCTGCTGGCGGTGGTGCCGTCAGTGGCGAGCAGGTACTTCCAGCGGGCGTGCTCGTGCATACTGATCTCGGGAACCTTCGAGTGGAGGCGGGGGTTGTTGAGGGGGGGTGTCGTGGGCGGCCGAGGCGGGGCTTGAACGGGGGATTTGGAGGTGGGATGGTTAGGAGGGGGGAGAGGGAGGGGGAGAGGTATATATATGGACATGGACACGAACACACGCACGCACGCACGCACGCACACACACACACACATACATATACACACACATACACACACACACACACATACACACAGATACACACAAACACAAACACAAACACACACACACACACACAAACACAAACACAAACAGACACATACACAAACACACACACACACATACACACACATACACACACACAGAAACACACAAACACACAAACACACAAACACACACACAAACACACAACAAACACACAAACACAGACACACACATACACAAACACACACACAGAAACACACATACACACAACATACACACACATGCCTTACCCCGCGGGCCCCCGATACCTCCCTTGCTCGCGGGCTCTCACCAGCTTCGTCTTGAACCTCTTTTTTTGATCGTTTTGTGTGATGCCCGTGTCCAGCATTTGGGCCGCCCCAGGGTGCCCCCGCCGCTGCAGCTCCGTCAGCCACTCGCGGGTGCTGTTGGCGGACATACGACCCTGGGATGGCCGGTGCCGGGGGCCGCCGCGTGAGGAGGGGAGATGAGGACGAGGACGGGGCATGTGGGGTCCGAGGGCAGGAGGAGATACAACGTGACACACCGCCCATTACACAACATTCGGTCTGGCGGTGAAATTCGCTGAAGCCACTGACGGACCGTATTGCAACAGCAGGAAATCAGATTCATGCCGAAGGGCCGGTGGCTTCTGTTAGACACTGAAGTTCTTAGTGTCGCGTCATACGACTGCAGCATCGACAAAACATGTGCACACGGCAGACTTTGGGGTTATTCTCCTTTTTGGCGTGATGGAACCTGTGCCTGGGAACCATGGACCCGACCTGACGGGCCTAAGGACCAAACCTGTACACCCGGGAGAGGCATTGGGCCTCACGGGAACGTCACCACCAGGGGTGGTCACCGACAGCTCTCCCCCCCCCGCTTCACCAACCAGGTGGAGAGCACCTTAATGGCTGCCCTCATGAGGGCCTTGTCGTACTTCTGTTTCCAAGGGTAGAACGCCATGCTGTCGTACACATGTATGAACTGCGGCAGCAGTACGTCAAGCTCGTGTGAGGTGTTGGTGGTGGCGTTCCAGCGCTTGATGATGGAGAAGACGGGCACCTTGCAGCTGTGTCCCCGGCGGGGGCAGAACGGGTGGTCCCGCATGGTAATGAGGAACACGGTATCGGGGGGCACCACGCCCCAGAAGGGGGAGGAGGAGGAGGAGCTCTCGTTATTGAGGCATTCCACCAGGCCCCTGACCTGCAGCGGGCGGCCCGTGGGGAACATCGCTCCTTATGTCTCAATGACGTCATTTTGGTGCTGGGCTGTGTGCAACGGAACGAGAAGTGAAGTGTATGACCAGTGATCAGGAGGCGCGGGAGGGGAGATTTAGGGAGTACGGGAGCTTGGGGCCAGGCCGAGCTCTACCGTAGTTGAATGAATGACGTTGCGGCGATGTGGCCTAACAGATAAATCACTACCGGTAGTCGTACTGCTAACCGCATAATCCGAACACTGTATAGGCCGAGTAAGGTCCGAGGTTGGTGGGTAGTTGGTTGGCAGTTGGTAGGTAGACGGTATAAGGTAAAAGACGCGGCCCTCCTGGTGAAGGTCGCCTATCATGCAGCGCCCCAGCTAAGGGCACTGCGGAGGGAGCACCCGTCGCGCAAGCGGACCACTTGCAAACAAGCCCCCATCCAATGCCACAGGCGTGTGTGCCGCCCAATTAGGTAAAGCCCTAGAAAGTGATGTGGCTGAGCTCTGAATTCGGTGACTTCCGGCCATGAAGCCGCCATGACGATTGGACTCGTTGGACTAAACCCCCCGACCGGCCCCAGTCGGTGGGACAGTACGGCACGTACCCTGTTCGCAGCGACACGGTTTTTACCGTAGTTGGCCTCCAGCGGTAGGTCGTACACTCGGCCATTCTTGACCACAATGACAGTCAAGTACGGCTGCGGCGGCCAAGGATATGGCACTATTGCGCTTCAGTGGTGCTATCTGTAGCATATGAAATGCATCTTCATGATTTGAGCCGTGGTCAGGAGCTGGCGTAGGAGAGGTACAACCTTTTCATTTTACAATTGAAGAGGTACTTGACCGGCATGGTCAGTGCTGCCGCCGTTACAGCAGCGAACCTGATCTGCAGCCGACCGCACATGCTGCAGTCTCCAGGTGCGGCGGGCTGCGGGTCCCCGGAGAGCGAGGAGGACACGCGTGCCGCTGTACCCGCTGTCCCACTGCCGCCCCGCGCACAGCCAGCAACGCCCCCTTACGTTCCCCTAGCCGCTTTACCACGCATGCACCTTGCCTGCACTCCAGTCACGCCGGCACTCACCCCGGGATGGGGCCTGGCTCGTAACTTGGAGATCATCTCATGCAGCAACCGGACGCTGTAGGTTCGGTTTCTCCAGGGAACGAAGTCTGCATCGATATTGTCCCTGCAAGCGCACAGATAAACCGCTATGATTGGCTGAAGCAAAGAACGATTTGTTCTGGGTCTGATCTGCATGCCACGTCAGTGCCCATCAGGGGATGAAGCAGTCGGGAACTGTTGGAAAAGCGTTTCGTTGGTTAGGCCGAAGCCGCCTCAGCCCGACCCAGACTACAAGGTCACGCACGCACTTGTAAATCTCACGCATCATGTCGTCTGTGGTCGCACGAGTAAGGCCCTGAACCTCAGTTGTAACTTGCGGAGTCCCCTCGCCGTCAGGGATCTGTTGCGCTGCCGCGACCGCTCCGTTACCCCAGCTCACGCACAGCACAAACCCGGCGAGATATTTGTGTAACGAGAATCTGTGCAACGTGGAGTGTGTCACTACCAGTTGGGGCTGCGAAACAAAAAGCGGAAGCAGCGTAGTAATGGTGGTAACTAGGACGGCAGCCGCCGCCGCCGCCTGCTGAGCTCGGGGGCTCATCACGCGCGATACCGTCCTTGGGTGACGGAGAAAAGCTACCCGGGAAGGCACAGCTCTGGGCTAGGTCGTCCTGTGGGGGCAAAGCTATGGCAAGTGCGGCAAGATGCTAGGTGCTAGGTCGCCGTTCCCGTCACCATCAGCACTATCAGGGAGAGAGGCGCAAGTCAGAGCAGTGGCCTTGAATTATGTGCTGTGCCGGTTCGCCGAAGCACACCGTAGGGACCCTTTGCAGCAGATACTGCCTATCATGAAATACCAAGATGTCTCGGTTAGTTGCGGCGGGTAGCTCGGTTGGTTCGAGGTCGCTCCGAGACCTGCCTCGACTGCACCGAGGCACACGCCAAACGCTCGGATAGTGCAACCACAACAGGCACTCGATTCCCGCTTTACTCCCAGCACCGCCTTCTTCACTAGGCACATGCTTCTAAGCGGCCTCTCATGCGGTTTGCTCTGGGAATGCATCAACCTCTGGGTCCAGTATAGTCCAGTCAAGACTTCAATGGACGACCAGTCGGGGGCACCGCGAGCGTTTGGTGGTTTGGTTTGCCTGGCAGAGTTGCCTGACTGGTATGAATCTTCGCTAACTCCCCGTTGAGCAATACTTCAGAGCCGTTGACATCTTGATTGTAATGCTGTGTTGGGTCGCGTCGGGTTGGGGCGTTTTTGTGCTTTCTTAAGGGGTCATGAACACGTTGCCGGCGGCCTGCACCGGTTCGGGTTCCTATGTCGCACGATGCTTTATCTTAGACATTCGACACCATCATGCATACCCTGCAACGTCTAACTTGCGAATGACAGAACAAACAATCCTCGTGTAATGGCTTGGCTGGCAGGCAGTGCCAGCCGGTGATCCTCAACCCTCAAGACCCGCCGTGCACTTCGCTCAGTGCCTTGCTGTTTCTTCGCCGTGCTGGTTCCAGCCAGCTGGTTAAGTCCTCATCATCCGCTCCCTGAGGTCAAGTTATGAGGGTGCGACGGTGCTTGAAAATACACTTGCTGCGCTGGCTTGCCACTGGCCCACCGCGGCCAGCCTGTGCTGGCCTGTGCTGCTCTTTTTGTAAAGTGTTGGGATTTCGTGCTCTGGTGGCCAGTCCTGATGATAGTCGGCCGGGGGGATGCACCTCCGGCAACCTGATGGCTGCCGGAGGGCGTCTGCACCGCCAAAGGAGCACGGGAAATAGGCACGACCTCCAGGGCCCTCACGGGGACAAGTTGCTTGCTGCCAGGTACATCGATACATGATCACAAAACTCTTTCAAGCACAAAGTTTTCGTCGCAGCATGCAATGGTGTTAGTTGGACCGGAATTCCCGAGTAGTCTATTTGTCGAGCACATGTCCGGACGGCCAACGACCAACCATGGCCTATTCGCTACCGGAACATCTAGCGGCTTCCGATGTCAATATACAATAAACGTGTCACCTTGTGGACGCATCCTTCTAAACAGAAGCAAAGACGTAGATTGAGGTGTTCATTGGGAGCGCGGTGGAACGGCATAAACGAAAACCCTTGATGAACCACCAGATTTTGCATCGGAGGACCATATATACATAGAAGCTAACGGATATAGCGGATGTACGGGAACTAACGACCACCTTTTTGGTGGGGCAGGCAAACGGGCGTCGTGGGAACACCAAACTATCAAGTCGAAGGGAATAACATATTACTAAAACTACTTAGCTTATTTAGCCTCCTAAGTGTTCATTTGCCTACCTTGGCAAAATGTCGAAAGGAAAGCAGCGGGATACAAGTATGGATGACGCAAGTCCATCTGGGAGAACGGAGGATGAGCTTGCATTGGCGCGCGTCGTTTACGTCGGGTAAGGACTCGGCAATTACACTTGGTTCGGCGGCGCGGCGGCGGAGGAAGCACGTCAGGAACAGCTTAACATGGTTAACATGCAACATTACTGCCTGCAGGCATGTACCTCATGGCTTCTTTGAAAAGCAGATGCTAGGTGTGGCGCGTTAGCGAAGATGCGTGTTGCATTCCCCGCCCGTACCAGTGCTCCGCCCCGAGCTTTTGGAGCCCTGCTAAGGACACATTTTGGGTGCATTTGCAGGTTACTTCTCGCAGTTCGGAAAGGTGACACGTTTACGTTTGTCACGCAGCAAGAAGACGGGGAATGCCAAGGGTTACGCATTCTTGGAGTTCCAATACCCGGAAGTTGCGCGCGTAGCTGCTGAGGCGATGGACGGGTATTTCCTTTTCAAGCAGCGGCTCAAGTGCAAACTCATACCCCCCAGCAGGGTGCACCCACAGCTCTTCCAAGGAGCCAACCGCAGGTTCAAAGTTATCCCGTGGCGGCGAGTGGAGCGCCAGCGGCATGACCGTGAGCGGACACCCACAGAGCACGCCCAGCGTGTGGCGAAGTTGGTCCGCAAGGACAAGCAGCGGCAAAAGAAAATTAAAGAGGCGGGGATTGATTTTGAGTACGAGGGGCTGCATAAGCCAATGCAGCCTAAAAAAATCGTATTCGAGTAGTGGATGCGCAGTTCGGGGATCTTGGGTCTTGGGTTGTAGAGAGCTTGGATGTATGGGTTGTTGGCGTGCGTGGTGCGGCTTTGGTATGGGCAGATGGAATGTTTGGGATGCTAAGATGCGTGCATGTCTGAAGGTGTCACTGAACGTTCGACAAGTGAGCACCTTCAGTCCGTCAGTGTCGTGGCATGGGTTCAGGTACTACTGCTGTCCGCGTATCTGGATGTAATCCACCGTGTGGAGGGGCTTTCCATGAAATCCCGTGTTGCTGAAGATGGAGTCGAATGCACGTCGTTTCTTTGAGTCGACGGTTGAGCGATGAGGCGGTGTCGTGCCGTCTTGTACGGCAGTTTGCCGGAAAGAATTTTGGACTTTGGTTGCAACCTGTAATTTGCAGCGTGCAGTTTGTCATAATATCTTGAGTCCGAAAGAGCATGGCATGGAGATAAGCAGCTAGTACACTGCCCTGGACTAAGTCTGCTTTCCGTTCCTTAGCGACCAATTGTTCCTAGCTTCACAGCGTTTGATCACCATGGCCTATATTCATTGGGCCTTCGTGGCTCTGGTCATTCAATCTGCCCTTCGTTTGGTGAGCGGGCATGACAGATCACTACACCATTCGTTGCGGTTCCCTCCTTACAACTTTTTGTGTTACGCAGGCTTTAGCACAAGATGCAGGCGCAGTGTATGTACAACTTCTTGGCTGATGATTGCGACAAGGCTGGTAGTAAAGCAAATTCTGCTTGCAGGGTATCCGAGCTTGCGATAGGCGATGTGAAGGTAGTGGTCAAAGCAGCCGATGGCTCAGCAATTAGCACATTGACCGGAGCTTATCCCAAGTCGGTGCTCGCGAATCCGGAGATACCTGCCACGGCATCTCTCGACGTAAGGCGCCCCGGTCATATTCGCAACAAGGTGTATAATCATCCTGACGCATCTGTCAGTTACGCAGGTTACTGTTGCGGTTAAGAAGGGGGGCGAGCCCTTTAAGCCTCAGCAAGTTATGCTTATGCTAAAGAGCAAGTCACTGGGGCTTGCCGCATACGCTGTCGGCAAGTTCAAGAGTGGGTCATATGTGCTGAGCATTAATGCAGCTGCTGTGGAGAAGCAGATTGGAAAGCTGGTGAGCGGAAAGACCTTAAATTGCCTTTCGCCCCCCACCTCCCCCCACCCGAAGATGGAAAGCACTTGCATGCGAAACCTGCGCCATTGCTGCCACCTTGATCGAGCGCTGATCTTTTCTTTCACATTTCCATCATGTGTGTATTTGTGTCACGGTGTGCCACACCTGATATGCAGCCGGGCGAGTACGACATTACGCTGTTGGTTGGTGATCCATCGGCAAAGGGCGTAGAATACCTACTCGGAACTGCCGAGCTGCGCTTCAGCGCAGCCAGCACAGCGGCTCAGCCGGCTACGGTGGTTCGCACAGCTTTCTTCCAGCCCGTGAACAACATTAAGCCAGAGATTCATCACATTTTCGTAAGTGCCGAGACAGTGCCGTGTATGTGAGAAGATTAGAGCAAGGAGGACAACTCTTAATGTTTGAGGAAGGAGGAAATGGGTTATGGCAGGGAACTTTTTAACCACGGGAAATTGTACTTAATACTATTGCATGATATCCTACCGCCCAAGGCGCCTGAAACTGAAAAGAGCGATGTACCCGCCGGTCCTCTAAAAGTGTGCCACATGATAAGTGGCGTGCTGACCCTGTCCATACCTTGCAGCGTGCACCGGAAAAGCGGCCGCCGGCATTGGTCTCATACGTGTTCGCCGGGCTGGCATTCGTGCCACTGGCGGCTGTTCTGGTGTACGTGCCCACCATTCCTGGTGTCAACTTGAAGGTGAGGAACATGGGGATAGTGGATCGTATGTATGGCGCTCTTTGGCCGTGATGTGTCTTTTTATGCTAGGGTCCATCACTATCCAACCTGAGCGTTTGTAACCTACGACCTTGCAGGGCTGGACGACGGCTCCCTTGTACAGTGTGTTGTTCCATGGAGGCCTTGGAGGCATGTTGCTGCTCTACATGATGTTTTGGCTGCGTCTCAACCTGGCACAGACACTACCAATGGCCGGCATCTGGGGCTTGTTCGTTGCGGGAAGTGGCTTCCTTCTTCTGTCTTCTCTGTCAAAGCAGCGCTTGAAGAAGGACCAGTAAAAAAGTAGGGATTGACGATGCCTCCTTGGGTCGTGGATGGTCGGTGTGCCTCGAACACATGACTGTGAGATTTGAGGTACTAAAGTCGTGACAGATGTCTGTTGGACGTCCTGGGTCCAAATCCTGTTTGTCAATCCGCTTGTTGAGTTTTTATTTGGTGCTGGAAAGAGTGGAACGGGTACTGTAATAACACCTCTTACATCATCTATCTTTCAGTACAAACATCTATACGGAATACTAGTGGTACTCCCTACCACTTGCAAGGCGACTAGGCTGCCGCTTCCCTTTTCAGATCCCCGCTCAGTATTTGGAACGACGATCGTCATGTAGGACAACGGACAGCATGCGAGCTAGCCCTTTGAACACCACGGTATGGTACAAGGGCAGCTTCATCATGCACCTAGCTCAGCTCGGGTCTGTCCTTCACAGCAAGCACGTCACCCAACATGCAGCCGCTACCGGACAGAACCTAGCTGCTGGAGCAAAGAAGCTGGCTGGTCAGCTGTTTAATCCCACTAAAAACCCGCCGACAGGCACTCCGCATAGCAACGCCAATTACTGCACCTTGCCTGTGCATGTTTGGCACAGGTGGCCTAGCTTTGACAAGCTATGTGGAATGGTGATCTTGAGTGCGTCTCTGTCTCGATGGGCCATGCGGACGCCGGTCGGGGGCTTCTCAGTGGGTAACTTAGCCTCAGCAGCCCTTCTTGAGTGCAGACTTGCCGCTGCGCTTGGTAACCTCCAGGATGGTGAACTCCTCAGCCACAGTGGGGTGGATGCCGATGCAGTCGTCAAAGTCCGCCTTGGTCGCCCCGGCTTTAATTGCAACCGCCATACCCTGTGGCACCAACGGAGAAGGTATACCTGTTAGGCGTTATAAAACAGCCAGAGCTAGCCGTGCTCCCCACGCCGTACACAGGGGTACCCCATCGAGGTAGCCATCGAGGTAGCCAGTTCACTTGCATTTCACTTCAACTGCCCTCACGCCTGTGCCCCTACTACCCAGTACGAGCTTATCTGAGACCGACAGTTGCAGGCAACCTAGAATCCCATCCGCCAGCCGCACCTGAATAATCTCTCCAGCGTTAGGGCCCAGGTAGTGCACACCCACGACCCGTTCGTTGTCGGACTTGTTGGTGATCAGTTTGCAGTAGACTGAGTTATCTTCCCGCACGGGCTGACCGTTGTGTTCCTCGTGGTTCATGGTCCACTCCAGGGGCTTGAGGTACGAAACGTAAACCTGCGCACATACGATGAAAGGTACGAAAATGACATGCCTGGTTCTGCAGCCTCCCCCTGAATGCCATGAGCGGTCACGCCGTGTCGGGGCAGTTACCCCAACGAAGGAAGCAAAGGAACGTCCTAAAAGCCAGGAAAGCTACACTTGATTGACAATCAAGAGAGACCCGCGCTACAATCACCCTCACATAAGGACGTACCTCGACGTTGTCTTCACCGTACTTGGCCGTAGCAGCCTCCTCGCTATAGCCCACACAACCGTACTCCAGCGGAGTAAAGACGGTCGTGGGCACAGCGTCGTAGTCCATCTGCAGCGTTGCAGCCCCGTACAGACGCCGCGCCAGCCGTACACCCGCCTTGATGGCCACTGGCGTTAGCTCCTGCGACACGAACAGCGCTATTTATCTGCTACGATGAGCCTAGTTGCAAGCCAAGCAGTCCTGCGCAATAGCCCAATCGGAACAGTAACTGCAGGCGGCCGTTAATCCCATCACGCTCTCAAACGGGAAGCACTGGCGCCACTCGATATGAGCAGCTCCAGCAGCCAGGCGAACTATGTACTCTGCGATATGTAACAAACGCGGGACACACTGTAACGGAGAAGCCCAACACCAATGTTCTAGCCCATATGTACCTCGAAGGAAGGCCCAGCTGGCTTCCCACCCGAACGCTGGTGAGCAGGAGCAGGCAGCCGCCTATGATTCCCCCTCACTTTCACACTAAGCGCTAGTTTCCTTACCTGTCGGTTCTCAAGAACATCTCCTATGGCGTAGATCCAGGGGACGTTGGTCTGCTCAGCCACCACGGGAATCTTGCCGCTGCGCGGGTCCACGGTGACCCCCGCGCGGTCCAATCCCAGATCCGACGTGCAGGCATCACGGCCAACAGCCAGAAGCCTGCAGAGTGGGACATGTAAATGTAGGCGGAGATGGCGGGCTGTTTGCTTGCCTCACCATAGGAGCGGCCTCATACGGTAAAAAGTCGCCTATTGAACTCAAGCACCGGAGGACGCACATGACTACGTTGCTACGTTATCGATACAGGTTGTATCAGGCTATCAGGGTCTGCCAGGCCGAGCACCTGTGCACCTCCCCACAATCCAATGTGCAGCAAGAACACCCCAATACCCAGTTGGAAAGATGCCAGCTGCTACCCCGGCACAGCAACCCACCACCACAATTGCCACCAGACCCGCAATACCAGCTCCGTGTTATATTACATCTCCCGAAGTGCCAACTCGGAATCAGTACTCAGCCCCAACCCCTTTTGACCACATTCCGGGCGCACTCACACAGTATCGAAGCTCTCGCTCATCTCCAGCCCAAAGTCCAGGTTCTTGAAGGTGCAGCGGACCTGCTCCCCGTCGCGCTCAAATGCCGTCGGTACCGCAGGTCGCAGGATGCGCACGCCCCGCCGCTCCAAGTCGCGACCAATCATCTCAGCAATCTCCTGCGCAGTGAATGCGTTATCCCGTACCATCAAACCGCCAATCGACAGTGCTTTACCGTAACACTTTGACACTGTGCGTGTACATCTTACAACGATGCAAGAAGGGCGGTAGCCACTGCCGGCCGCCACCATTCACAAAGGTGAAACCGCGAAGCTGCACGGCTATGCGCCCACATAAGAGCTGCGTCGCAGAACCCCCAAACCCAAAATCTGCGTCTACGCACCTGGTCAAAGCCTCGCAGGAAAATGGATCGGGCCATGACGGCCACAGGGAAGCCCAGAGCATGCAGGAAGCCGGCGCACTCAAGCGCAATGTAGGATGCACCCACTACCAGTGTCTTGCCCGGCTTGGTAGTGCGCGAGAAAATGTCGTCCGATGTCAAGCACAGCTCCTGATCGCCTGCGTTTGAAGGTGTCGGCAGCACGAACGTACGTTAACAAGTTTGCGACACTGGTCACATCAGAACAATGATAGACTGAAGCCGCGTGGCTGCAGCTGGATTTTGAGAAGCTCCCCGACGTTATTTAAGTGCGATTAATTTCTCCTGCCCCATGCGTCAACGCGCATTATCTAGCTGAAGCGCGGACACGGCGCGGCTGGCCAAAAGGGCGAAACCTCGCGACGCCCGCCCAAGCTTCTGAAGAACCTCGTACCTGGGACACCCAAGAACTTTGGCCGGCCCCCCACTGCAATAACAATTCGCTCCGCCGTCAGCGAGGTCTTGGTGCCGTTGCGCTCCACCGCCTCCACCGTGTGCGGGTCGATGAAGTGACCCTTGGCATTCAGGTACTGCCGCATCCCACAACAAGTAAGGAGAGGGCAGCGCACACAAGCGCATATTCACAACGCGTTCTGTTGGGCGGCTCGAGTTTATGAGATAAATATAAACTAGAACACCACGGGGCCGCACTCCATAGTGCCGCAACGTATCGAACCTTCCGTAAGTGCCTTGTACCCCTCTAGTGAGGTACATGTGCAGCGAACCCCCTTTGGCTAAAACTCGTGCCGCTATCCACGCAGATGGCCCGTAGCAGGTCTGTGCTCTGATCGAGCTCCGCCCAATAACAGTACGCCCACAAGTGGTGCCTTTGCTCAACTCCACAGACCCTGTGGGCTACCCAGCAACTGTCCCACTTTTGCAGCTTCATTCAACTGCCAGTGCTGGCAAACACCTCCAGTGGAACTACAGGATGACAACCCCATGTCACCTTGTCAGCCTCGTGCCGCATGTCCCATACGACCCTTCATAGCACATGCCGTGTATGGAGCCACATGCAATAGGAGCGGCTGGCATGTCGCAGGTGCGACGCACGTTTTTGTACCGCATCTCGATGCGTAGCTGGTAACCGTTTCGTGTTCCCGGGTCCTGCTCTCTGGGTCTGCTGCTCCCTGGCCTACCTTGACAGACGCATCCCGCAGCGCCACTCGGTAGCCCCAGTTGAGAGATCCGATGTGACTCTGAACCCCCATCACAAGGGCCTCCCAGTCCAGATCCACGCCTTCTGGCAGCTTCCAGCCGTAGCTGCGCGCGTCAGAGAAGCCTTCCCCGAGGAGGCCGGCCTGGTGAAAGAGCTTCTTAGGGATGCAACCGACATTGACGCAAGTGCCTGTCGGGAACAATTGATGTGAGCGCACGCGGCCCGAGGTTTAAAGCGTATGGAATGGTGTGGCGACGAAGGCGTGTACTTCATGTTTTGGGGATGTGGAGTATGCACTCGGCGAAAACCGGCGAATCGCAACGCTTATGTACAGGGCTCAGAACTGACTTGTAACAGGGAAGTGGAAGATACAGGGCGCCATTGCAATCCTTTCCCCAATCTGTGTGCTTATACTCCGGGATGCTTTGTGGGCAGCTACGAGTAACACAAAACAACTAATAATAGCTTCAATCCGTCTTGTCTGCGAAGAGGTTACCATGCCGAGCGGGTAGTGTTCAATGGCGTGCATGGACTCAGGACCCCAGCAAAAGCACAGCTCCCGCGGCTTCCGTTTTTACTTTATATGCGTAGGCACGACGGGTAGGAGACTCCACCTACCTCCCAAACCCCAAGTCGTTCCCTGAGGTGACGGTACAACGTAGTCGAGAAGACAAACCTTCTTTCCCAACTTCGCTGCTTCCTTTGCACAAGCAAGACCACCTACGGCATAAAGATGGGCACCTCAGAAACTCTCGAAACTCTCAGCACAAAACAAAGACAAGCAGAACTTTTAGTGCCCCTGCTACCCTGCGTTTCGAGCTAAGCAAGCAGATTGGCTTTCACCGCTCCGCAAATGTTGAAACCCCTGCGGAAAGGCTGCCTTACCTGAGCCCCCGCCAATCACTATCAGGTCCCAATCGTATTGTGGAGAGTGTTCCGGCTCAGGGAGATTATCTGCTGCTTCCGCCTCGCCGGCCATCCTGTGGCCGGTCCGCGCCGTTCCGACCTCAATATTTAATCTGTACAACTACAATCGGCTGTGGCTTTAGCATTTAAGTGTATGTTAACGCAGAACGGTTAAAACGAGGGTGACAAATCCTGCATCCTCCGTGTACGGCCACATATGTGAGTTTCGAGTTCCGCTTAGCTTTACGTCTACTTGACTGTATAATTTTGTACTAATAACACATGTTCCTTGAAAGCGGGAATAAACGCTGTGGTTGTAAGAGTCAACATTACAAGTTGTTGGAACTCCGACAGCTTTGCTCAATTGAGCCATGACTTCAACGCAAATATCAGCTCGTTACAGCTCTGCTGGCAATAGTGGTTATGATGATGATTTTGAGGCTGACGCTGACGAGCTGGATGCCGAATTAGATTTTGGGGTCCAGGTGGGGTTGGAGCACTCTTTGAGCAAAGGGCATTACCAACTCCCCAACATCCTCATGTTTATCGTATGCAATTTCCCTGCTGGTTTGCCCGCTAACCCTTCCCGGTAGGCGTCTGACGACGATGCCACGGGTGCAGATGCAACCGATGCGGGTAATCCTGCCGGTAAGCCTTTCACTCACCCATCTGCAGGGGTCCGCGCCGCTTGGCAAGGCATCATTATCGCTGTCATCTGTTCTCCTTTAGCGAGCCAGTTTCGTCTATTTCCTGCCCATCCTCACCCACTGCCTCCAGGAGCCGCCGAAGGCGCCGATGACGACCAACTTCAAAACGAAGAGGGAAAAGTTCCCACGCATTTGCATTCCCGTAGCCTAACCGAAGCGGAGCTGGACAATGATAGGTCGTTCATTGGGGTTAGCCATGCTTCCGCTGCACAGCTTCATCTGGGCTCAGGCAACGCACCATCCCAACCAGCCTCGCCGCCGGCTCAGAGCCATACTCCTGGCCATCTCCCGCGGGATGAAGTAGTTGCTGGCAGCCCAGCCTCGCCCCCTTCACCTTTGCCGCCACTCAAACCCACGGTCTCACCGTACCTCGCCCGTGCTTCTGCACCGGTACACAGCTCGGCTTTCCCACAAGGACCTACCATAACACCAGCGGTGACAGCTGCCGCGGCTTCCCATCCGCCTCTCCCGTCGCGCCTCCCATCGTCTTATCCTGCACCGGAAGGCAGCCCCACCGCAGCTCCCCGGCCCGGCACCAACCGTGCCCTAGGAGCCCAACACACACCCCACGCCGCAGCCATTGCTTCGCACGCATCCCAACCTACCTCAAACTTGGAGGCAACCTTTCATCCCGGTTATCCTCAGCCGGTTCACCATGACGCCCAGCAGATTGCACCTGGCTTTAATGCCGTCCCTTCAGCGGTGGCCATTTCATTAATGCAACAGCTCAGCAGTCAGGATGTGGCGCAGCAACAACAGCAGTTGGCTGCTGCTATATCGCAGAGTGTGGAGGCGATGCGGACTTCGGAGCATGTACGGCAGCTGCAGGGGGCGGTGGAGGCGCTAACAGCACAGCTTGTGGCAGCGGAGCGGGGCAGATCGACGGCTGAGGCGGCCCTAGTGGAGCTCACGCAGCGCATGCAGGAGCAGGAGAAGCGGCTGAACGAGACATGGGAGGTGGGTGGATGAGTAGAGGTTGGATGGGAACCTTTTTGGCAAGTGGGGGGCAGGGCAGGGTAGGGTACGGTATAATGGGGCCTAGGCCTGAAGGCGCGAGGTGATTGAGCGTTGAGTTGAGACGGACCAGGTATCGGTGTGTGAGTGGCCAAGCAGTCGTGGTCGAGGACGGCGCTTACGGCTCGTTTTGCATCTGGTTAGCGTCATCTTCTAGGCGCCAAATCGTAGTATACATTCCGACAGTGGACTCCCGCCGGGCTGAATCCGATTCCCTTAACGATGCGGGGCGCCTGCGTGCGGTTGCATGGGTTTGAAATATATGCAACGATTGTACCCGGCCATCGCGAATTCATCCTGTTGGGGTTTGTATGCTGTCCTTCGTATGTCGCCATGACGGACCGACGCCGACTGTTTGTGCCGCTCTGCAGGCCAAACTGCTAGAAAAGCAGCGCGAGGTGCAGCAACTGCGTACAAAGGTGCAGCAGCTGGAGTCACAAGGCATCAAGGTACGTTGGATGCACTTGTATGCGAGCGTAATATCTTCTCCCCCCTTCACCCAGTCTCTTCTGTTGGACATGGTTCAACAGAACCATGTATGTGGCGAGCAAGTTGTCGTGGCAGGCCAGGAGCCGACAGCTCTCCGAAGTGGGCATGGACGGTACAATAGCTCATCCCGTGCAGGGAATCTAGCACGCTTAGCGTCCCCGCATTCCATAATGCATCGACTGCGAATGTTATACACGGTTCGTGCAGGGCCGCCTGACCGCCGCCAGCAGCTCCGCCAACCCGCGGGGGAGCCAGCAGGGGGTAGGGTCGGGCAGCTGCATCAGCACTGAGGAGGCTGCCAGCCTACGAAAGGAGTTGGAACAGACGGAGCTGCTGATTCGGGGCTACCAACAGGAGAATGAGGCGGCGACTCGGCGCATCAAGGCGAGGATACATGGGAAGGCGGATTAACGTGGAATCAGGCCAAAGGGGAAATTGGGTGGGGAGTGGGGAAGGACGGTGGCGGTGGCAAGGCCCGCACGGGCAGATGGGAGGTAGATGATGAGTACACAGTTGAGGCTCAGGCTACATGACGGTTGAAGGTGCAGGAGCGCAATACACAGCGCATGCACTGCACAAGGTTAACATCTGCACTCCAGGTCGCCAAGATCGATGCGTGGTGTCCGCTGTGTGGGGTGCGCAGGAGCTGGAGGAGTCGCTTGCAGCTGCGGAGTCGCGCACTGCAGAGGAGGTCCTGCGCACGGAGCGGGCAGTGCTGCTGGCGCGGGACGATGCGGGCCGTCGGAACGCTGAGACCGCCACCAAACTGGCCCGGGTGCTGGCGTTAGAGAAGGAGCTGGAGGGTGTGCGGGAGGAGGCACAGGTGCGGGGGTTTACGGTAGCTACATGCGAACCCACATGCTGGGGGTTGGGCCCGCTGTGGGTACGGGGATGGGCGAAGGGAACGTTGTACCGTGTTGCCGGTTTGCCGCTTGTTCCACAGCCATCCCCAGCATCATAAATTCCAGTGCGCAGCCAGCGCCCGGCAGCTGTATGAGTATCCGGCTAAGATTTTGATATATGCCAAGCGATGCCCATCGCTAACCTGAAACCTTGGGGGGCCCGCACGTTAGGTTCAGCGTTCTAAGGCGTCAGTCTGGAGCCTTACTGACTTCCGTCCTGTGACATGCGCTAAAGCGTCTTCTGTCCGCCTCCACGGTTGACCTGTCGGACGAGCGTCTGCGTTTTTGTCGTAGATGCGCGAGGCGGAGTTAAAGGCCCAGTTGGAGAAGCTGCGGGCGGAGAAGAAGGCGCTGGAGGCACGAGCCGGAGGCGTGGATCTCAAGGTACGTTAAGGGCTCGAAGCAGCGCAGCCGCCGCGCCTGTGATCCTACAAATTGCACATCCGCAGGTTAGGGTCCCCGCACGTGTTGCGACCGCGGCAGGTCACAGCCCGGTTGTTGGGTAGCAGCCTTTGCCACAGGACATGTCAAGCGCGCTCTGTTGGCTGATACGTGCTTCTGATACCGGCGACGATACCTATCATTCAACCCTATTGGCTTCCCAAGCAAGCATACGCTGTCCATGCCTTTCGGCTCTTCCCACATCGGACCGTTCGTTTGCGCGTTGGCTGTGCAAAGGAAGCTGCATAGTTGTTTTCATAACGTTGGCTTCGGGTGCTGCCGCCGCTGCTGCGCAGGCCATGGCCGAGGGCGATGTCCTGGTGAAGCAGCTGCGTGAGGAAATGGACGCCAGCCGCCAGGCTACCCAGGCTCTCATCCAGGAAATGCAGGTAAGGAGGGCCTTGATGAAGACAAGGTGGCTGATGTGGTTTGGTGCCATGCGGCTGACCCTGTAGGCTATCGCCGGTAAAGTGATTGTTAACAGGCGTTCTTCCAGCCCGGGCCCCAGCCCATGTTTATGCTCGGGCTGCAGCCAATCTCCCGGGCTGCAGCCATTCTCCCTCCCCACTGGCCACCCAACCATGCGGCTGACAGGCGCGGTGATTTCCTGTGTGCACGTCCTAATTTGGTACGGACACGCATAACCACCCACCCTCAGCCATGGCCATCCGTTGCTCTTGTACATTTAGGCCCTTGCTGCTTTCCTGCTCAGGCCAAGCTTGCCTGGTACGCCGAGAACCAAGAACTGCTCAATAAGAACGACGCACTGGTGGCGGAACAGCGGGAGACCATACAGCAGCTGCAGGCGCGACTGGTGCAATACGAGGGCAAGTTGCCTGACCTCTAGAGCGGGGATATCTATGCCCGGTCCAGGCTCGCAAGGCGCGGCATGGGATGACGTGGCTAGCTCAGTGGTCTGTGCTCGGTTTGCAGGGTATTGCCGGTTTGCACCGTTGTGGCCATGCTTGCCTGTCCCACGGGAGCCTAGTTACGCTTGCAACGGGGATATGTGAGGTCACTGCTTTCTGTGAGTGACACGTCGTGGTCTCGTGCGCTGCATCCGAATGGCTTCTTTCAATTGTGCTCGGCGCCTGCATGCCACCGACAGGCCCAGGCGCCAAGGGGTCTGCGACTAACCGTGTGGCGGCGGCTCAGGCCCGGATCCGGGAGCTGGAGGCGCAGGTACGGAAATGCTACTCTGGTGGGGGCCCTGGCAGTCTCGCGGGACGAGATGGCGGTGGAATGCGCGGAGCTCCGACGTGAATGCACAGCGGCCGTGGTGATTGGCTCCTACTCAAACATTTCAGAATGTTGGGTGCCTTCGGGCCCTGTGTGTATTCCCTCTCTCATAGTACAGTGATGCATCCGTATGCTAGGTTTGGGGTTGTGCAATTGATTCTGGCCCCAAACCAGGTGCCTAGTTTTGGGTCCGCAGTCTACAGATCATTGGCCAATAGAGATTCAGCTGGAAGGCTTTGTCCTGCCTCACAGCACTACTTGATTGCCGTGATGCCAGGTAGACCAGCTTAACAAGGCCCTCCGTAGTCGGGCTCCGGGCAACAGCCTGGCGGCGGTGGTTGCTGCGGCTCGGCCGTCCCCCGAGGAAACACAGCTGGTTTCGGAGCTGCGCGAGCAGGTGGAACTGCTGGAGAGCAAGCTGAAAAGCAAGGTGAGGCGTGGGCCCACACACGGCGTCTCATGGCATACTGTTGGCCGGCGTTGCAGTGCACCAGTCAATACATACGACTCTGGCAAGTATCCTTTCCTTCTCCTCGCCTTGTTCCTACGGGTTCCCGGAACTCCGGACCGCCACACTCCTCACCTACCGTCCCCATGGGTATGACTGCTACTCGACACCAGCCATTCTTCCCGCCCTTTCGCATGCACCTTTCTCAGGACGAGGAGTTCGAGCTGCAGCTGCGATCCTACCAGCAGCAATTTGAAAAGCTCAAGACGCAATACTCTGAGCGGGCGAGCAGACTGGAAGCTGTCAGCAAGGTCAGAGGAGTATCAGCCCGTGTTAAGCGGCGCGGCGGGAGGGCCCAGAGTGAGATATGAGGAGCATGTGGTTCCACTTGAGGGAAGAGGCCGCGTCGCTCTGGCCTCTGCTGCACGCAGCTGCAGGATGAGGGAACACAAAGATGTTAAAGCGGGGCTTCTGTTCACTGGTATCGTAGGCACCAACCAGCGGACTCGGTTGCAGTCGAATTCTGTCGAATAACCCACCATTTACTTGACATCTGCACCTCGCACCTTTCCCCAATTTCAAACGTAACCTTCCCCCTTTCCGGAATCCAGGTCCGTGGCCGTGTGAAGGATCTTGAGAGGCAGCTGGAGGACCAGAAGAACATTTTCCGGCGCCGGGTGCAAGAGCTTGAGGCCCGCCTCAAGGCAAGTCGGCGTCCGCCGTGTTACCTTGCGCCGATTGGCCAGCGCGAAAGGGTATTGTGTCCAACACGCTCGCTATGCTACAATCGTACAAATTTACATTGTTGCTGGGCCCTAAGTTCCAGGACCCCAGTCTTTGCCAGATGTTCCTTCATCCGTGTTCCTACATGTCAGCGCTCCTCCGTACCTGTTTGCCCCTTAACCCGCATACACATGACGAAACCTTGTTAACCTTACCGCATGTCCCAAATTTTTGACCGGTACGCTCCTGCCCGCGCCTGACCTCTTTGGACCAACCCAATCTGACCGAGCGCACGCAGGCTGCCCAGGATAACGGAGCCGCGGTGCCGCCGACGCCGGCAGCAGTGGTACACCAGTACCCGGCCTCTGCGTTACAGACGCCCACGAAGGGTCAACAGCAGCAGCATCAATCGCAAACCCAGCAGGCGCCCTCCAGCGCAGTGGCCCGGAGGGACGACCTAGTGCCAGCATCTCAGCTCAGGTGTGAGGCGATTGACTGGGAGGTAGCTCTCCCCAGCTGGTGGAAAGGCGAAGATCTGGTGCCGTGGAGGGCTTCTAGACTCCTGGGCAGAGCCAAACCGCCTGTAGGGCCACCGATAGGTGTGCAGTGCAGGCGCGCGTGTGAGCAGAGGTGGAGCGCGGGGAGGCGTATGAGGATGCGGATGTGGATGGTGCAGCATTTCTGGCTGGAATGCACTCACCGACATGCGATGCGATGCGACCGTGCGCGCATAAAAGTAGCTGTACGCAAGCTTTCTCTCTCCCGGAGGCATACACATCAGATACAACCATGTCACCTCTTCCTCTGTTTGCCGCGTTCCTTAGAACATATGGCCATTATTTGGATATTACATGTTGGTCGCGTAGCTATAAGAGCACGGGCATGTCACCTGGGTCTTGATCGTGTTCCTTGATGTGGATTGATTTATTTCTGGTATTGTTTCTAGGCCCGTACCTATGAGGCCAGAGATTTTGCCCAAGTAGTATTTGCTTCCTAATCCCTCTATGCCGATTTTGCAAACGCGCCAACTCCCCTTCCCACACCGGAAGGGCTCGTGAGCTGGAAATCAAGAAGCTCACGGCCGAGCTCGAACGGCGCTCTAAGCAGGTATCCTATCGTAGCAATTAGGGAGGTCATTACTAGGTGATCGTGACATTTACGCGACAGCTGCAACCCAGGATCCGACGCTCACCGTCCAAAAAGCTGCCTCGCGCCGTCCTCTGACAACTCCACGACGCTGCAGGTTTCAGAGCTGCATTTGAAGCTCGGCGAATCGGAGTCACGCAATGTGCGGTTGGCGTCCGATCTACGCCGAGCACAGCAGTCAGGCGTCATGGGCCAGTCGCCGCTGCCGTCGAGGTACAAGAGCCTAGCCGTCCTGGGGATGTCCTTGTCTGACAGGTTGTTGGGTATTGCATGGCGTGGAATCAGGCAACCAAACGGACGCCGGATTTATGTCAACGGCACCTAGGATAGCTTCGCTTTCATGAATGAGTTTTGGTATGCAGTTGCTAAGCAACTTAGCAACCGCATGGGTGAAGCTTTCCGGCAAAACAGGCACTCAGTTAGGCGCGTCTCACCACCACGCCGACAAGTTGGTCTCGCAACCTTACATCCCCAGGCAGCGCAATGACGGTATACCACATGAGGATCGACCCGTGGGTCCATCACACAGCGTGCGGCAACAGCTGGAGCCCTACCCGCTGGATGGATCGGATGAGAGCAGCGCCGGCACGCGTCAAGCGTCTGAAGAGCTTTTGGAGCGGTTGGAGGGCAGATGTAGCAACCTGACTGTTGAGAACACCAACTTGCGGGGCCAGGTCCAGACGCTAACGAAGCAGCTGTCTGCGTTGAGACAGGAACTGGAGGTGGCGCGGGCGGCCGCAGGTGTGAGCCATGTAGCTCCGCATCAACCCTCGACACTCCTATTGAAGTCTAAGCCAAGGCTGTTGGCAATGCATTTGGGGCTCCTATAAAGTGGTTGCCAAGTGTCGTCATGACCACATCATGTGGTTCAGGACGGGTGACCCTTGGTTCCAGGGTTAACCAGCAGCCCACGTCTCGCCGTCCCTGCAGCCCAGCCGGCGGCTTCGGAAACTACAACTGTCGTCGCGGATTTACGGCGTAAGCTGGAGGTCGCTGAGCTGGCGCTCGTGACCGTGCAGCGGTCGGCTAACGAGGCCGTGGAGCGCGGTGCACTAGCCGCAGCAGAGCATCAGCGGGCCATGTTGCGGCTGCACGACGAGGTTGCTTACAAAGAGGGGCTGAAATGGCAAGAGCGGCTGGCGACGCTCGAGCAGGTATGCGTTGAGACTGGTTTCGCATCGAGGGGCTCTGACGAGAAATGTTGGCCACAGCCGAGTCCTTGTAATCTCATCAGTCGCAGTATCCAGGTGCAGGCTGCGTGATGCGCAGCCGGTATGCGCGCATAGGACTCGGGAGCTGGACATGCAAGCTTTGCTTTGCGCTGTTACGATTTTGTGTTTCTCGGATGGCATCCGCAACTTATGCTTTCCAGCGCTTTAGCACGATCTGGTAGCACGTCGCAATCATTTGCCTGTCGTGCACAGCCCGACGAAGATCTTTTCGCTTGCGTCCTTGGCCAGGAGCTTCGTCTTGCTCAGCAGCGCTGCGAGCAGCTAGAGGCAGAGCTTGCTGTAGCGCGATCTCGTGGCGCAGCGGCATGGTCTCCTGAGGCGTCCGCGTTCGCCGCAATGGAGCGCAGGCTGGATGATATGGCGCGCGACATGGTGAGTCGGCTCGAGCGATGCTACCGGTTTCAGATAATGCACGTCTGCGTGGCGCCTGGGGTGCAGCAAGCTCGGAATCCAAGATAGGTACATTTTTGGGCTAACTGTGAGGGTGTGTGGACCAGAAATTTTGTATACATGCACTATGTGATTTGTACCCTCAAGCCGTCACGTCAGGGCGTTTATCTTTGGTTGCCATTCTGGGCGTCAATTTATCTTGCGTCGCATATCCGTCGCCTGCGTACAAATTTCGCCTGTTTGCCACAGGGGGCCAGGGAAGCAAAGTGGCGCGCAGTGCTCAAGGACACACAGAGCATGCATGGCGTCCAGGCAGATGCGCAGCGGCGGAAATGGTGAGCCATATCGCCGCAATGTTCGAAATGCATTTAGGGACCTTAAGTTCAAGTCCGTAACTGGTGCTACGCAGGGAGTCTCTCCTGGCCGCCAAGGACGCAGAGGTACAGGCAACACGCGCGGAGCTTAAGTCGCTACTGCAAGAAGTCGCGCAAGTGCAGGAACTGCAGGCACGTGTTGTGGCCAAGCAGCAGCGGTTAGCTGTTTAGAGGTTGTGTGTCCACGCGACGGAAGGCCGGTGTTAACTGTTTCCATTTCGCGCAGCATGGTGTATATGGTGAACACTTGTCACTTGGCATAACCAATGTTATGTTGTTAGTGACGTAGTCGAAGAAGGTAGGTAAAGCCTGTAAATTTTCAAGAGATTTATTAGCACTAAGTCACGGACCACCATTTCATACACTTCTTCAGCTCGCAGCTCCGCCCCCTTGACCTTGCTCGGCTACGACGCTGCTGTAAACCCAGTCCAACATCTCCCGGAGGCTGCAATTTTGTAGTTGTCGTCGCCGGGCCGTTGCGTGAACACCGCCTGCCTTGCTGCCAGCATAGGCGTCTTGAAGCTCCTGTCGCAAGCAAGCCAGGAGATGTGCCGAGTTGTGCGACGCCTTTGGGGCTTGAATCTCCACGAGCTGTAGTTGCACTCCGGGCTCCTCCGGCCAGGCCATCGGCACTAGGACCTCCACCTCCACCTTATTAGGCAAGACGCAGCGCAGCACCTCCAGCGATACGGTGGTGGGTTGCAGCGGGTACTGATTGTTTGCATCTGCAGTTAGTGCAAAGCGGCAAATTTATACGTTTGCTTTGCTGCATGGGCTTTCTTTTCATAATGCTGCCGTGGAAACTACAGAGGATCCAACCAAGTGCTTAAACGCGACTAAGGCAGATAAAGCTTTGGACAAGTGTAAGAGAAATCGCAGGCATACACAAATAAGCCGTCGTCTTCCGCTGACGTTTTCGCAATCATCCTTGGATAAAGTACAATGGTGGGACGCACCCTCCAGTTGCAACTGGCGCCTGCAGTGCTTGCGGATGCGCGCCTTCACGTCGATCACCAGACTTGACAACACTACGGCCGCCTCGGCCCCTGCTGACGTCTGCACCACAAGCGCCGCCTTCACTGCTTCACCAATATCCACCGCGGGGGGGTTAAGCGTTGCAGCGCGCAGCTGCGCTGAGCCAGGCGCTTCAAACTCGATGGTCAGCACGTGCTCGGCCACCACCGCTCCAACGCCACTGGCATCGACGGCACCAATTGCAGTGTCCTGGGGTGTTTGGGAAGCCACCCCTGGGAACTGTTCACGCCCGGGCATCGAGCGGGGGATGCTCTGTGTTATGGTCAAATGCAGCTGGTTCGCGTCCTGTTCCGCCACTTCTACGCCCGTCAAGCGTGACACAGTAGAAGCCAGTGTGTCGAACCTGTGCACATGTGGGAAACGGTCAGGGGAGCCAGCATGAGCAATTCGTCAAATATCATTCGATTTCAGCAAGTTTCTCAGTGCGATGGACGGAAAAGTTAGTGGCGCAAAACTGTAAACGTATGCAAAACCGATGGCAACTGACACCGAAGATAAAGTTTGGTCCGAGGTAGCAAAGAGGTAGCAATCTTTACCTCTACTGGCATCCATACGGTTGGCGTGTTAACACCAGTGCGCTCACCTCTGGAGCCGTTCTGCATGCTGCGCGCCCTGCTTTTTGGCCGCTGCGTTGCAATCCTCCTCCAGATCCCGAATCTGTTCTAGACCAGCGCGGATTGCCTCGTGCATTGTGGCGTATCTGGTCTCCTCCGCCGCCCAGCTGGCCGCGGACGACGCAGCTTGTTGCTCCAGCAGTGCTGCACGAGCCTCTTCCTCAGCCAGCAGCCGTAACAGCTCGGCCTGGCCGGTAGTGAGCAGGCGGGTAACCATGTCAAGCCAAACCCTTCGACGGGATATGGCTACGTGATGTGCGGCCATCGCAACGCCCCTACGGTATAGCACCTGCCCTAGAGGTATAGCATCCAGGGCCGGGGTTCCGTCTGATAGCGTACTGACGTGGTGCGCTGCGTGATTACCGTACGAAGAACCACGAAAGGATATCCGAAGCCTTGTAACACAACCGGATCGCACTGCACGTCAAATAGAATACTGCAGGCCAAGCACTCCTGCCATGCTGACCTCGTTCATGTCCTCCGTTGCAGAACAAGGTGGCGCGTGCCGCGCAGCCATGTAGTCCCGAAGGTCAGCCTCAATGTGAGGCAGCTGTCCCGCCGCCTGTGTAGCCAATTTGTTGGCGTTATCGTAAAGACGTGCAAGCTGCTGGACACCGTTCTTCAACTCTTCTTCAACCTGGATGGAATGCAGGAAGGTGAAGGAGGGCGAGGTGAAGCATAGGGTGCAGTGAAGTAGGCATCCCCGCGCGTTAGCCACGTATGCAAGCACTACCTGTTTGATAGAAGCATTGATGTCCTTTATCTGGGTCTTCAGAGCCATGATGTCCTGTTTAGGCAGGGAGTATTCGGACGAGAAGTCTGTATCCAGCAGCTCTCCCACATCCCGCATCATCTTCAGCTCTGCAAAAGAGGATCCCATAATAACAATTTCCCACGGGTGTGACACGTCAACACACTTGGCACGTGAAGCGTGATAGCGTTGAACTTGAAGTCTTACCTGCCAGGAAGGCCTCCTTCGCACCCTGAAATTTCCAGTTGGCCTTCTGGCCAAGTACGTGGGTTTCTACTGGAAGTCTCCCTCCTGTCGCCTCTAGCATATCCGACGCACTTGTTGTGGTGGCATCAAGGTGCTGCTGTATGTTGCCTTGTGCCTCACGGATAGTGCTATATCACATAGACGCAGCGTTCTCAATGGATTCAGCGCAGGCGGTCAAGTAAACACGACCATAACCTTACCTTGCTAAACCTGCAAGCTTGGCCATGATCTCCTCTGTGCTCATGGACACAGAAGGCTTTAACGTGAGCTTTGCGTCTTTTGCGACTTTTACGCTCGAGTCCATCAAGGTCCCTGAAAAGTCCTCAAATACAATATGCCTGGGTCGGAGGACGTCCATACTGGAGTTCATCTTATAAAATGTAGAATGAATAGGTTTCAATGTCTCAATGAGCGCAAAGCGTCATAACTGTCTTGCAGCTGTCTATTTCATAGCAAGGGCGGATTTATGTGTTCGCGATAAACATGCCTTCATAAACAGGACCTTAGTTTGTAGTTCCTAATCCTTTTGGGCTTCTGGGGCAATGTCACAAAGAGGCGGACTCGGCACCAATAATCCATGTTGTAGTACAGAGGCCGTAACTGTTCAGGTGCCCAAATCCTTTGATCCACTCCGTGAGAGGAATTGTTGTTTCGTCTGTTCATACATTGGTCACTTAATTTATTGGACGGGATTTGCCTGCTCTTATAAACTTTGCCTTGTAATGGGAGGTGTATTACGCCTGCCCCTTTCAACCGTGGAGAAGCTTGCTTGGAGGGTAGAGCCATCGCTCGTAATACAAGAATCTCTATCACTTCAGGCATCAAGTAAATGAGCAATTTACACGTGTCGTCGCCAGTTCGTTTCCCGTGTCCACGGCCCGTGGACAGTGCTAGCCCGCCAATATGTGGAGCTGCGCGGCAGGTTTCTGCGCTACGCTTTGGAAACAATTTGCTGCCGCCGGCGAGCCGCAAGGAGCTGCGTTTTCCCAGCCATAAGACCTTGCAGGACGTAGGGCGAAGCACTATCACTCCGGCGGCATCTTATACCTCTCGAGAAGAATCTGCAACTGACGTTCATGCTCGCCGGGAGGATGAAGAACACGGCGCGACGCAGGTACCGCGATGTAGCTTTGGGTACCTTCAAGGAGGTCATTTACATGCGCAAGGCTATGTTAGCAAGTACTACACAGAAGTACCTGTCTATGCGCGATTTCGTTTATGTATGCGTCGCCCAAAGAAGTCCTGTAAAGCTGGGACGCCTCTAACTGCACGCCTTGCTTGTACAGCTTCTGCAGATGTAAAGCATTGCATTTCATATGGTTTTATGCAGTACTCAGTGTGCGCAGGTGACCATCCTGCTTCTAACGGGTATGCGTGTTTGCTGCGCTCGCAGTTAATCCTACTTCTAACGCTGTCAGTTGTGCTACTTACGCTGCCATGGGTTGTTGACCATCCTGTGACGCTGCTGGTGAGGTTTGGGTTGTTTGGTGGTGGTCCAATTTTGCCGAATATGCCTTGCTTTTGGTCAGAATCCTAGTGGTGCACATACCCTTACGCATGGCAAGAAAATTTCGTGCAGGTGCCCGTCGCTCTGTTCATCCTGCCGATAACTTCGGATGCGCTTCGCTCGCTGGTGTCGGAGGGTCTCGCATTAATTTCGAGTGGTATCCGCTGGTTCTGGCGTCACCGTAAGACAGGACGAGGTTATGCGACGGTACAGCCTGTTGCGGCAGCAGCTCCGTCGCGTGCAACCCAAATGCAACCCAGCACCCAGCATGCACATGTTCGTCACGCCTATCAACCACCCAGAGCGTCTGCTTTCGGCAATCGCCAGCAGCCAGAGTCCTGGCAGGCATCGACCTCATCCCTTCCATATGTCCCGGCTCGAGTACATGTCGAATCGCCCATTAAAGCTACAGGTGTGCAGCCAGGCTTGATGGCCCGTGGTGGGGGCCTTCCGGAAAAGCCCGACTGGCAGCCAGTGGTACCTCGCCCGCATTCCGTTGCACAGCCTTTAGTTCTGTGCGCTCAATCGAATGCTGTGCCGCCAGAGCTCATTACGCCAGACCTTGACTTCGATTCAGATAACGAGACAGTTGTCCACGAAGACATTCACGGTCGCTCTGCATACGGCAGCATGTTATCCAGCCAGGGGACGTACGGCTCAGGCCAGGTCCAGCCGGGACATGTCCAATCGATGCAGCAACGGAATATGCCGAGCAGCGCACATCCACGACCTGCATCCAAGATACGGCCAGTGGAACAGGCCGAATGCACCGTATACAATTGGGACGAAGTCGAGGAGTGCACGCAGCGGCGTGGTCACCGACCTCTGTCCGACCTGCTTAATAATGTCCAGTGAAGACCGCTCGCGTCTGGTTTAGGGGTAGGAAACGCTCATGAACTGGTATGTTATATAGCTGCAATTCGTGAAAAGGCTTGTGTGGACCCTTGTATTCCCGGGTTGTTTCTTAAACCCCTTAAAATGAGGGTGGATATGCACCATATCCTTGCACAATCTTCTTGACCAAAGGTTCTGGACATTTTTGCAGTTATTGCTTATTGTTGAGGAGGCCTCGTTCAAATGCTACGGGGTGTTGCGAGTCAGAGTGGCCTATTCTATTGCACGGGGTTATCGCCTCGCTTTTGCCAGTTCACAGTTGTTGTATGTTAAAAATGTGGCCAAGACATTTTGTTTGGCTATGTGCACAATGGATGGCTGAAGGATTTGGCGGCTTGCGTCGCAGCAGTTGGAGTTGAAGAGCTTGCCGGGACCGGGGAACGGATTACGGGACTCGAAGGACGGAAAAAGTGCAGGAAAAACAGTTACATTTGTGCAATTTGCAAGTACTCGCCGTTGGGCGCTCCGCAGCTTATGAATGACCTTGCTGAGGCGGTTTTCAGCGGTGTGATGCAGTGCTGCTTCAATGCGCAATGTTAAATATAAGATGGATGGCTTTCATCACCCGCCGGGTGCCGGGTTGCCTTGACTGTCGGCGTATCGGTGATGGTGGCGCTGCGGTCTCACATGTGCGTTTTGTACCAGCATGTGCGGGACTCGCGGCTGGTGAATATCGAGCCATCCCTCGGGATAATGCCACCAACCGTCTGGATCGCGGTAAGGCACTGCTGGAGGTTGGGGTGGCTGGAGTGGGCGTTGCGTAGGCTCAGGGGGAAACAAGGAAGACCAGGTCGTTTCCAGTTGGCCGGTCATGTCACGGGGTAGTCCGGACCTATTTATTCTAATGCCCGTAGGACTGGTACAGCCGGCGTCCCTCCAGGGCGGTCGGGTTATGGGACTGGTGCTGCGAGACCTGCATGGCATAGCAGCAGATTTTAACGAGCCGTGTAAGCTTTGACGAGTAATAACGACCTGAAGAGTTTTCATTCGGGAACACGCATTCCAAGAGATCGGAGTGCAGCACATGTGTGGTTAGAAGACATGTAGCTGGAAGTCGGGCATGGTGGAACAGGAAAGTTACTGCCCGCACCTTCCGTCAGCACGCAACGTCGCGGGCCAGTGCGCTGCTACCTCAACGCGCTCCGGGGGTGCAGTAGCTTCGCCACCATCAGGCCGACGAGCAGTCCTGTGCCCACGAGAAGCCTGGTCTCGCCCTGAATCCACCCCCACGTCACTCCACATGGTCGGGCCGGGTGGAGGGCCACCAGCCACGCTGTCTAATGTTGGGTGCTTCACGCAAGAATCAATGCCAATGACCTTGTCACCGCAATACTTATCAGGTGCTCGAAGCATGTCGTCCTGATCCTCCTGCAGCCCGTCGCCCCCAGCTGCCGGGGCACACTTCCGATGCGGACGGGGCCGCAACCTTGGTGGGCTCATCCGTGCCGCGTCGCGCATAGCGTTAATCGCTTTGCCTCCTGGGCCCCTGATGCTTGGTGCCAAATCATCGGCTTTGCCTGTTAAGGCAGTAGCTCCCGCCATGCCTACCCGGCAGTGTGCCGGGTAGGCGCTCGGCCGCTGTCCGGCAGCAACCGCGGGCGAGGGGTCCCGACGCTGCAGTGCAGCTGCAATCCCGGCTAGGACGGCCGGCTCACTGAGCTTGCGCACCCCACCGTGCCCATGTTCGACCTGCCGCCCGGATACGCCGGCAGGCGGATGTGCAACGGGCTCAGCCGCTAGTGGTCGGAAATCTCGTGGCACAGGACTACCCTGTTGTGGCAGTGGGCCGTTGTGTTGGTGACTCGGCAGGTCATCGTGCATGACGGACCCTGCCCCAGCTGCAGCACCCTCCTGAGCCGCAACCATAGCCTGAGGTGTCAAGAGGAACGTGGTAGAACGTGCAGTGTCAGCAGAGCATGGAGGACAAGCGAAGAGAAGGCGAAGTCGGATAATGGACACGGAAAACATAATGTCACCTATTCCTACGCACAATGGTGTGCAGTGCAAGTTGTCCATACCAGTAGTCGCACCTGCAGCATGGCGCGCGCCTTCTTCCACGCGGTCGCGTAACGCCAGGCCGTATACTGCCATGCCTGCGGGGCATTGAGTAGGGCGCAGCGATACCAATGGGCTGGTTGAACCCAACGCTCACTAGCAGGATACAAAGGATGGGCCCTAAGGACCGCATTATTAATGGCCACTCTTAGAGAACCCCACCAGCTGCTTTCCTTTCTCATGCTTTAACCAGATCATCGCTTCAAAGTGCCGGATGCTTTGCGTGTACCTGCGCCTGCTCCTTGAGCTTGGCTTTCTTGGCCCGCCAGCGCAAGTGGTGCTGGTGCAGCAGGGCCCGCAAGGCCGCAGCGGTTGAGGCGTCGTCACCCGTGGGCACGCCGGTGCCAATGACTGCACCTGCTCCGCCCGCACCATTTGCTAAAGGCCCATCGCGGTCGCCCGCCGCAACGCCGCCATTCTCAGCAAACGCCGAAGCAGATGGCCGCGCGGCCTCCGCCGTCCTGCCCTTGGACCTCGAAGTCACACCCATACGGCGGGACATGTCCGTATAATATTGTACAGCACCACCGGGTGCCGGTGATGCGGCTCTGCGTGCGTTCTTGTGCTCATCTCGGTGCTGCGGGGAGGAGATAGCGCCAGACGGCAAGGCAGGCGCTGCGGGCTCAGCTAGAGCTCCACCACTCCGAGCTGTACCACGCTGATGAGTAGGTGATGCTTGGTGCTGCGGCAGTGGGGAGGACTGCCGCTGCGGGGAGAAGGACCCGGATGGTAAGGAACCTTCGGCAGGATCAGCCGACGGGGCACCCACGCGTGCAGAAAGGCGCTGCGAGGGGGAGGAATGCCGTACCGGCAGTGGCGATGCTTGGCGCGGCGGGGAAGCCGAGCGCGGAGACGTGGGGCCCTGAAGCACCGCAAGCTGCGACTTTGGCTGGCGGCCTGGCGAGCCTTGGCAGCTGTTCATCTCACGGCGCTGCTGCTGTTCCTTGGCATGGAAGGCTATGAGCTGCTCCATTGCGGCATCCAGCGCCTTCTGCATCTGCATCTGTAGCCGGGTACTCTCGGCCAGCTGCCGCAGCAATGCCTCATTCATATGACGCATGTCACGTAATGACGAGGATGCTGGCGCAGCTTGCAAAAGAACTTGGGTTGGAGACGGTGGTGTGTTGCCTGCATGGTTCCCGGCACAGCCGCAATCACTATCGCGACTAGCATCAGCAACGCCAACATTAATGTTGCGAATAGCAGCTCTGCCAGCAGCAACATCGCCAACGCCACCGCCGCGGCGTATGGTGTCCCCGTCACCAGCCCCTGCGGCTGCTGCCCTTGAACTCGGCACGGGTTGGTGGGCCCAGTCGTCCACGGCAACTGAAGGCTTGCCGCCCCCCGCCAAGCCCACTGCATCTGGTCTCGCACTGCCTCGGGAACTGGGACCCTGTGTGGCCTGCTCCTGCTCTACTAGCCGGGCCAAGACAGCAGCCGCGTCTGGGCCAGCCCTGCTGGTACTGGAACCCGATTGTGGGCCGACGCCAAGGACCTCTGCTTCCGTCTCGAACTGTGCGTGCTGAAGCAACTGGGCTAGGTACTCGCCTTCCAGCTCCCCCCTCGCGGTCCTGGGCGAGCTGCGTTGATCCCCGGTAACATCGGAAGGCTGGTAGCGTGAGCTGCCTAACGTGGATACAGTCTGGCGTCCGGACATCCGTCCGGGTTGCTCTTCCTTGCTATCGCCGCCTCCAAGCTCCTCGCCAAAGGCATGAGATAGAGATACGCTGCTGGTGCCGCTGCCGCGGGAGGCGAGGGGCCCAGGTTGCTGCGTATCAGGGATGAAGCGCACATGCGCCTGGGAAGGGGGGGGACGCAGTAATTGCGGTGCCGGCTGGCGTTCTCGAGGGTAGGACGGCAGGGATGTGGCGTCGCTGTGGTACGCCCGCATTTCAAAGGGGCCACCATTGAGTAAAGCTGCGGCTGGTGCAGAGAACTGAGGTGGTAGTTGTGACATGGCGGCTTCAAACGAGACCTGCAGGCATTTAGGGAAGCGCAAATTTAGTATAATACTGCTGGGCATAGACATTGTTAATGGATGGAGCAGCAAGGCCCCTATAAGTCGAAGATTGGTGTTGAGGATAACGTATGGGCGATTACCGGTAGCAAAACGACAGCGCAATGGTGACTGTGGTGTTCAGTTGTTCACGCAACCATTAACCTGCCCTAAACTGGATCATGATGGGGAGCACAGCCATAAAACCGCCAGAGACTCGGTAGGAGTGCATTGCTCGTTCTGCGCTTCATCCAACCTATCCCCTATCCCATCGGCTAGCACGGTTTGCCGTTTTATGCCGTACAGACCCAAAAAGGCAACCTTCTAAGCTGCAGATGGCGCGGCTCGAAGCCAGCCATGAAGAGGCCCGACTCACCTGCTGCACGGTCTCCTGGTGCTGCGCCAGAAGCTGCTCGAGCGCCTCTCTCAGGGAGCCGCTGCCGTTGGCTATCCCAGCGCCAGCCGGAGCAACGCCCGACGCAGCTACAGTGCTGTTTAGTGGGGCCCGCTGGGATTGCCACGCGGAAAGCCGACTCCGCAGGCTCGATAACCCCACATCGTCGGGCATGCTGACACCGGAGCGGCCGCTGCCTTCATCTGGTTGCGTCTGCGTGGACTGGAAAGCGCTTTCCAGCCGCTGCGGGGGAACCGGCGAAGGGACGCGGCAGCTGCCTTCACGTGCAGCAGCAGCCGCAACAGCAGCGTAGGCATACGCGTCGCGTTCTCCAAAGGGCGAGTGCGGGAGGGAGTTCCTTCTTGGGTATGGATTGCGCCCGGGTGAGCGTTCAGCCCAGGGTTGTCCGCCGCGTGACAGACCCTGCTGATTTGATTGAAGCTCGGGCAAGGAAAAGCCTCGCCATGGTGGTCGCTCTGTTGCCGCGCCCACGGCATCATTCCGGCTAGGGACTAGATGTCGCTGCGGGGCTGCTGGGAAAGGAGCTGCTGCAGCTGCCGCTGGGGCCCCATTATTGTTCAGCCATGCCTCACGGCTGCCGCTAGCAGCCTCTGCTAGCTTGAGCAGCAATTGAAACTCGTCATCGGGCGGCCGCGAAACTCCTGGGGATGGCGCCGCGATGGGACCGCTGGCCCCCTGCGGAGACTGCGATGGCTGCTGCGACGACGACGCGCCCATAGTCCATTGCTGAATCTCGGACAACGCGTAGTTTCCGGCAATGAAGTCCTGCAGCCTGCTTGCAGGACGCGACGAGGGTGAGCTGAGCTGCTGCTGGCCTTGCGGCCCTTTTTTGCTCGGGGATGTTGGCTCTCGAGGGGAGGCAGCGGGTTGCGGGATGCGGGGTGCCTCCGGCCCCATATTGCTAAGACGGCTTATGCCCCTGTCCAAATTTTTAGCGTCAGCTGGGGGCGCAATCGGTGGGAGCTGCCTCCCTGCCGTTCCGTTAAGGTCGCTATGGAGGCCCCGCTCCGGAGGTGCCGGCGGGGGTGCCGGGGCGCGCGGCTGGTCCCCGGGTCCAGATATGCGCGGCTTGGTTTGCTTGTGGTCATGCGTGGGGAGTTCAATGCGCGTCGGCGACGTGACGCCGCGGTATGTGGTCAGGATGGCTTGGTGAGGCTCCGTTAGCGTAAAGGGCCTCATTTGACTATCGGTGGGACCCCGGGGTTCAGAATGCCGTTCTGAAGGTGGACCAGCATAGGGGTGTGAGGATGAAGACGGGGCCTGCGATCTGATGGCCTCAGCGCTTGGGTGGTCAGACAGCGCGGAGGAAGGCTGGGTCTGCTGTGGTCGGGGCCGGTAGCCCCGAGGCGAGCCGAATGAGTGCTGCGAACCTGCAGAGCAGGCGGAAGAGGGCCCCAAGGCCTGGTTAATTTCAAGCGTCCGTTGTGGATGAACAAGCCGCACCAAAGTGCGCGGATCGGCTATGTTAGCCGGGCTGTGCCAGTTCCCTTAGATTTCCGCAGTCCCTGCAGATGGCAAGCTCAAAGTGGGAATGGCCCGTTGACGAGAAGAATGACACTTCTACGAAAAATACCCCTGATAGTATTGCGAAAACTAACGTGTTCACCAAGCCTTACATAACTGCCCCTGCAGGCGTGCCTATGGCCAAGTCATACTGTATGGCTGCGCAGTTCACATGCGCATCACGCGGAGGCGGGCCAACAAGGCTCACGCGCCCACGCATCCAGACAGGAGGCTGCTCAGGCCGCTTACCCGCTGGGAGCTGTAGCTGCTGCTCTCCCTGCGGCGGCTGCTGGGGTATATCTTCCGTCGAACGGTTGTTGGGATTGAGGTGTAGCATGAGCCGGTTGGCCCCGTCCGCCACAGCCGTGTACTGCCCCTCCACTACCACCAGCCGGGATTCCTGTAGCGGCTCCTTCTGCAGCGTCTGCTCGGCACCGGGCATAGAGCGCTGGCCTACGATGGGCCCAGCCATAGCCCGCAGCGTCGGCCTAAAACAAGGAAGGACGGTCCGAATGTGGGTGCACGGGCGCGTTACACGGACGACAGTGATAGCCCTCTTGGCCCTTGGGCCAGGTGTTAGAAGGGACGCCCGCCTGTCAGGTGCGCAACAACTCGTAAGTAGACAGGTAGATAGATAGGCAGATAGGAAGGTAGGTAGGTGCGAGATGCGGTTGGATTACCGCAAAGGTAACAGGTCGTTTTGATAAAAGAGGCGGAAGGATCACGCAGCACCCTACGCTGGCTAACACGAGCCTGACGTTTCGTATTTACCAGCCGTGACCCACAGACCTTCTTGGGTTTCTGTCTGGGCCATCTGCTTGACCCACCTATTCGATGCCTGTCCAGTACCAGAACCCCGGCTTTCCAGTACTGTAGGGCCTCCTGACACGCGACCACCCGAAGAGGATGTAAGGGGCAGCACCGTCACCCGAAGCCATCTACCAGCATCGTCGTCCGTGCACTGGTACGCAGGCCGCATTGCACCAGGGATGAGCGTCCATGCCGCAGCGTCATCAGCTGAAGGCGCCTCAGTGCCACCCGTCTGTAGGGGAAGGCGCCAGGGCCAAATTGGGAAGGATAAGGCCAGGTACCGGTGTTCGCGGTCGCGATAGGGATTTGCAGGGTAAGCCGCAATGCCAGCCTGTAGCGTTCCGGATCGCAATTAGGTTTGCTTGAAGCCTAAAAGAAAATGATTATCTGCTTGCGCTGGCAACGGGGACCACCAGTGGTCCTTATGCAGCGCTGAGGGGCAGGGGCGACCTGCACGCCTATGCAACCCGGCTCAGCCGCGCCATGCAAGGCCCTACCCGATTATCCGCAATGCTTCGGTGCCAGCTAAACCGTGCGATGACGCGCGTATCCTCCGGGTTGCCTGTTGGTATGGAAAAATGGCTCTTCCCCGTCCATCTTCCGTACGCCAAAGCCGGCCCTCCTAAAAACGTGAATAGCGATACGTCGCGTAATTTATTGCAGACCCGTACCTGTAAGCGCCCGCACGCTCCGCACATCTGCTGCAGCAAGCAGCTCAGCTCCTACCCGAAGCTCCCCCAATATGCTCAACGGTTTCAACATGACCACAAAATACTATTTCTTAAGGTCCCATGATCTAGGTAAAGCCATGTTCAACCTGTGTTCTGGGTGAGTACACAATTAGCGACAGCCCGGTCAATTGGCCGAGGTTGACTGTTAAGCTATGAGGTGCTTTCTTCTACCCATGTATGTACACATTTAACATTGGGTTCGGGTGCTGTTTGTGCAGCCGCTAACCTCACCTGTGAGCAAAACTGGTAACGGTCCGTACGTATTACGGCAAGTTCCATGGGCTAGGACCTCGGAGGAAATTCTCTAGGAATTCGGGGAAGAGGCTGACCACTTTTTCTATTGCCACGGCCAACAGCAAACATCATGCCCGTCTTTAGCCGATACTACAACACCGGCCTTCTCTGCGGCATCGCCGTGGCAAGCGGCATTTCCATATGGTGGTATAACCGTGAAAGCATTTACCTACGTGTAAAGGCTGATCTCGAGAAAGAAAAAGCAGCGGAAAAGCACTGAACTTATTCGAAATGGCCAAGCGCAAGCGGGAGCCAAAGGACGACGACCTGCAATCAAACAAGCCGAATCGATCCCCGACAGCCTTCGAGGAGCGCCTGTACCAGGTACGCTAGGGGAACGTGCCTTCATCAACGCTGCTGTGACCTAAAGTTAGTGGGCTTTGCCTACACGGCTGCAGCTTTGCAAGTGTATCCCGTCTGGTAAAGTTAGCACGTATGGAGCCATGGCATCTGTATTGCACAGCGCACCTCGTGCCGTCGGACAGGCAAGTGTACCATACTTTGTTTCAGCTGTCCTAGCGCCATGACTGTAAAATTGCAATAATTGCCGAATCTCTGCTTTCATTCCGCGTCTTAGCCTCGACACCCCGCCGCGCACAGGCACTTCGCCGGAACCCCTTTGCGCCTATGGTGCCTTGCCACCGCGTGGTCGCTGCAGACCTCAGCATAGGAGGCTTTTCTGGCGCTTGGGTCAGTACCTACAGCTGTTTAGCACATGCCTTAGCATTCTGGGAACTGCGCACGCTGATAGCTTTCCTTCGGTACGTCATTTTCACTGATCTTTCCTTGTTGTTCATGTCCCAGGGCATCGCGGATCCGAAGGTACAGCGCAAGAAGCGGCTGCTGGAGGACGAGGGGGTCAAGTTCGTTGGCTGCACGGTGCTGAGCGATGAGTACGTCCTCAATGCCGAGCAGCTGCGCCAACGACTATCAGAGGCGTTGGCTGCAGAATCGGGTGGTGGGAGCAAGGCATGGAAGGCTCAGGGGGGTGCGTAGCGTCCGACAGAGGCCACGCCTGGGCATGCGGGTAGTAGTGCGCTTGGGTCGCGTGGATCACATGTGCACGAGGATCAAGCATGTCGTCTTGAAATCCAGCAAGCTATAGCTAGTTAGCTTGTCCAAGTGGGGCCACGTCGGGCGGTGGTGCATGTGTTGATGCCATTTGTGGAATGACAAATAAGAATTCCAGGTTGCCGTAGCTCCTGTAAGCTCCATCGTGCAGAACCCCAGGCTGTACGATTACCATGACTGCCATTTGCAGTTGTCTTTTTTTGTTATTCCGCGAACAGTGTCACCCTTCCCGCCCAGCAGCAATCCTGCCAGCAAAGGGCAGCATGTACTGGTGAAGTCGAGGTAAACTAATAGGCGGCAAGAATGCCGCAAGTCCATTTCCCCGGCCACGCGTTTTCAAGACACGAGGTCATTTACCAACTCCCAACCGCGTCATTACCGGACATACGCATACATGGCTAGGCTGGCAGTTGACTACCAGGCAAACTATAATAGATTATAAACCAGAGCAAGTCATGGAGCAATGTCATGGCAGGATTACCATACTCCAATTCGAGCTGGAGAACAAATGCACGGATCAACGGTGTTGGAAAACGCGACCATGAGCGTGTGCGCTGATGCACGTCAAGTTACCCTCAACACGACGGACACCCATCAACAGAAAATGCAGAACCCCCTTAAATTCCCCTCATAATTTTTCGGCCACGGTGCACCAGCCAGTCAGGTCGCCTAAAGATTGCCCTTACGCAGGACATGGCGTTAATGGTCACATGGTTCACCCTGCAGAGCACGAACGCGCCGTCACTAAGTACCTCAAAACTCCAACAGTATGTCCTCTCTGTCTCAATCACGCAGCCGGTCACGTACAACCCACGATCATATGTAAACGCCTCATACCATCACCAAGCCGCACGATGTTGCCGGGTCATTGTTGCGCTATGAATGCATAGCATGTAGCTATCAATGTGGATAGGCATCTCCAGTGCAAAGAAGGCCACGAGCAAGGAGATCACCCCGCCACAAACTCCGTACGCCCGCAATCCGGCAGACGAGTCCTCATGCATTAGTGCTGTGTTACGGCACCCTGGCACCCTCTCTCCTCCACCACACGCGCTATAGCACGACCGAGGCGTTGGGGGAACGGTACAGCGTCCCCCCTTTGCGCAGCTGCCCTCGCGTCCCGCTGCTTCCACCCCCTGCGTGGAAGCCTCCTGCCCCGCCTCCATTGCCGGCGTTAGTCATAATGGCACTCAGGCTGCGGAAACCGTCTGCCCGGCCCTGACGCAGCTCCCCATGCGGCACTGCAACGGGTTGTCCAGCGGCTGTAGCTGCAACGGGAGGTATAGCCTGTGGCGCACCGTTCATACCGCCCGGCGTGGGCCCAGCCGCAGCAGCAGCCACAGCCACTGCCGTAGGCACGGGCAGGGGCACAGGCGCAATCGCAAACACGGGTGCGGCCGGCGTCATGGGGGAGCCGCGCGGGCCTACAGACGGCAGCTTGCCGACGGGCAAGATGCCTTGCGCCGTGGATGCCAGCAGGTTTGCGGGCAGCTGCGGAGTCTTCTTAAAGGACAGGAAGGGCCCAACGTAAGGGTATGGACGAGGCGCCACTGGCGGTGTGGATGGCCGGCGAGTGGGTGACAAGCTGCTCCCCGGCCGGTTCGAAAAAGACCCTGCAGAGTCCGGAAGTACCAGCTGCAGAGTGGTTGGCTGACGACTTACATTCCTCGGTGAAGCGCTGGTGGTGGCAGCGGATTGTGACTGGTTATGTGCCGCCGGCGGAGTGGCCGGCTGCTGGGGCGGGGATTGCCCTTCGCTTCCAGCGGCAGCGGCAGCGGCGGCGGTGGCCCTCGAAAAAGCTCCTGAAGACATCGGCCTGGGAGGCGCAGCGGGGGCGTTGCCCGTGTGTGCCGTGCCCATAGACGGCGGATTCTGCAGCGTTGCCGGCTCGCTGTGGGTCTCAGATGATGGCCCTGCTGGCTGATCCTCCCCTTCCGCCAAGGAGTCTTGCTGCTGTCGCGGCGGTGAAGGACCCTCCCCGGACGCAGCGCTGCCCTCGCTCATGACCTCACTATCCTGGCGAGCCAAAGCGGGGTGGGAAGGCACATCTGCGCTGACGTCCGCGCCGCCGCTACGACATCCCACCGCCGCTGCGGAAGACGTCTCCGGGGGCGCCTCACCGTCCGATGGCGCAGCAGCACCAGCCTCCACATCGGATGCGACGGCTCCCGTCTCGTCCGGCCCGATTTCCAGTTCCGCTTCCGTCTGTTCCTCCTTTGTCCCCGCCGCCGCCGCTGTTGCCGGTGTCGCGTCGGCCTCGGTGTCGGCTCCGGCTGCAGGCCGCTCTGCGTCAGTGCGCGAACTCTGACCCTCCGCGCTACCAGCCTCAGCTGCGTCCTTTGCTGCTGGCCGGCTTGACGCGCCCGCCTCTGCCGTGGCCGCGTCAACTACCGCCGCCTCAGTCTCCGCCTCAGTCTCTGTCGCGGGTGCAACACTTCCATCTGCGGCGTCCGGCTCCGCCTCTCCAGCATCTGCCGCGGCACAGTCTTCCCGCTGCACTGGCCCCTCCTCCCCGGAAGTCCCTGCTGGCCCCTCCGCCTGTTCTAACTCCTCGCCAATCCTCGTCGCGTCTGCTTCCGCGTCCCCGCCGTCCTCGGCACCTTCTGCTGTCCTCTTCGTCTCGTCCCCTCCCCCTCCATCCACCCCATCGCGGCCACCATCCGGTACGCTGCCCTCTTCCCCTTCTCCCGGCCCGTCCACTCCCTCAGCCCTAGCCTGCGCCGGGCCACCTTCCACACCCGCGCCTTCCTTACCTCCCTGCCCCCTTGCGCCTGCCCCTTCAGCCGGCTCCCCCGGCACCAAGTTCCCCCCTTCCGCTGCCGTCTCCCCTGCCACCTCGCCCTCCCCGCCGCCGTCCCCCTCGCCAGTACCCTCCTCAGCCTCCTCGGTCCCCCTGGCCATTGTCTCCTCCGCTTGCCGCACATGAGCCATGAGCATTTCGTTGGCTAATGCCGCCGCAATCGCCTCCGCTACCATGGCGTCTACTGAGCTGTTCTGGGTGACCATATGACGACTGAACCGCGCCTTGCCTGTGCTCTTAGTCCATCGGACCGCATCCCGGCGGCTGGGCGTCAGGGACTCGCCATCGCTACCAAAGTCCTCCTCGCCACTGGTGAAGACGGCGCTGGCGCCGCGGCTAATGCTGCCGCCGCGACTGTTGCCGTGGCTGCCACCGCGGCCGCGGCTGACGCTGCGGCCGTTGGCCCATCGCTGGTCCTGGGGCAAGGAAGCATCGCCGTGGAGGGACCGTGTCGGGGAGTTGGGGCCGCTGGGGCCACTGGAGGGTAACCAGGATGCGTCCTGTACGGCCGGGGAGGCGGCGCCGCCGGAGGCCGCAGCGTCGCCGCTGATGCGGGAGGCGAGTCCCGGTGTGTCGCCGCCACCGCTCTCGCTTCGCTGCCGCTGCTGCTGTTGCTGCTCCGACTGTGTTGGCCATGCTGGCGCTGGTTGCTGGGGAGACCATGCTTGGCTGGGTGGGTGCCCGGGCATGGGGTCGTGGGACTGCGGTCGTGACAGCCCCGGCTGCGAAACGTGTTGTGGAGGTGGTTGCGGCGGTGGCATGTTGGGGGGAGCTGCGGCCCCAATGATAAGCGGCCCGGGCCGCTGCAGGGACCCCGCATGCTGTGGAACGGCGGCGGCGTACCCTCCGCTGAAGCTCTTGCGGCCGACGTCGCTTGCGTCCGATGCCAGGAGCCCTTTTTCACCAGTAATGTACGGCAACGCGTCCCTGTTAATCTGATTTGCGCTATGCACCCCACCGCGATTGAGCCGCGGGCTGACGGCTCCCCCTCCGCCACCGCCGCTGCCGCTGTTCGACGTGCGTGGCCCATCGCTGCCGCTGACGCTGATGCCCACGACGCTGAACGCGACGCCGTTCGACGTCACACCGAACGACGATGGCGCCGTGTACGGCAAGCTCGGCGTTTCAATAGGCGACGACGTCCAGCCCCAGCGGGGCTGCGAGAGCGCCGTTGCGGCGGAGGATGAACTCCCCCGGAACACAGCGCCACTGCCGCGGCTACGGCTGTGGCTCAGGGAGGTGTGCTGAAGGTGCTTACGAGAAGATGTGGGCCGCAGTTGCGCCGCGGCCGCCGACGGCAGCAGTGGAGTCGGCAGCGGCAGCTGTGCTGGAAAGCCCACACCACCGCCGCTAAGGGCGCTTAGGCTGTTCAGACCGCCCCCGCCGCTGCCGCCGCCGCCGGGGTCTTGCTGGACTGCTGCTGTGGTTGCTGCTGCTGCTGCTGCTGCTGCTGAGGCGGCGGCGGCATCTTCGGGGTAGACTCGGTGTAGGGTGATGTCCGCTCCCGCTGTAGCGGGCCGTTCCAACAGAGAATTGATCATGGTACCGGGGCCCAGGCCCCAGGAGAAGTTAATATCGGAGCTGCGGACCTTGTCGACCGGGTAGCTGTGGCCATAAGGGTAAGGGGGGAAGGCAGCAGAGGAGGAATGAAAATGGTGAGATGGACGGTTATTCCCCCGCGTCCGTACCACGGGGACGAATGAATGACTGGATGGACAGCTGCATGGAGTCGATAAGAATGAAGAGAAGTTGCTCAAGGTGGTGAATGGAATGATGGGAATGGTGTTTATGACAAACGAAACGCGGTAGTTCTCGGGGGTCAAGTCGTCGCCACTCGGCGGTGCTTGGTCCCGACAGCCCCCTGCTGGCTGTGTCTTCACCCGGGCAGCCCGCCCTCTCGTTCACCCCCTCCAGCCCTCCCCTTCCAGTCTATCCGGTTTCCACTCACGAGGCTGAAGCGGCCGCGGAGGTCCGGCCGTGCGCCTTCATCGCCGCTGCCGTTGCCGCTGTCCCACCGCCGCCGCCACCGCCGCCGGTGCCGTGGCTGCTGTTCCCCATACCCAGCACTTGCGATGTTGCAGCAGCCATTTGCATCAATGCCCGGGCCCTTGGCGTTAATCCCGAGACTTGCTTCCAACCTCCGAAACGGAGCCTCGCCTCCGCCGCCGTGGCAGCGGCAATGGTGGCGCTGCTGGACATGTGCGCCGTGGGGGCCACCACCGGCGCCATACTTGACACACCGCCGCCATCACCGCCGCCGCTAGCGGAGGCCGCGGCCGCCGCAGCAACTGCGGCCGCCGTTGCGAGGCTGCTCGTGATGAGGTTCTCGATAGCTTCATTGTGCAGCGCCGGTGCCAGGCCACGTAGCTCCAGGGCGGGTACGACAGGGTTGGCAGCCAGCTGCCGTAAATCATGGCCCCGCAGCAGCTTGTCTCGTAGCGAGGCGGCGGCCTTGCTGCCCGGCTGTCCGGCCGCTGTTCCGTTGACCGAGCTCCTCAGCTGGCGCTCCGTGATCCGCAGCTTGGCCTCCGCGACCTGACGTAGAGCCTGAGGGCGGGGGCGGGGGCCGGAGGGCGGGGGATATCAGTCGTAAGGGGAGGTAGGGCGGTAGAGGCCACATAGCGGGAGGGGTGCGGGAGGATATATGCACATCCAGGAGCGGAATACTGCTGCCAACCCACAAAACCGAACCAAGAGGCAACCAGGGTCGATGAGGAAATGTGGTGAGGGAGAGGGGAGAGGGTATGTAGATAGCGGGAAAGACGAGAAGCGGCGTACACCGGTACCTCCCGGGGATTATTCGTCCGCTCCCAAAGACAACTACTTACGCCGCCTCGTGAGGCGCACATACGGCAGCTGGATCCCAACTCCTACAAGCCTCCGCGTTCGTCTGAGCTCGCTGAAGCTTGTAAATCACCACATCACTCCTAGCACGCAGCCGAAGCCGTGGCCCCAAGTTGTATCTCCTCGTGCCGTCTGTCTCGGCGCTTACCTCCAGTTCCATGGGAGGAACTCGGCGTACGAACGTAGCCCGGCGGATCTTATAACAGATGACGTCAGAGAGGCACAGAATGGAGGCGGTTCGTCTGCGGACGTTGGCCAGCACCGTCATGTCCCCAACAATGTTGCCCGGCCCGATCAGGCAAACCTTGGAACGCAAGGGTGGTTGGGGGAGGGCCGGGGAAAAGGGGGGGCGGGGATGCACTACGAATTAGCCTGGGGACAGGTTGTGGGGCTGGGACACACAAGAAGACCAAATAAGCAATAAGACAAACGGCCTCCATGTATAAGAGGCCATCCTGGTATACCTGAGCCTTAAGATGAAGGGATGTTCAAAGGTGACGTTTCCGCACTAAAGTTCCCCTACCTACATTTTGTCGCCTCCACCGAAAAAACGAAAAAACGCTGCTTACGTGCATGCATATGTACATTGCATGTACACTCACGCGCCTTCAAATGAAGAGGCACAGGGAAAGGGGGCCTCGCCTGTCGGCTTGTCAACACACTTCCCCAGCAGCCCCAGGGAGTCCTATCACCTCCGTCCCGAAAGCACTCCCCACTCCCCCCGCTCCCCGCAAGCATACATACAAAAAGCAAGACACCCTACCACGACATCACTACAGGCCCGGCTCCCCTCCCGCCCTCTAAGCCCCCTCCCGCCAGCCACCTGCATGGCCTTCTTCGGGTCTGCCTCCGCCGCCTCCCCCTGGTCAGGTTTATAAGTTGAATCCACCAGTACGGAGCACTGTCCACTGGCAATGGCGTACATGGACTCGGCCCTCTCCCCCTGGTACACCAGGTACTCACGAGCACGGAGCTCCTGAAAAAGGGTGGAGGATGGGTGGGGGGAAAGGTGGAGGGAGGGGGTGCAACACAGAAGAAGCGCAGACCCTTGCCACTGACTTGGCAAGGCCAACGCCATGCTCGGGCTGAGTGGGTGGATGGGTCAGAGGCAAGGAGGGCAGGTGTATCGGCCAGCGTTCGGGCCGTATGTGCGTTGGATGTGAGGGCTTCCGCCAACCCCATTTCCCCTCCTCTCCCGCGCACGCCTACCCAGCCCCCCAACCTGCCCCCGTACCACTTGTGAGAAGCACGGTGCCAGCTTCCGCAGCGTCTCATTGGGCAGCGACTTGAACACCTCCAGTTGCCCCAGGAACTCCACCTTGTCCTCAAAGTCGGGCTGGTGCAGGTGCTGCAAGTACTTGCGGTACAGCTCGGGGGGCACCCGCAGCAGCAGCGCGGAGCAGTCGGGCCCCACATCCGCGCGGTGGCCCCTGCGGCTGTTGGACAGCAGGTCCTCCTCGCCGAAGCAGTCCAGACGGCCCAGCCGCTCAACAACACCGTCGTCTGGGCGGATAAGAAGTGAGGAGGCGTGGGTTAGGGTGAGGTGAGGCGAGGCGAACCGGGAAGGCGCGAAGGGGGTGAAAGGGTGGTGGGGTATGTGAGGTACGGCGGGCCCCGCCAACCCGCATCCATTGTGCTCATCCACCCTCGCCATTCCATCGGCACGCCTGGAGTTCACGTGGGGCCCCTAACCACCAACCCCCAATAAACATTTCCAGACACCTCCCCAAGTGGGAGTTTTATCCCACCGTCTCCCCTCCGCGTCTTCAAGCCCCCGTAATCAACAGCTTTCGAATCCCCAAAATAACCAGGGCCAATTCATGTCACTGGCTCCAGCCCCCATCTGGAACCCAGCACCCCGCACAGACTAGTGCGCCAGCCTCCATCCTTCCCCATCCCGCCCGCCCCTTAAAGCTTCTCTAAGCCCGGCGGCAATGCCGCACATCCAGGCCCTGTGCACGGACGCACGCACGCACCCTCTTCTGCCTCGTCCTTGTCCTTCACATCGTACAGTATGATCCGGCCATCCACTACCACATAGAATCCGTCGGGTTGGTCGTTCATTCGATACACCGTGCCGCCCCGCGCCACCTCCACCACCTGCACTGATGTGGACAGCGCGTGTAGGGCAGTTGGGCCCGCCTGCTGGGTGCGGGGGGCGTTGCCCAGGAAGACCGCCAGGCGGGTGTTCTGAACGGGGGATTGGGAAAGTGGGGAGGGGGGACAGCATGGCGGTCGTTGTGGAGGCAGTTCTGGTGGTGGTTGATGGTTAGAAACACAAGATCAGGGGGGCCGCGGCTGGTTAACGTTGAGACAGTTGGGCCCGGTGGGCAGGTAGCGTGTGGGTATGCGGGGCCTGGCAGGTGGTGGCTAATGGTGGCAGTAATTGCTGCGATGAAGAGTACCTGACAATACCTTGTTGTCTGGTGACCCAAAGGCGTGGAAAGGTGCGCATTAGGAAGCGCAGCACAGCCCAATGGATGCGCCGCAACTGCCACTCCATTCCCCCCACTGGCAATGCGTGCCGGATGCCGGAACCGACAGAAAGCCTGACAGCTAGATGTGTCCTAAGGCCCCACAGCAGGCCCACGCCGGCACAAACACGTCGTGTTCCATGTGTCTTATGACCAGCAGGGCGCTAGGAAAGGGAACAGGTCGATGGAAGAGTTCTGGCCTACATGTCAAGGTCCCTTTAAGTAGCGCTGCAGGCTTATCTACCCGTTAGATGGGTCGCATTTATATGTTTGAGCCTTGTGTGCGTTCCAGGAAATACTTGCGGTAGGCTCCGGTTTACCCGAGACCATGGCAATGTCAAAATATTTTTATAGTCGATGCGAGCCAGTCAAGAGACCATCAATGGTTCGTCCTCATCGGTGTGCGCATGTTGCCCACCCTACCTACCTGCGCAACTGTCCGCCGGTTTGGAGGTAGGCCAGCGAGATAGGCAAACTCCGCTCGCTGAGCTGCTGCAGCGGCAGCTTGCTTTGCAAAGATAGCTTGCTGCGCTGCGACCGCGGCCTGTCCTGCAAGCGCATCGTTTGCAGCTGTCACTGCTGCTGCCGCTGCAGCTTCCTTTGTTGTTGGCATTTTAGTCAACAAATAAACACCACACTAGGATGACAAAAATCCATGCATACTAGCAGTGGCCCTTAGTATCTTGTTGCGAGCATTTGGCTCGCAACAAGCAGGAAAGCGTCCTAACACTGGATTCCATATTCATTGTCCTTCGAAGGTGTAGGTGGGTATTGGAAAGCACAAACAGCTGACAGTTGTACGGCTTACGATAAACAAAACGACAGAGACAGCCTCCCATATCAAAAATGCGCCCTCTGGAGGCACAGCTTATTCATTCTGTATATATAATAGTGCATGCAAATGTGCACGTGGAATGTTTCTCCAAAGGCCGCAACGCGGTTACCCTCTTGGAGGCAGAACGTGCTGCGCGGCCGGTAATGTAGACCAGAAAGCTGCTCGTGCTGATCCATAATGTTTCCATTTTTCTCGCTGTATACTCATAAAAATAAGACACGCAATCCTCTGTACCGATCAGAATACAGAAATGTGTCTGGGCCAAGCGAGCGCGTTAGCAAACCCGATTTGAAAATCCGCACATTTCATATTATGCAAATGTCACGGGATGCGTTGGACGAAGTTTTGCTGGGCCGCCCTCCACACACGCATAAGGACAGATTGTCATAACCAGCTTACCACTTTGATAGATGCACACACGTTTGAAGTGCGCTTTAAAAAGCCAATGGCGAGGTATTATAATACCGTGAGACATATTTGACGCTTCACTTCCCGGTTGGAAATCCCACTGTCGAAAATCGTGAAATCCAGCTTGCGGCACATGCTATCCCACAGGTCAAGCCCGCAGTCCAGCCGAGCGAGCAATATCACCAGGTCTCAAGGAGCACTTCAACTTGCTCCTTTTATTTCTTTATCATCTTCATCGTCGAAATATATTAAGAGGTCTCGGCGCATCCGACCAACGCTGCTCTCTAGCCGTTCCGCGCGACAGCCTTTGTAGCGCCCTTCCGCCCAAGCCGAGCACCTACCCAGGTAACAGGGGAGAAGCCAGGTTTAGCAAGCCAAGCCACACAGGGGCATTCGGTCGTTCAGCGCCCGTACGCGCCGTACGCACCCAAGGAATGGGATGCCACGATTGACAGACAGGACGTGAGTAGCAGGCAGGCATGATGAGGCAGCATTGGCATCCATGCGGGGCCACAAGCGGGAGCTCGAAGAGAGCAAGACCTGTAAGCACGGTACAGCCGTCCACAGGAGCTGAATAGAGACGTGCACCACCTCGCTTACCTCTCAAGCATCTTGCTGTAAAGGGGCATCCCAGCAAAGAATGCCTGCTCCGTGTACTCTCGCATGGGAATCCATCGGGCGTCCACCAGCTCCGATTCCTGAACGGGACCGTCGTACAAAGTGCCATACTCAAGATACCGCAAGAGCGCACATAACACTCCTGCACGGGGAGACCACAACCTAAACAGGTCGCCCGTAAGCGGCCGGAAAAACTGTCCGACACCGCATTTCTGCATGTGCGCGAAGTTCCCCGGTGTTACGTTTCCTAGCGCCCCGGCGCCCACTGGCCCCCCCAGTCCACCTGCGGCACCGGCTGCTGGTCATCTGGTACTGGCCGCATGCCAACAACAACAAACAGGTCGCTCTTGCCAAATGCAAATCCATGAGCCTGCCGGACAGCCAACACCGCCTCCGTGCGCGCAATGATGCCCTGGATGGGTTGGGGTTAGGGTGACATGTTCCGCCGAAGAAGACAAGATTATGTCCATGTACGGGGTACCCAAGGAAGAAAGGGTAGGGCTATACTTAAGAGGTTTGGTGGAACAAGGAGTACACACCGGAAAAGCCAACGCAAGCCGGCCATTTGGTGGAACAAGGAGTACACACCGGAAAAGCCAACGCAAGCCGGCCATTTCCCAGAGGTCGACAGGACAAAGCCCCATCTGTTCAGGGTTACCGTAATGGCAAAGCGATACGCACAGGCTACAGAAATCGAGGTCTACATGAACTTGGATAGGCGTGGTGTCAACCTGAGCGTGCGAATTCCACCCTGGTCTTGACCTGGCTCCCTCCCCTCCGCCCGCTCCCACCGTCTCCTCCAACAGCTCCCTCTCCGCCGCGTCCGTGAGGTCCTCCCCCGCCGCCACCAAGCCGGTGGGCATCTTCCACACGCCGCGGCCTCGCAGCACTCCATGTCGCTCCATGACCACCAGCACCTCACCCCGGGAGTTGACCACGAAGGCGCCCACACCGACCTAGGGCGGCGAAGAGCGCGGGAGGGCGACCAGAACGGAATAACGCGAGCAAGGGTCGCGGCTCAGGGTTCTGCTAGGGGTTGAGTCCGGGTAGTAGGTGTGCAGGAGGCAGACCGGCTGGCACCGAATTTTCATGACAGCCATTCAGGCTGCGAGGGACGTAAACGGCTCGATGGGGCAAAAGAGCATCAGGGGTAACAGAGTTGCGGCGGAGGGATGGTCGGGTCCGATAATCCGGTGGGGTCAATAGAGAGCGCTTGCATGGTAGTGCTAGCTACTGGTCGTGACAGTGCGTGCCACTCGGCAGGTAGTCCAACACGCGTAATAGGTGCGGCCTAGGCCCTAAGTATGACGGCAACCGAGGGTCACCGTATTTGAGCATGGCCATGCATCGGGAGACGGCAAACTGTCCCCCATCGGAAATCGCATCCCGCCACACATGTTAGAATAGTAAAGCAGGTCCCGAGCCCAACCTGGTGGGAGGCATTCGGTGGCAGTGTGGAGGACAGGGAGGCTGGCAGCCAGCGGGTCATCATCACGTAGTCCTGTCCAGGGAGGGGGAACGGTTGAAGGAAAGGACAGGCGGACCATGACGGTACCAACACGATATGATCGCGGGACGGGCAGGTAAGATCCTGGTGTACACGTATAAGGAACGTGCAGATGCAGTCTGTGGAAGTCTGAATGGGCGCGGGACATAGGCCCCGGAAGGAGAGAGGGCCCCGGAGTGAGGGAGTGCAGTACGTGCGTGTGTTGGGGCCACGCACGACGTGTAATAGATGGGAGGTGGTGAAATTTCGGTGTGAGTCCATAACCATGTAACACGCAGCCGGCTCCCATCCAGCCGACTCCCCCCAGTCCTAAGTGGCACTGCCGCCACAACCAATGTGGGTTCGAAATTCCTGAAAGGCTCCCTGACGGGTGCGTCCCTCGACTCGCACTGCCCCACCAGTCGCCTCGCGCACCCACCCTCTCTGCATGGTGGAATTCAAAGCCCTGTTCCACTGCCTCGGGAATCAGGGAGCTCTGACTGAGGCCCAGTTTGAGCCACACGCCGCGGGTGCCTGCCACCGACCAGGACTCAAGGGAGCGCCGAAGCCGGGACGCAAAGACCCGCGGGTCGGAAGGCAGCGAGGAAGGGACCAACAATTTGCCGTCGTAATGATCGTCTGTGGCTTCAAGCTCGGCTGCGTAAGGGTACGAGAAACATATGCAGGGGTGGATTTGCGCAACATTGTCCAGGCCCGTGACGACATTATGAAGTTGCACACAGGGTACAGTACGGCTGGGGAAGGTAAGGTAGCTGGCGAGGTGTCCAATAAGCCAATGAGGCTGCCTGTGAACCCTGTTGTGCGCCAATGTGCATCTTGGCACGGACGTTGGGTTTGTGGGCACTCCACCGCCCCTTCCCAGCTCCCAAGACAGGCAGAATGCAAGTCGGCAAACAGTATTATTGAACATCGAACGCATGTGGGGACGTAGCGACTATGCGCTTACCATGCTGCTCAGTGATGCTGTCCTCAGACATTAGCTTGCCTGGGTGATTAGTGCTCAGGCAGCGGTGACAGGGAAAAGCCACAGAGGTTGGCAAATAGCATCCACGACGGCAAAGCGCGCTTGCTTGCCCGCGTAAGCTAAGCATTAGACGAATTTTAAGCAGGTAGGCAAGCTTTGCATACGCATTTCTGTCTCAAAAGTGCCGCAGATGCAGCATTGCTTTGCTACATTCAATACACACTGGCTAAAGAAAGGCTGCAGACCTTCTGGTTTTGAAGCGTACGGAAATTCCGGTTGCTCAGACGGTTAGAAATTGCATGAGAGGTGGATTCACACTTTATAGTTGTGCCCAACCGTATGACATGTTACCTAAATGCTTTAGTCAATCTCGAGGCATCATGGCACCTGGTTGGTTTCAACTCAGAGAGTTCGCAACCTGTCACGAGCATTGTGTGTCAGTTCCGTTTTGTTCTCAGCATGCTTTAGTGATCTAGGATGATCTTAAATCCCACAGGATGTTTTTGGGAAGGCTCTTCGTAGCGTTGCTACTGCTGGCCACTACTCCGCAGACGCTAGCCATCCTCCATACAGAACTATTCAACTCCTCCATAAACGTAAGGAATCAACCCAGGATATCATCTGTCTGGACTAGAGCCTTGAAGTCTTCATCCCCCAAGCCTTATCCGCTGTCATGCGCCACCCTGCACATTCTAGGACCCGCTGGTGACCCTACGCAATGAGTGTCCCGGTGCACAGCGGGCCACAACGGAAGCGGACCTTGAGCCGCTGCTGCGGTAAGGGACGCGGCCATGGCGGCAGTGACAGGGGGTTTAATCAATCCGGACTCTTTCCACTTTACACCCACTCCAACAATTGTCCCATGCCCGAGCTCCACTCAACCAATTTGCCATGACCACCACATATGTGACGCGTTAAAGCACCTCCAGAGTGGCTCTAGCTGCTCTCACGCCACCCCTGCAGTTGGGACCTCTCGGCCTTTTCCCCAACGAAACTCCAACCCAGTACTCTCCATAGCTGTCATAGAGCTTCCGTGCTTCCACCTATACAGCCAAAACCATTCGGAAACTGCCCTTCCAATATTCGCGTCCTCACCTCCGTGGCCAAGCGCCCCCGACTGCCCTCCCCTCCCCTCCCTCCCGGCTTCAGGGACAACCTGGAACCAGACCTGCGCCCATGGCGGCAGCTGGGTCGGCCCCTGACCCGCCTGGACCTGCTTAACTTCCTGCACGAGATCGATAGCCACTGGCTGGAGTACCGCCGCAACTTCCTGGCCGTTGTGGTCATCCGCAACAATGTGATGCGCTGGTGGGCCTACCCCAATGCGAGGGGGTGGTGCACACGGAGGGTGGGTAGGTGGGCTGGACGGGTGGATGGAGGCGGGGCGGAGGGATCCAGGGGAGGGGGGAGAGGGAGGAAGGGACGACTGAGCAGGTCGTGCGGAAGCGGTCTTAACGTGATGCCAGAGTTGTTTCGAAAGGCCGTGGACTGGCTTGTGGGTATGACTCACTGGCGGGTTTAGCGAAAGGCATGAGCGAGGACCTTTCTTTCCTCCTTCATGTCTGCACTTAGAGTTGTACGTCTTCGCCCCTTTCCCCTCTTCCGCGGGCCCCCTCCACCTCTTAAGGTCAAATTCATTGCGGAGCAGTTCCACGGCTTCGTGGCCTCCGTGGGGCTGCGTTTCCCGGACGTGGTGTACGTCATGAACGCGTACGACAAGCCGCTGTGTGAGCGGGGGAACTGCTCCGCGCCGCTCTTCACCTTTGACAAGCGCTGGAACGCGAGTGCATATGCGGCAGGTTTACCGGGCAGTGCCCATGACGACATCCTGCACCCCGTCATGAACCACCCTTTCGAGCAGCTGATAGACTACCCCTGGGATAAGAAGATTGAGAGAGGCTTTATGAGAGTGAGCCGAGAGGGTGTCGGGACTGGGGTAATGGGGAGTAGGGGTGCTAAGGGGAGGGAGGGGGAAACGGGGGTGTAAAGGAAAGGAACCTAAGGACCTGGATGAGGCCCACGATCAGAGATCCAGAGTATTCCGTGGGGTGGGATTTTGAGGCAAGAGATCCGGATGTGTCCCGGGTGTGGACGTGAATGCCCGAGAGTGGGGCTGAGGTGACAGCGGATTCAGTAGGGTGTTTACGGCAAGGCAGCAGCAGCTCCCCTGTCCCTCAGGTCACTCACCTCATCTTCGGTGCCCCTGGACTGGGTGTTTGATGTTGTGGTGGTGCAGGTTGGCATCTACGGCGCCATGGCCGCCAACTGTTCTCGTGTTCTGATGTATAAGGTGGCTCAGAGCCGGGCAGGGCAGGAGGTGCTGGATGTGGGCATCTATCAGAACAGGCATTGGAAGGTCAAAGTCAAGACGGTGAGGAGGGGCACCAGGTGGTGTTCGGCTTTTGTGCTGCACCACACGCCCTGGGTCCTGCCCAAGGCCCCCGCGCAGTGGCACACACGGCGCACACACGGCTACCTCTTGACCTTTTACGGGAAGCCCCGCACGGATTGTAGCTTTGAGGAGCCCCTGTACTTTCTCCTGTAGACTGGGCCCTGCACAACCCACACCGTGTGACGTCCTGGCTTGATGCGCGTTGTCGTAACAAGTTACAAACTCTGCACGAATGCGGGGGTGTCCGTCAAAGCCCGGGGGCCGTGGACTATATATGTATGTTGTTACAGGGTGGTTAACTTTGCCAGTGGCCTCCTTTCCCGAGGCAATTCCCTGCTCTCCCCTGCTAGAGGGGCACCCTAATCCATTCACCCCATCCGACTTCAGAATGTATTCGTTGGGTTCGGCAACTCACCACCAGCATCCAACCAAATCTAGCGGATCAACGGCGCATTAACTTAGTTCCTGGTCAGCTCGCAAGTTGATACTATCACGTCCTACATCGTCCATATGCTGGGGGGCCACCTCCCATTTCAACACTCCTCAAACACCCGAGGAGCCGGCAGGCGGATTTGAACCCGGGTCGGCCGGGAGCAGAAGTCAGGCCTTAACCTCTGCCAGCCGCCTGCCTGTAAGCATTTTGTGTATACCTTACACATTTCCCCTCACTCTTCCTGTATGTATGTATTGAAAGTGAATTCCGGCGTACGACCGAAGGCGGTTTGCGTTCTGCCACCTAGGACCCTCTTCAACCATTCACCCGTCATCCGTAAGAGACAGGTCAGCCATCGCCACTGATCAAGCATTACATCGCATGTGCGATTCCATACGTTACATTATGCCGTCCCTCCGCAGGTCCCCCCGGTGCCTATGGAGCTGCACACGCGGTGGAAGTACCTGATCAATACGGATGGTCAGTCAGCTAGCTGGCGCCTTGCTAAGCTACTGGCCATGAATAGCGCGGTGCTCAAGTACCGGTCAGACGCGATTGAGTACTATTACAGGTGCGTTGCGACCCACTGAGGTGCGGTGTGCGGTGCGGAGCTAAGGTCCACTGCGGTGTGGGTTATTGCAAAGGTCCCCGAAACAACAGGGTCCCGCAAACTGTCGAATGAAGATGATGGACGAGGGTTTTCTATGCGTCATGGGTCCACCCCAACTTTTGACGGTATTCCGACCTTTCTGCAAGCATGCGCAGGTCGCTGCGGGAAGGCGAAAACTACGTCAGCTTTGACCACACCGACGTGGTTGAGGTGATCAAGGGGCTCAAGGGCCGAGATGCGGAGCTGAAAACCATGGCGGCACGTAACCAGGCGTTTGCGTTTCGCTACCTGTCGCAGCTGTCACGGACACTGTATGCCAAGGTGTCGTTTGAACGTTACAAGGGGCTATTTTCTGACATGGACGAGTTCCTGCACGAGATTCCTCAGGATTTCAGCATGTCGTGGTTCTTGCAGCACAGGGCGAGACTGATTGCGGCATCGACAGGGGTTGGGCTAGGGTGAGCGCACGAGCGCCCAAATAGACTCGGCTTATGAATAGCTATCCTGGCGGTGATAGTACACTGTATTACGGAGGAGCGCGGGTGCATTGCACATTGTGTTGAGCAGTTGGCAATTTGGGACATGTCGAATCGTGGGCGAATGCGTGATTATGAGGAAGCCGTCAAACATTGCCACTTGTCATGCCCATTAGAAAGGTGACCACCTCCCAGAGTGCCTGTCCAGAGATTGCACCTTGTCCTTAGCTGTCGTTCGACAGGGATACGGCAGCGTCCGGCGTCCGGATCACCAAGACTTCTTGGGTCCTTATATCATCCCGTAAACCTACTTCATTCTTCAAGTTTCAAGTGGAAGCTGCAGACGCTATGCACCTGCTGCAGCTGTTTTTACTGGGCAGACCAGGCCTCAGGGCTTCTTGCCGTCCCGGAAGGGGGACTATGCCAGCATGGACAATAAACTCTGATTCAGAGTATCGGCATAATCTGAAATAAAAGTGCCGTTTAATAGTACAGGTGCTGAGGTGTGATATCATGGTATGGTCAGCTCTTTCGCAAGCCGGATCGCGATGGTGGGCAAGTGCTTTTGCAATTTTCGCCTTAGGGAACTTGGCATGGGAAATAGACGTTTGCCACTTACCTGTAGACCTGAACAAATAGAGCTTCGCCACTGATGTCAAAGGCGGGAGTGATATGGCGCATTCACTTGCACCTTGCTGCTTTTGCACAACTAGGCGTCCTAACAAGGATCGTTATCGGGAATCTATTCGGTGGATCATGCTCGGGAAAGGGTCGCTGGAATTGGGCGCCTTGCGTGACCGGCTCAGGACTCATGGTGACGGGTGATACACTGTTTTATGATTTCCCAGCAAATGTTTTCGGAAGCTTTCTCATAGGACTCTTTAGCACAGGCAGCAACCTCGCGGCAATCCATCCTCGAGAATGTGCCAAAAGCAACCCTTCAGAACTCCAACTGCTTTTTCTATCTCGCGAGAGCAAGCTGCAAAGGCATGGCGAGCTGCATCTTGGGTTGCGAACGGGGTACTGCGGGTCGTTAACGACGTTTTCCAGCTGGTTATTGCAGGTATGTGTGCAATCCATTCCCGGCTTCAGATTTATGCTAAGCCAATGCAACAGCTCCGGGTCCAAGCTAAGGCAATCCCCAGCTCTATGCCAGCACGCATGTAGGGAGGGGGGTTAAGCCAGATCCTCGCGGCCACATCGGCTTGGGTAGTGCCGGCATGCCCCAGCAGGCATTCCCTCGCTGCCCGCATAATCCTCGTCAGGTGGTGGTGCTGATGGTGGGCAGGTCCATGCCGCCAGGGATGCTCCGCGGCACGCACTGGGTACAGGGTCTGTGGGCCATCTACCTGGGCATCTCAGGCCCCCTGTTGGCCCTCGTCCTTGGACAGCACGCGGCCCTAGCAGCTGCCGCCTTCTGGACGACAGCTGACCAGGTGCCAAGCAGGCTACAGGAAACCAAAATGAGCGGTAGACCCGAGCCTGTCCCGGAGCTTGCAGATAGCGCGATGGAGAGCTCAGCTGCAATGGGGACGGAGGCGGTGGAAACGGCAGCGGCAGCGGCACCAGTAGGTGTCGGTGGTGGGCCCGCTGCTACGCCCTCGTCCGCAACCCCTACTCCGCCGTCTCTTCCCGCGGCAATCGTGCTCGAAATGATGGACAGGGAATTGCGACCTGTCCCTGCCGCCACACAACCTTACGTCACGGCTACATCCACAACCATTACAGCCGCAAACGGTTCCACCTCCGGTGGCGGCCCGCGGCCGTCGCCTCCTTCTTCATTACCGTCACGGCTCCGCTCCTCGGCCGCGCTAGTCCTCCGGCCTGATGTTCTGGTGGACCTTGCCGCGGCTGCAAGCCTGCTGACGTTAACCGGCGTGTCCCTAGCCTACGTTTACCTGGACCGCGAGTCCGCAGCTGCCAGTAGGGGCTATCGGCGGTACTGGTGGTTCTCCATCCTGTTGGGTCCCTCCGGCTGCTTCCTGCGCTGGTACCTGTCGCACCTTAACGGCTGGCGTGATGGCTGGCTGCAATACGGGACGTTCGCCGCCAACGTGCTGGGCTGTGCGCTGGTCTTCGCGTGTGAGGCGTTGCTGTTTCGGTTGGAGGGCTCGTTGGGGGAGGTACAGCGGATGGCGCTGCAGGGGTTGATGGTGGGTACAGCGGGATGCCTTACCACCGTGTCAACATACGTTGTTGAGGTAGGTGCGTGCGGAAGCGAGCTCCGGAAGGGGCGAAAGATCGGTTGGGGAAGTAAGGAAAAGGCGAACGAACGCAGAAACGGGGCGGGGATGGGTAATTCGAATGGAGGAAGGCGTGTAGGACAGGGCAGTTTGGATTGCAAGGACTAATGCCTAAGCATGTGACAGCAGGCATAGGGTTGGGAAAGGGGATGTAAGAGTGCGGACGCCATAGTCTCGGCCCTACCACCGTTCCCGGCAAAGTGTTATACAACAATGCTATCATACTTCCGTTCGGGTCACGGTGTGTTCGGCTACATACGCTCTGCCAACTGTTTCGTTCGCTCCCCATGTAGATCCAGAAGCTGGCTCTGTCCTCACTCCCGGCAGCGTACAAGTACTTCCTGACCAGCACATTAGTTCCTGTAGCTCTGGGTCTGCTGGTGTACGGCGTCCCGGTGTGGCTGGGCACCCAATGAGGATGTGTGAAACAGGGGGGTGTATCTTTGCCCGTGGCAGCTACCCTGCGAAACCCTGCCTTCCCCGGTATTTCGGGGCACCCTCATCCAATCACCCTAGTCAACTTCTCAGTGGATCGCTCAGGTTCCGCGCCCACCACCAGCATCCAACGGAATCTGCCGGGTCTTCAGCGGCCCAACTCCGTTCCTGGTCGGCTCGCAGGTTAACTTTATCCCAGGTCACCACCGTCCATCAACTAGGGGCGCAATGCCTTCCACCATCGGAAGGACTTTGACCCTAATGGGTATCGATCCCGGGATCTCCCGGGGGCAATGGTCGCGCCTTACCAGTAGTGCCAAACCCTATAGGATGGTAGCTCCCTGGCGGCACTGAGTGCTTTAAGTTGCGACTCCTTGCAGTTTGTAGCTGTGAACCTCGTCGTGGTGCTGGGTGATAAAGTATAGCGAGATGTGAATAATTGAATCTTGGGGGTTGGCTTGGGGGCTGGGGATCTGACGTATCTGATCGAGCTGGACTTGGGCATCCGGATCCGGGCATGGGCTCCATGTCGCTCAAGAAACGGTGTCCGTCTTCTCATTAAGTGTAGGATAACAGAACATGTCCGCCTTTGAACCTTGTTTTATGTGGATGTAACTTCGTAACGAAGTATTAATGCAAACACACGAGTGAGGAAACCTATACAGGGTTCATCAATGTTATATATGCTGTTCACGTTTGGACCTCTGCGCCACGTCACGGACCGGATCGTGCAGAGAGAGGCACTTCGGTACATGGCAGGTCGACAATCCATGGCTATCGCGATGGTGCAGCTAACATATGACGATCCGCTGTATCAGGGTCCATCCATGAAACGGTTAGTCGATTATTACCCGGGTGGTTAGTGGGGAATCGGCTGTGCGCGCTACCTGACGGCGCCATCCCACTTGATGGGGTCCGCCCTCACCTGCTGTCCTGGTCTGGCAGGCTTACAGATGGAGCAACAATAACATCACCACCACCACCAGCATGAGCAGCAAACTTGCCTACAGTCCTGAATGTTTGCATGGTATTACAATCAATCCGAGTAGATCACCAGCACAGCTCTGGCTCACAGCCGCGCCCTATCAGCCCTGGGGCTCGGCTCCCTGTTGGACCCCCTCGCAGCCGACCGGCCCCAGGCCGATTCCGCTCCTCGAGCATCCGCCATGTCACATTACACAATGCATCAGCCGCCTTCCAGGGAAAGTGCGCGTGGCCCCAGCTCCGACTCCCTGCTGCTGGTGCTGCTGTTTGTTGAAACCCAGGCATGCATCTGCATATGTGCCTAGCCTGGGTGCAGCTTCACTTTGCTCGTCCTCACGCCGGCATCTCTGGAAACCCTTCTCCCAAGCCGTATCTTGAGGGCCACTAGATAAGCCAGGCCTTCTAGTGGCTTTGACATTAGCCCCAACACCTTTCCCGCCCCTTAAATCCAGCACAACGCCCAGGCATCAATGTATGCCATGGCTGAACCACTGCACGTTCCTCTCTGGACGCAAGCCCTGCACTTAATGTCCATATCCGTTACTGCAACACGGGTTTGCTCTCCACGAGTCCGACCTCTGGTGACTCGAAACAGCTGCACGCACGGAGGCCCCAACATCCGATTCCGTCTATAGCTCGTGGCTGAAAGCATAGCAATCGAGCAAATGCAGTAAAACCCCTAAACGACCCAACTCCAGCACGTTCGGATGTTGAAGGTGAGCTGTGGAGCTGGCTACGCGGCCGCCGCCTGTGATGCCACCCACAGCCGCACTGAGTTGTCCGGGCTGTGGCCTCCTGAAGCGATAATCGGCATCCGTGGGTGAACATTCACGGCGAGCACCGGCGCCGTGTGTCCATTGCCAGCCGCACCGCCACCGGCCGCACTGTCGACAGCGGCGCCAGGCGGTGGAGTTCCGGAACCGCCAGCCTCCGCCGCCGCCGCAGCAGCTTTTGCAGCGCCCGAACTGCCACCGGCACCAGGGATATTGGCCACCACACTTTGCTTATTTAGGTCGTACACGCAGACCGAGCAGTCCTCAGAGCCGGTAACAACCCAGTGGCCTAGATCGGTGGTGCAGAATCCCGACGTGACGCAAAACTGTTTGTTGACGTGACCGCCTTCGTACGTCTTGACGGTACGGCCGCGCTCGTAGTCCCAAATACGCGCACGGCTGTCCAATGTATTGCACAGCACATACTTCGCATTGGGGCTGAACATGGCGAAGGAGACGGGTGGACTTTCCCGGTCAAACAGGGTTTTCAGGCAGTGCCCTGTCTGCGTGTCCCACAACCGGATGAGGCCGTCCAGGCTGCTGCTCACAATCATGGTGCCGTCGTACGCAAAGTGTACGGCGGTCAGCGGGTCGGAATGCGCGGGCACCTCGCGTAGGCACTTCCCCGTGCGCACGTCCCACAGCCGGAGCGTTTCGTCGAAGCTGCCGCTGGCAAGCAGGTGCCCCGGCGTATCAAAGTTGCAGCAGAAGACGTAATTTGTGTGGCCAGTCAGAGTGCGCAGACAGGTGCCGGTCTCCACATCCCACAGTTTGAGGGTGTTGTCGTCAGCGGCAGTAGCCAGGTAGCGCTGGTTGGGGTTCCAGGCGACATCAGAGATGCCGCTAATATGCCCGGTCAGGGTCGACATACGAGATCCCGTAGCGACATCCCATAGGCAAACAGTCTTATCGGCGGAGGCCGTCGCCAGGAGAAGGCCAGATGGCGCGAACTTGACGCTGGCGACCGCCTTGCTGTGGCCTTCCAGCACTTGCTGGCAGCGAAACTCGACATTACTAGCTCCCTTTGCCATCGCGCCCCTGGTCACGCTACATGTCCTGGTGTGCAAAGGGGCCCGGATAATGTGAGACTGTACGGTGGCATCGGTGAGGCAAGCTGCAATGAAATGATCAAGTGCAATCTAAAGTGAGGGCAATGCAATTGCCAGATCGCTCATAAATGGCATTTTAGGCAGCCAATTGCGCGAATACCAAAGCAAACACATTGCCTTGTGTTACATGTAGTTAATAGACAAAACTATCTAGGCAAATCGATGGATCCCTAAAACGTAAACAAGGGGTATAACTACCGGTCCCGGTACTGTGGTTAAATCAACCGTGCGTTACAAACTGTCGCAACAGTGACATTCGCAACCGCCCCGCCGCAAGATGCAATACAGATTGCAGAGGTGCAGCTTTCTACCCATGACTTACTCCCAAAACAGGACTAAGGGTGTCAAGGCCACCTGCACGGGAGTAAAGGGCCTTCACGGCGAAACCGTTGGTCCCTTCAAAAGTTACAGGAGATCACATACGTGCTCCTTAGACTATATGTCTATCGCTCGCATCGTTTCAGTTATACCATAGGGAGCAGCTGCTCCGAGCTAACGCTTGTTGTGCGGGCCCCAGCGAGGCAAGAGGCACATGAGCCGTTCCGAGATGTGCGCAGACGATTTGGGCCCTGCTAAGGTTCCGTTGACAGTTAACAGGCAATAAGGAGAGATGCCTGGACGTCGGTCCGCAACTGTGCATATGTCGTAGCAGGCTCTCGTAAGAAGTGAAGAGAAGAGGGATGAAACGAACGGGGAAACATGACGGGCCAGGAAGGAGGGGGCTGTTCGGAGTCCCATCTTGCATGGGTGCAAGCCGATAGCGAATTTCAGGGCAAGCACACTGCTGCCCTAATTGATCTGGGCCGTACCGATTGTAGCAGTTGCCTGAGTGAATTTTTGAATCCTCCGACGTGGATTATGAATGGATCCCGTGCGTTTCCCCTTCACGGTCTCGTGATCATCTGGCAGCTCCGGTTAACGACGATTTGGTTTGACTACGAAGCTAGAACATTCCTACTAGAAGGCAATCAGGGTGCGAAGGGGCCCAACACCCTTTGTCATGCTTACGATAGGCGCTGTCATCACGCCCTGGTAGATCATCATTACAGCGAAGGAACCCATGCACAACGGCATGACGCCTGAAGCCACCCTGCAGAAGCAACTAACCTGCATGTTCCACCATTGCCGAGTCCTACTATGCTTAGCCGCCTTCCCACACATCACTTCCACACCACACAGTCACCACCTCAACAACCTCTCCACAACCCCTCCTCCAGCGGTATCACAAGATGCAGTGCGCAACAGCACGAACCCCACGGAACCTCGCAGAACTTGACCTGCTGCGACACGGCCGCGTTTCAGCACACAACCCAACCACCACTAGCACCCACGCCACCCTCATCCCGAAGGCCGTGGCCCTCAGGAAAGGAAAAAGGGCTGCCCAGAGGATGCATAAGTGCATGGAATGCGGGCGAGCTGGCGGCGGCACCGGAGGCCCTACCCCAACCTCACAAGCAACCTCCTGCGCCTCACAGCACGTTCCATGCGTCAAAGCCCCACCACTGCAGCCTGTCCTGCACCTCCGGACAGCCGACGGGTGCCGGCAGCCGCCAAAAGTAGTGGTGGTCTACAAGACGGAGGGCGGCCAGCGGGGCCACCTGCGGACAGTTCCAAAGTACGGCACCTCATTTGGCTATGAGCTGCGATGAATGCTCCGGGGGGTCACGTTGAGTATTGTGGGCCGCGTGCCGGTTGCCGGGGATCCCTTGTGCCGTTTCCCGAGCTGCTGCTGCGGCCCCGAGTTCCTTGCATCCACTTTACAATACATGCCTCAATAACACTTTGAGCCCGGACAGTCGTTAACCTGTTGGAACTAGACCCGAAATTGGGTGAGGAGCCGATTCCTCCGCAGAACCACCGCTCACGTCGCAGAAAAGTCAGTGCACCTCCACACACATCTCAACCCCATCCCACGACGTCCTCATCCCACGCAATCCATCCTTCCGCCTGCGCAATGTGTCCCACTCACGCCAGATCCGCAGACTTCCCTGTCCCCTCCTCACCTGCGCTATCTGCATCTGCCACTGCACCATCTGGTGGGGGGGCGCCGCCCAGTCCGGTAACCACAAACTGCGCAACCGGGTCATGCCCCCCTTCGCCACCAGCGCCATAGTGGCCTCGTGTAAGGCCAGGGAGCGATCGCTCTCAGCTGCCATCGCGTCCAACATCAACTGGTGGGGCGCGAGGGACGAAGGGCGGGAGGGAGAGCGGGAAGGTGAACATGCAATACGAGTCAGTTACTTCTGCATGCGGCGTCAAGCCTTGCAAGCGGCGCACGACGGAGTTTTGGGGAGCATGGGCCAGCAGGAGAGCGCGGCATGCGATGATAGCCACTGGGCAGGGATTGCGCTGCGGGGTATGGACCGTGAGAGGTCATTGGAATTTCCAGCCAGGAAAGACAGAAAAGGAGCATTACTGCGACTTGGGGACACAAACGCATTCAAGTAGAGGTACTCAAACTCAATGAGTGCGGCTCGCGCGGGCCACATGCCTTGCCGAGCCATAAGACATATGATGTGGTGTAGTCTCACACGCACGTTGTTCAACCAGATAACGATTAACAGGGTGCAGGGACAACACGCGTACCCAAGCCGGGGTGATCCCTCCCTCCCACCCCCCCACCCCACCCCACCCCCCCACCCCACCCCCCCACACACAGAGAGAACACACACTCACCTCCGGCTCCAGCTCCACATCTTCAAAGCGGCGGGGGTCCAGCATGAGGTGCCTCAGCTGAGTGAGACCCCACATGTTCCGAATGAACCGGTGGTCGAAGCCGCCAAGGCCCAGTGTCGTCAGGTCCTGGGGCCGACCAGGGGAAACGGGGGGACGGAGAGGGAAAGTAGGACGTGACACAGTTTTCACATAGGACACATTCACGAGAAAATTAATCAGTCCCGTGAGAAAGCCCCCAACCATACACACACCCTCCGCTTGCCCAAGTCCCGAATTCTCCCTCCCTCTTCCCCACACCCACCTTCATATAACCCACACACACACGCAGGCCGCGAGCTGCCCGACGGTTTTCGATTTCCCGAGGGCCCCCCCTACCCACCTTCAGTTGGTGCAGCACGTTAATGAGGCGCACCGGCAGATCCTCCTGCTTGCTGACGTGGCGAACCACCAGCGTCTGCAACCCTGGCATAGCCGCCGCCAACTCCTCCGGTCGGGCCCCACGGACGTTACAGTCCGCCAGCCACATGTGCAGCAGCGGCGGCGCGATCGGGCTACCGCTACTGCCGCTGCTGACTCCAGCCCCGGCAGCCCCAAGGTCCTCTCGCCGTCGACTCTTGCCGCCGTTGCTAGGCCCGGCTTCATCGTCGCTTATCTCGGGAAGGAGAGCTCCAGGTGAGTCTGAGCTCCGCTCGGTGCCCGTCTGCTGGGCGACATCAACTTGGGTATCGGCTATTGCTGACCCCGCGGGGTAGGTGAGCGGGGCTCCTGGCGGTATGTCCACGCCCTCCGTCTGGGTGGCAACGGAGCGCATGTGGCTGGATCCCGATGCTACATGAGAAGGAACACCCGTCCCCCGGGAGCCGGCCCCCGTTGCCGTCGTCGCTGTTGTGGCCGCTGAAGCCGAAGGCACGGAAGCCTTTGATGGCTCCGGGCCGGCTGTCGGGAACTCGAACGGCGTTCCCGCGTACAAGTTGACCCGGTTGGCACACAAGCTCCTGAGCGTCCTACGATAAGAACCGGCACGACGGGAAAAGGAAAGGCAGGAGCATGGTGATGATGGAGGAAAGCGGTTATGGAGGCGAGAACGAGAGAGCGGGGGAGAGGTATAGCAAGGACGGAAGGACGGCGAATGCTGGGGTCTGCGTGCTCGCCGGGAGGGGGGCTGGCAGCAACGCAGATCGGAAACGGCGTCATTTAGATAGGAGCTTGCTACCTGTCGGAACCCAAAGGAATATCGCACTACCGTGGACCCCCCCTTGGGCGACCTCTGGATAAAGTCTGTGTTGCGGCTTGCCTTCTCCTCATACCTAGCCCAACACACTATCCTGGGTGGATATATACCTGGGCAGCTCCCCCATGTAAATGACGTGGCCACTGGTCTCTGGGAGGGGCGTGGCGAAGTTGACCTGCAGTAGCAGTGGATTCCGGAATTCGGGGATGCGAAAAAAGAGAATAATGAAGCAATGATGGAAGCAAAAGGAGGACTAAACCGGTGACACGTGCAAAGGAAGGAAGCAGACACAAACTCCAAGCAAGGCGGCTGGGAACCAGGACGAGAAAGACGCACCGGAAGCCTGACTCGGATGACGTCCGATGAGAGGGGAGGAATCCCGAGGCGGACCATTTGCCAGCCCCGCACACCACCTCCCGCGCGCGCAACGAAACCCAGCCAGACCAACCCAACCCAGCTGCTCTCACCCAACCCAGTCCATCCCCACCTGCGAGTCTGGGCTGATCCGGTTGGCCACAGTCAGCGACTTGAGGCAGGTGAAGGCGGTGAAGCACAGGGGCTCCAGAGCGGGCAACATAAGGCCCTCCATGTTCCAAGAAAGCAGATGCAGAGACCGGAGCGCGGGGGCAAGGGGCTCCAGCGTACGGACGAGCCTGCCCAGCACCACACCCACAACAACCCACAGAGGACATACGGTGTGTGCCGCGAGCGGAAGGCGGGACAAGAGCAGGGCGGGTTGCGGAACAGCGCACAGACGAAGATCCAGTTAAGAGCAATTGCGAGGATAAGAAGGACACGAGCAAAACACTGGGTCGGCACCGGAGAAGGGAGCACTTCAGCGGAGGGGCCTGGAGAAGTATTCCGGCTGTGGTAGACCGTGGCCGCTGGTGCTCCCGTGTAAATCCTCGATCCCAGTCCGCCTGGAAGCTCTCCTAATTGTCCTGTTGTGAATGCCCCTGGTCCACGAACCTGCCCTGACTTTCCCCGGTTAACGAGGCACGTATGCTGTTTAACCCCGGTCCGGCTTCCCGTCCCATAGTAGCAGGCACACTCACCCTTGCGTAATGAAGCACGTGCTCCCCTCCGGACCGAACTCGATCAGCAGTTGCTGCAGGCGGCCCCCCAATGAAGCGAGCGCTTCAAGGTGAGACTGCGCCTGAGGCCGGGGAGGATGAGGGGACGGGCGGCGGAAAGAAATGTGGTGGGGGTGCATCACATTGGTGACTTTGGTAACGACGAACGAATAGGGCCTTCATAACAGCACTCACTCATGCACCAAAACAGTGCAGTCACTCCATGCCTGCAAACAAGTACCTGGCTGCAGTCGTCTTGCATGTACACTACCTTTCATGACGTGACATCCCATGTCCTGCACACTGGTTAGGCGTCACGCAAAGTGGCGGGGTCTTACCATGGCGGTGGCTCGCAGAGCATTCCGGAGCAGCACGCCCTCCGGCAGGGGCCCGTCCCCAGCCGCCGCCCCCGCCGCCCCATCCTCATCTTCACCAGCGACCGCAGGACCCCCATCGCCCACAGGCCCCGGTCCAGCAACCCCCGGCCCAGCCCCCTGGCCAGCGAGAGGCGGCTCTCCCTCGGGCACCTCTTGCCCAACCTGGGCGCCTGCCCCGCCGCCACCGTCCTGCGCCGCTGGTTGCTGCTGCTCCCCCGCTCCTCCCCCTCCTCCTTCCTGCTGGTGCTGGTTCCCTCCTGCTCCGATACCGGCCCCCATCTGAGGCCCCTGGTTCAGGAGCTGAAGCAAATTCTCCATCTGCTGTTGCAGCACCTGTTGCTGCTGCTCCAGCACGTGCTGCTGCTGCTCGATTAACTGCAGCTCCGGCCACTGCTGCAACGCTGCCGCTGCTGCAGGGTCAGGGCCAGCCGCAGCCTCAGGCGCCGCACCTGCGGCCTGAGCTTGCGGCGGCGGTTGTTGGTCTGTCGAACCCTCTACCTCCGCGGCTCCTTCACCACCGGTGGAGCTGCCGCCCCCTACACCGCCTCCTTCGCCCTGACCCTGCTCCTGACCTTGTGTCCCCACCGCCGCCGCGCCGTCGTCAATCGCGGCCGCACCCTGGCTAGAGGGCCCCGCAGATAAGGGCCCCGGTTGCGCTTGCACTTGGGTCACCACATCCCCTTTCTGCATCCGCGCGTTTCCAGTTACCTCCGAGTGCTGGGGTCCATCAGGCACAATGGGTGCGGCCACTTCCTCGCCAACAGCCACATCGGCGGGTGGAGGCGGATGCTCTGGGACCTGCGCACCGTCGTCCCCTGGCCCAGCCCCTGCCGCAGCCCCTGCCGCAGCCGGCTCCGCATGCTCAGCTGCGTGTAGCGGCTCCTGATCCGGACCTTGATGTTGATGCCCCTGCCCCTGTTGCTGCTCCGGCGGCAACAGCTGAGCCCCCGGCCCCTCAGCCTCCATCACATCCCCCCCAATCGCGCCATTCACAAAGGCCTGACCCGCCGCCGCAGCGGCGACAACGGCCATTGCAGCTACCGCCGCTAGTCCGACTGCATCCTCTGCCGCTGCCGCCGCCTGGCCCCCTGCCGTGCCGTCCACCGCCACCCACACATTGAACAGCATCAGCTCCTGCAGCGCAGGCAGTGCTGTCAAACAGCTCATCAGCTCCGGACGTAGCTCCTGGGGGCACCAGGGAGTGGGGGAGGGACGGGGAGCGGGCGGGAGGATCGGAAGGGCGGGAAGGTCATTGGAATCATGGGACGGATTCGGGAGGCAAGTCGCGCACCAGGAAACGTCATGCCCGTTGATCCGCATTACAGGATTTTGCGCAACCCGTCTCCATTCCGAATGTGAAGCTCGTCAAAGCTCTCACCCCTCTCCACGTCGCCGCACCCCTCCACACTCCGGCTGCCTTTCCATGCTATTCGTCAACCCTACCCCGTTCCAACGCACCATGCAGAACAGCTTGATCCGGGACAGCCGTGACCCTGCTTGCGCCATGGCCTGCGAAGGACAGGACGCCACAGGAATGTACATGCAGCCGGAAGGTGCAGATACACGGGGGGTTGCGGGGACAGGACGCTGGTATGCATTCCGAGGTAGCTAGCAGCCCAATCACGACGCAGACACGGGGATCAGCACACTGCACACTCCTGACTGAGCAGCCCTGCGCTTGCCGATGGCTGGCTCATTGATGTAAGGCACCAGAAGCCTCCCACCAGCCACTCAGCACGCCGTATTCCATCCGCTGCACAATCCTTCCTTGCATTGAAGGGACGTACCCTGGCAAACGTCAGGTGGTGTGCAAGAGGCACCCCACCCACCCGTCCGCCCTGTACACACGTATCATTAGCACCGTCCTGATGTGCTCTCCCGACACCTACACCGACACACACACTCCGGCCACCCATACTCCTCCAAGCCTGCTCTTGCGCAGCTGCCGCACTGCTTAAACATCGGTGCAGTTGGTGTCATTCGCATTTTCGCACGCCATTCCCACCTAGACCACCCATTCGGGTTCATGCTGGATTAACCCCTGCGTCTGCTCCTCATCTCTTTAATCGCCTTCCTCACTTGCCCGCATTCTTAAAGCTCCTCCCCGTTTCCTTTCCCTCTCCCTCCTCCTCCTCCTCACCATGAGGCCCGCCTCCAGCTCCCGCTGACCCGGCCCGAACTCGCCCACCGAGGACAGCGATAGGTAGGTCAGGTTGGGCACCAGCACATCCAGCCGCCCCAGCAGCCGATGCAGGGCCGGGGAGGTGGTCAGGCTCAGGTACTGCAAACTGAACTGCCGCGCGGCCCAGCTGGGCAGCCGGGGACGACCCGCCATACTGCCGCAAGCCAGGCTACCGCCGTTGATGCCCTGCCCGGTGCCCGTCTCGGCGTGGCGGTGGCTGGGCTGCGGGTGGCCGTGGACCGGCGCATTGCGGTGGTGGTCATGCTGATGCAAGTTTGGGAGTGCGTGAGCGGGGGCAACGTGCAGGCCCGCAGGGTGGGCATCCGCGCCGCCCGGCAGCGGAGGGTGCTTATGTTGCTGGTGGTGACCTGCCGCGGGGCCCCCTGGCGGGGGCTGGTCATCATCCCCAGCAGGCGGACCGTCACCGATCCAAGGGCCCGTTACCGCGTTGCCCTCATAGCTGAGGATGAGGCGGGTGAGCTCCGGGAGGGACATGAGGGAGACTACCTGCGAATGGAGGACAAGGAAAAAGCAGGGAAACTGTGTGCCAGTGGCAGCAGACAGGGTGTGAGGCGACCAGGGAAGCTGTGAAGCTTACGTGCAGGTATACGTACATGCATACGAGAGGGAGAAGAGCGGAGGAACTCTTGCGCACCGCAATCCAAGCTACAGTCCATCCAGACCCCTAGATGTCGGCGGCCCGCACTCGTATCCCTCTAAAACTAAGCCGCTGCAGGCAGAATCCACTCCCCTAAGTCCCTCACCTCCTCCCAGCCAGCTCCCTCAGAGTCGAAGTACAGCGACAGGGAGCGCAGCGAGGTGATCCGGGCCAGGGAGGCAGCCGCCGCCCGGTCCAGCAGGAAGGCATTCAGGTCCAGGCCCCTCAGCCGGGCGCCTCCATCCGTCAGGGCGCGGAGCAGACGGGGAGTGTGGGGACAGGTCCAAACCACTTCCTGCCTGGTTAAGAGGTAGGGGCAGGCGCCGGGAGGGGGCGCGAGGGGTTAAGGACAAGGCGTCAGCCAATACAGACGCTCCCGAACACGAGCGCAAATGGTCCCCAAAAAGTAGAAGGGGCGCGGAGGGGGGGTTGGGCAGGAAATAGCATGCGCGTGATGTGGACAGGAAAGGAGGTGTCCCAGCAAAGCGATGTGCGGGTGTACTCAGCAGGAAGTGCTAGGTGCAAAAGGCCACCAGTTGGGCGCAGGGTGGATGGAGTGGGGCGAACGTCCTCAAGTAGCTTGGACTAACGGGCTTGGAGGTCGTCGGGGGCCCCATTGCGGATCACCACCCGACAAGGCTCCTCACCTCCGTTTACGTTGAAGTTCCATACCCGTACAATCACAGCAGTAGTTCTCGTCCTCCTTTCCCCTTGCTTTGCCTCAACCCGCCACCCAGCCCGGACACCTCTTCTCGTTCCGTCCTACCTACCTGCCGAATAGCCACCGCAGGGTGAGTTCCTGAAGCAGTGTAAGTCCACTGAGAGCCATAAGGCCCCGACTAAAGGCCCACTACAGACCGGGAGCAATGGGAGAGGGAACAAGCGGCTCATATATACCACTGCGGAAGGGGAGCTGCAGCGCAGTGAAGTGATAAAGTGCTCGCCGCGACATCCCCATCTACGACAGCCCCATGTGCGTTTTAGAGAGGGAAAACTAGAAGGCGACGCAGCCTTCTTACGTGCTGCAAATCGCCGCCTCCTTCAGGAGGTATCTGGCGCCACAAAAACACAGTCGGCCATCAAACTTGTTTATTTACGAGATCGCCGCACGGTGCATTGTGTGAACAATATAACCACCTTTTCCGCGTACGTGCCTCTTCCACCATACAGCAACCCAATGACCCACTAGGCGCCTAGGGTGAATACAGGACGTATGTAGAGGGACATCAGCAGCAACGCACATAGCACCGTACGGCAGCTGTGTTCCGATCTTCAGTTTACTTGCTGAAACGTAAGGACGACAACCGCACTGGCAGCTGCGGCCCAATGCAGTGTCCCCTCAAGGCCGCGGACGGGGTTCTGTAGAGCGGGAGGCGCGCTTCGTGTCTTCCCCCACCTGCGCGCTGGGGTCCAGCCCCGGGGCTCCGAGGCTCCACAGCTTGAGTGTGACCAGCTGGGTGAGGGCACCCAGGTTGGTGAGTTGCTGCGGGAAGTCCCATGCCAGGGTGTCGTACATGTGGAGCTGTGAGACGGTAGGCTGGCAGGTAGAGAGCCCCTGAAGCGCCGCCACTTCCAGCCGCGGGTGCTGCAGCTGTGATCGGTGCATGCCCACTGTGCGAACGAAGGGAAAGCGGCTGAGCAGGTGCTGCATCAAGGGGGGAGATATTCCAGGATGGAGGCTGAGGCCGATATCGGCGTTGGTGGAAGGCTGACTCGCGGCGAGGCTTGGGCGGGTGGTGGCGGATAAACCGCCGCAGTCGGCGGACCCTGCCGTGGCGCCGCGTTGACGGTTTTTGGCGTCAACGTCACCTATGCCATCGCTGTGAGCGCTGGCGTGGTTAGAATTGTGGGTTCCATTGCTTCCACAGCCGTGCCCGTAACCTTTTCCGTGGATAGGCGCGTTTTCCTGCGTGGTCTGGTTTGCGCTTTCCCCTGCTCTGCTATTTTGTTGCACTTGCTGTCGCTGATGTTGAGGTTGTCTCTGCTGTTGCTTCAGGAAATCAAGGTACTGCTCCACAACCTCGATTTGCTGTGAGCCCGCGGGCCCTGACGGCAAGGTGATGCTGCTGAGCAATGGTACGTGGAGGACGGTCACAAGCGGCAGGACCGCTTGGCGCCATGCTCGTGATACTAACGCGAAACTGCCCAGTTGCGAGGGCAGCAGGAGCTTCGCCACCTCCTGCGAGGGATTATACGTAAAGCCCAAGCAAGAGCCAATTCATGTGGATGAAGTCCACTTCCATGGAATATGTCTATCCGAAGGCCTAAAATCGCGATGGCTAACCACAAGACCCAACGCAAGGTATTTCGCTCAACCAGCCACGGATCAACCGGCCGGCAAGTTTGTACTCGAAGAAAATAAAGATTCATATACGAAACAGTTCTACCTACGCATGCCAAAGAACTTACCAGGAGCAGCTCCGTCGGCAACGCTGACCAGTCGGGAGCATGCTGGTGGCGATGCGATGCCATCGCGGGTAAAGCAATCAAAACCACAGTTGGCGAATGCACAGAACTATATAAGGATGTCACAGGCTTGGAGAAATCCTAGCGGCCGTACGGATACAGTCCAGCGGAAACATTGCACTGAAGGAGAATGTGCCAACAAAACATTACACCTTGCATTGGGGGGTTTCTCTGGATATGGTGTGTTACTACTGTGCCTTCTTTGTCAACAACATCAAGTACGTCAACACAGGTGTTGCATTTGCCTCAGTCACGCAACTCATTGAGGATGGTGTTGAAAGTTAATTGATGATGTCGAAGATTAATTCGATCATGGGTCACGACCTGGGGTGGTTACCGCGCCGCAACTTGGGCGTTCCGAAAGAGATTGGTCAGCTGGGCAGGAACTCAAGCCTAAGATGTGCGCCTCCACACGGGCAAGAATTCACAACTTTAAGCCTACTTAGAACTCGACCGATGTCTCAATACCGGTATAAAAGCGACCCGTTTCGGTCATCACCCCGCGCACGGCCATGGCTCCGTGCTAGATGGACGCTGCTAACAAAGGCTTCTGTTGAGGAACCGCAGCAAGTGCGAACTTCGATAGCCAACGCCCCGCGGGATGTGGAGGCTCACTCGCCAAGGTACGGCGCAAGTTAGGTGCGGCCGTGGGCTAAAACGAAATGCGCGCTAACCCCCAATCGAACTGTGTGTTGCCGCGATACTTCTCTCAACGTTTATGTTTCTATACGGACTCAGTGTTGCTCCACGTTGCCGTGCACCGTTGCCTTCGATTGCCCAACGGTCATGCGGCAACATGGCGCGACTCAGTAGGCAGCTTAATCGCCATGCAGGCACCTGGCGGAGGTCGCTACTACGGAGGTGTCCGTCGAAGGTAATGTGCCCACAAGCCCCGCAGACCCGCAAGGATGCGTCCCTCCTAGCGGTAGGGGACCAAGCGCCCCTCCCTACAATGAGATCCGTGCTCTGGATGCGGAGATTCTGTCGATTGGGCTGCCGGTGAGCGAGGGGCGAGGTGCGGTTAGGGTAATAAGGAATGATTGCTTATAAGTGTACGCCGATGGGCTCTGGCATGTGTTGCGGTGTTGTGGACCTGAGCCCCGTGGCGGGTGTATTCCTGCTCTCCCTGGTCGTTCCTTTAATAAGCATGCAAGCTGCAAGGCCCTCTCGCCTTCAATTATTACCTTGGTTTTCCAGGTCAGGTCTGTGCTACGTCGTGTTGCATCTCATTGGACTGAACCGTTGTGCCGTGTTCCCGCGCATCCAAACTCGGAATCCTCCCACCCTTCCGCGCGTCCTGCCCCCTGCCTGGCCCTTGTAATACGCACCCCACCGCCTCACCCCTTCGGTCCTATGTCGGTTGCATGCTATGGGATTGTGGAGCATCTGAACCTGGGCGGGTGGGTACACTGCTGCACCACAGCAGGCTGCTCCAGGAAGCGCAGCTTTGTTCACATATTTCGGCAAAAACGTTAAAGTGGTTATTCGAATAATCATTGCGGGCTAACGAATTCCAGTATCTCCAAAGCAAACATGAACAGATGTACTGCGCTGTATTGCTGGCCGGGTGATTTACCTCGTGTCTTGGAGGCGTCTAAGCAGGCCTGAGTCTCTTGCGGTTTCGTACGTTTCCCCAGATGCTGGCCACCTTGGCCGCTGACCCCATCGCGGGCCTGGTGGACAGCGCCTACATGGGGCGGGCGGGTTCAGCCCAGCTCGCGGCAGTGGGGGTGGCCCTCAGCATCTTCAACACAGCCACCAAACTCTTCAACGTACCCTTACTAGCTGTAACAACTAGCGCGGTGGCAAAGGCAACTGGGGAGGCGCGAAGGGCAGTGGAGGCAGCGGCCGCGGCGGCAATCGGCGCTGGGGGCACGGCCGCCAACAATACAGCTTCGACGGCGGCGGCAGCTCTCTCGGCGGCGGCTTGTGTGAAGGCCGGCGCTGCCGCAGCAGCCGCCGTGCCCCACCTCGACGCTGACTCGGCGGTAGCGGATACCGGCCGCCCTGTTGTCGCCACCGCAGCTGTGGGAGACGACGACAGCGGCACAGGTAACGGTGCCGGCGGCACGGCTGCAGCTGCAGCGGGGGCGGCTGCTGAGGCGGCAGGAGCAGCCGCCGTGGCGGCTGTCTCGGCGCAGGCGCGTGCTGCATCCGCGTGCATTTGGTTGGCGGTACTTGTGGGGTTGTTGCAGGCTGTGCTGCTGGTGGGTGCGGGTCCTCGGCTGGTGGCTATGTGGGGTGTGACGGCCACCTCCCCAGTGGCCCAACCCGCTCTGGGCTTCCTGCTGGTGCGGGCGGTTGGGGCGCCAGTCACCATACTCATGCTCACGTTGCAGGTGACGGTTGGGGAGAGGTGGAGTGGCTTGGGATGGGCATGGGTTGGGGGCCAATCTGAGCAGTAACTGGAGTCACACATCCCTGCGGCGCTTTGCACTCCACGCCCTAAGCCGTTCCTAGGTAGTCGTTAATAGCCGTTTGTAGCTGTTAATAGGCGTTTGATGGCTGATTGCGGTGGTCGCTTTTACGAACCGATCGACAGCAGGCAAATCTTAATATTTGCAAGGTTTTTGGTTCCCCGCCATCCACCACGCTATGTCATGGGTATGAGTGGAGGTGTGCTGGTAATCGTGCAGGGGACTCGGACAGTGGCCCCGCGGGGTTCCTAATCCCGGGGGAGGTCTGCCCGCATCCCCCGGTGTGGCCTTCTCTACCGGTCCTCTATCCCGCCTTTTTTGCGTTGCCATCAGATCCCCACCCTCACCCTGCCGTTCCTGAGCGATCGGGAGGGAGCTGATTCAGCCAGCAGCAGCAGCATTCTTTCATGCCCCTTCCCCCCACCCCCCCTTACGCAGGGTGTGTTCCGCGGGCTACAGGACACGCGCACCCCCCTTCAAGCCACCCTGGTCTCCAATGCCATCAACATCGCCCTGGCACCCATGCTCATATTCGGGGCGGGACTGGGAGCGGTGGGGGCCGCAGTCGCCACAGTGGCGGCTCAGGCCATACCCCTGGTGCTCATGGCCCGAGAGCTCAGACGGAAACTCGTGCTGCATACCCCGCAAGCGCAGGGGCACGGGCAGGTGCAGCAGGTGCAACAGCAGAAACAGCCCCGACAGCCAGCCCAGGGTTGGAGCTGGTCTCAGGTGACGGACGTGCTGCCGCTGTTTAAGCCCACAGGTACGTATGTGCCTTGCGCCTGCTGGCTGGTTGGGTGGTCGTCGGTCAAAAGCCTATCAACCACCCAAAAATATACGGGTGGGTGCCCGGCTGGCTAAGTGTCAATGTGTCTGGCCGGTGGAATATATTCGGCCATCCGTCTCCGTTTGGTGAGCTGATCTCAACCAAGTCGCTCCTGACCTACCCCAGAATTGGATTCGTATGTCATGTGTTGGGGATGGGTCATGTCTTTTTGTCCGGCCCCTCCAGCCCATCAGGCTCAGGACACAAGGACCGGCGCTTGCATACCTGGCTCTGCAACCATGTACAGCTAAAAACGTTTACGGCATGTCTTTTTTCTTTCCCCCCTGCAGGCTTCCTGGTTCTCCGCAGCGTCTCCGTGAGCGCCACGTACGCGTTCGCTACCACGCTGGTGGCCCGGGCGGGGGCGGCGGTGACTGCGAGCCACCAGATATGCTTCCAGGTGGGGTGGGGGTTGAGGGTGAGAGTGAGGTGACATCTTGGAGCAGCGAGGTGAGGGGGCGATGATTAGCGATTTTAGATGACCCCCGGGATCTGCGGTTAGGGACGTGCCGCCGGCCCTGGTTGGTACCCGCTGACTCGTTCTCCACGCATGTCCTCTCGCACTGTCCGGGTTCAGCTTATCATCACTTCAGCACCTATACGTCCGGCCTATGCGCCCTCTCTCTTAGTGGTAGTGGCCACATCTCCGTTTGGCCGCCACGTGGCCTACCCTCCCTCGGCCCACTCTGGACTCCGGTTCGGCTTTTCACCCTTCGTTGACCTTTTTCCTCTTCCGCTCCTCACCCCTCCCCTCGTCATAATCGTCCCTGGCCATTCCGATCACAGCTATGGCTAGCCTGCTCCCTGCTCGCGGATGCTCTGGCGGTTGCGGCCCAGTCGCTCATGGCTCGTGACCTGGGATCAGGCAGTGTGTCAGGAGCCCGCATGGTGGCGGGCAGGGTGGGCAGTCTCAGTGTGGGACTGGGGCTGCTGCTGGCGGGCGGCCTGGCGGCTTGTGGGGCCCAGCTGCCCGGAGTGTTCAGTTCAGACCCGGAGGTGCTGAGGCTAGTGGGAGGTAGGTGGGGGGAATCATATGCAAGGAAACGAGGAATAAACTATCGGCGTCCAAAGTCCTCAACTGCCCCCAGTGAGTGAGTCCTAAGCGAGGAAGTCATGGACACGCGGTTCCGGTAGTAAAGCCCGTCATTGGGTTACCGACATGTTTGTGGTGTAGTCGTCATCGGGTCTCGTGAGATCGTGAGTCCTTGAGACGGGGTGTGGGGTGGGGAAGGTGCGAAGGGCGAAGAGGAGGGGGGGGGTATACGTGTTGAGAGCCCGCCAAAAAAGGGGATACCCTATGGGGTTTTCCGTAAGTGATGTTACGTGCTTGCCTCACATAATGTCATCGCTTTTTTTCGCTTTCGTGCTTCTACTGCTGGCCATGCTAGCGTGCCACATCCCCGACATACACACATACATACACACAGACGTAAGTACAAGTGTTTCCTTCCTTATCGTAACTTCAACCCCCCTGTTCGTCCGCGCGCGCACACGCACACGCATACGCGACCCTCCATTCCACTTTCGCTGCTCAGTTCATTAAGACACCCATCCCTCCCGTCCACAGCGCTCTTCCCGGTCATTGCAGCCACACAGCCAATCACAGTGTTGGCCATGGCATGGGACGGCATCTTGTACGGGGCGGGCGGCTTCCGGTACGCTGCCGTATCCATGGCCTTAGCTGCACTGCCCGCAATAGCGCTCATGCAATTTGGTGGCGGTGCCGTACATTGGATTGCGGGGCCGCTGGGTGTGGGCGCGTCGGAACCGATGGCGGCGGCGCCAGGCGGCGCGCCGCAGCTGGCGTCTGAGGAGCAACTGTGGTTGGTGTGGGCGGGCCTGGCAGTGCTGATGCTGTTGCGTTGGTTGACAATTGCAGTGCCGTATGCTGCACGAATAGGGCCTTTCAGGCAGTTGCGTGGCGAGGGCTTGTGAGAGGGTGTCTTTGTCTTGCCCCACCAAAGCGATTGAATAAGCCGACCACTTCGAAAAGGCAACAACGCTATGTTGTAGTCGGGTTGTACAGTTTGCAACCTATTCCTGTGGTGGTAGCTTTAATGTAGGCTGGAGGTTCTTGCGTACGAAGAACAGTTGAGTGAGGCAGATGGGAGCAGCAATGGCTAGTCCAGGGTTCAGGCCGGTGGGCAGCGATGACCATGGCAACGGATGGCTGGAAAAAAACCGATTTGGTTTGGAGGATATTCGAACACATCGGTGCGATAGCTTCTGTATCTGGGGTTGTTGTGAGTGCACGGAAGGGAATGGCAGCGAGAGGAGCCGCGAAGAAGAATGTCTAGAAAACTGTTGGTCCGGGTGAATTCCGAAGTAACCGAGCGGTATGGCTTGCAACATGCTGGCATATGGCTGGATGTGAATGGTACCGGCAAGCTCACGCCGTGTCTTTTCCTTTCTTTGTGTGAGGTTTGCCGTGCGTTGTACGGATACGGCACCATGGACGAGATAATGACGATACTGTTTCCTACTTTCGCGTGTTGCGGCAATGGCTAGGCACGGCGTGCATGTTGCCACACCGCACCGGCGGCTGCCGTATAGTTGATATTCCCCCCTGGAGTAGGTCGATGAGCGAACGCAGCAGGAACGCAGCAGGAAATAGCGAACGCAGACGGAACGGCTGTAGCTTTCCATTTGTTCAACCCCCTCATTGTAGAAGAGCCTGCCGGCTATTGGGTTTTCTTACCACCACGTAATGCCGTGGTACCTTCTTCACCAGCTTAGGCGTATGGGGCTTTGCGCTTGGCGGCTAGTTGGTTCGTTTGCCCCTTTGCCCGGTTTGTATGATGTTCACCGGTTGTGTCGCTATCGTTACAGGAACACTGAATAGGTTGTTTGCGAGAGGAATGCTTTATTCGGCATTCCGCCTCGGTTGCACTGATTGTTGTCGTGGCACTGCTGCTGGTGCACTGAGACCCCGTCCCTTTAAGGCCGGTGCACTACTCTTCCTACCGAATCGTACTTCATGAAAGCCCCTTGCCGCACTGCACAGCGATACCGTGCTAATCAGCAACGAGCTCACCGCGCGGGACGTGAGAGCGCATAACGTGTATTGCATGTCGGCCTTTGCCGATTGCTGTTGAAGAACCCGTTGCAAACTGCCACTCCCACTTAGCACACGAAGCACATGCCCCTGCTGCTATCCCATGACTTTCAGTGTCAGTATGGAGGCGCCCAGGTGTCATGGAACCCAGGTGCAGGTAGAGGGGCAAACCCACATACCAGGAGCACGTCCAGGGAGCAACAAGCTACGGGTCAGACACGGGGGAAGTGTCCTTCAACAGCGCTGAGGAGAGGCGGCCAACAACAACCTCGGTGGGGCAGCCAATACATCTATTGCTGGGCACAAGTGCAGGTTCACTAGCGTCGTCCTGCAAACCAAGGTCACAAACCAAAGCATACTCCATACCCGATACTCTACTCGAATTCCCCACATACACGTCTTCCTACACTCCGCTAATGGAACCCATCGTCCAACGCAAAATACTTGCACTGACTCCTGAGCCATCATGGGGCGCATGCACACCGCCGCGACAATGGGGCCGTCAGGCTGTCCCAGGTACAGCAGCCGGTCGTAATTCTCCCAGTTCCCCGTACTCAACTCATCCGTCCACCTGCCAGGTAAAACCCGCCATCCATCCAACCGCTCGTCCATCCAGCCATCCTGTTACGTACGGCGGACAGGCACGCACAACCTCAGCTGCGGCCCAACCTCAGCTGCGGCCCGAGCCCACGAGGCGCTCTACAACCCGCAGACACACTCACCAACCGCATCGCACCGAGGCGGTGTAGGGCCACAGCCTCCTGCCCCTTCCCCTGCCCATGCGCTCGCAACTTCTTGTGCGCGCCACTAAACACCCATGAATGTGATCCCTCTTTCTCGCATGTGTGCGCCCAGAGGCCCGCCGTTTGATTTCAACTTCACCGCCAATGGCCCCTGCTGCCGCGGGTTTGCAACACACATGTTTCAAGGATAGCTGGTGCAATCCATCCGCGGACGCGACCTTGCCCGGGGAGACCCAAGTGCTCCGGGCTGCTTCGATGGCAGCCTGGACTTGTTGCGTGTGTGGCTTGGGGGCATCCCGTCAGGGGGATAGGAGGACCTCCCGACGCCTCTCTCACCCACATGGCTACACGGAAGAAAGCTCCCGCGCACACCGCCAGACCAGGAGCCCCGCATGTAACAAAAAATGACCCATGTACGACTTCGAGTGCTCTCCAACACTTGAACGCTCTCCGGCTCTCCTGTACCTCGCTCCCTCTTCACACCCGCATAAGGCACAACTGCCTCTCCAAAAAATGACCAAACCTTAACACAAACCGCAACGACGGGAAACAACGGCCATCACGACCGCAGCGCACCTCCCCTCCTGGAGACGCGCCGGTGCGTGACCGCCACCCAGACACGTGCTCTCTCTCGCTCTCCCCTTGTACAAGGGAATACACTCAACAACCGTACGATGCGTGTGGACAGTGCATACAACTTGAACAAACATTTCCATAACAGCGCGACAACGAATAATTGATCATGTTAATAATATCGATTATGAAATTATCCCATCCCATGGACTCAACCGGCAGCAATTGCTCCGAAACTCTCCTCGTACTTCGCTTGAACGTAGCACCGAAAGCGACAGCCCCTCTTTGCATACAACCAGTACATTTCACTCTGACCCACGACGGTGGGGTTATTGGCAGTACCGCAGCAAGCCTCTAATCCTAACCCCCGAACGCATGCTCGGCAACAAACAGGCCGCCCCACAGCGTGTCATCCAGCCGTTCGCTCTCCACCCTGGCGCAACTACTACCACCCCCCTAGCCCCCTCTCCTAGCCCTTGATTTCCTTCTCAAATTTGTCCAGCCGCTGCACCCTCTTGAGGCCTCGGAAGACCAGCACTCCAAACACCGCGGACAGGCCCAGACACAGAGCCGCAGGGCCCTCCAGATTCATACCCCCCGTCGCCACCGCCGCTGCTGCTCCTGGGCCGCCGCTGTTGATGGCCAACATGGTGCCCACGTTCAGCAGCCCCATGCATGCCACCGTGTTCAGGGTGGCCATCTGGGCGCGCGGGGTAGGGCGGGGTAGGGCGCGGGGTAGGGCGTTTATGGAAGCGATGGAGGGGGAAAGTTGCGGCAGGACGGTGGCGCCGAGGCACTGGAGCGGGGAGCGGTGGGGCTGAGGGGTCGGAGCGGTGGAAGGGAAAGTATCGTGCACTAAACACGTGATCTAAGAGCCCGGAAGGATTACAACACTCAAGAGTTCCCGACATCGGCTTGCATACCCCTCCGGGTTCCCCCCGTTTCCTGTTTCCCTGTCGGTCCGCAGCTCCCGTCCCCACTCCTCCTTACTCCCGGATGTGCCTGTATACCTGGAGCACCCCCGCCCTGCGGTCCGCCCTCTCCCCTTCCAGCACCCGCACTCGCAGCTTCAGGTCCCCCGTCTCCAACTGGGCTACGGTGGCCTCAATGCGGCGAATACGTAGGGGCATGGCGGCTGCAGCAGCACCCAGCTCGCTGGCCTGCTGCTGGACCTGCGGAGAGCAGGATGGCATCCAGAAAGAGGAGGCGGGTAGGGGAGTGTGATAAGTGGGAATCAAGGGTAATTGAGGGAAGCAACTCCCTGGGGAGCAAGGCGGAGGGAGGCCCGCCGGCCCGAGGTCCCACAGACCCCCCCGACTATTCCGCCCTCTTTCGGGAAAACATTCCCAGCGCTTGCAATGTCTTCTGGACAGGCTGTACGGCCTTTGTTCTGATACAGTTGTCACGGCGCCCACCATGAGCGTATGCGCGCACACACAGCTCCCTCCTACATACCAGCACACCCACATCCACACGCACACACCCACACCTGCTCCAGCAGCGCCGCCCCTCCCCGGGCCCCGGTTGCGTCCTGCAGCTGCAGCAGCTCCGCCGCGTATGGCTGGGCGACCTCGTTGAAGCGGTAGTTGGGGTTGAGGGTTTTGCCAATGCCCTCCAGGGTGGAGAAGGCGCGGAGAACGAAGGTGAAGGTGGCAGGGAACCTGGCGGCCGGTTGGGCGGATGTGGGTGCGGGTGCGGGTGTGAGGACGTCTGGGTGGTGGCTTTATTTCACTAGCTGCGTGTGTGGATATGGATAACATGTGCTCTGTAGGAGAGGTAAGATGCGGGGAGCGCGGGCAGCGGGACTGATCCTCATGACGCGTGTGCCTTAGGAGGGTCGTGGACTCAGCCCCACTAAAGGTGCGCCTCCCCTCTCCCGCCCGTGCTCCACAACACCCTAACCTCCCTCACTCCCGACCCCGCGCTCCCGGGTTCAGGCCCGGCGAGCTGCCCTCCCAGTCCTCCGCGGACTCCCGCGGCCACCTGAACGGCTGGTCCAGAGCAATGGCGAAGAGGTCCTCGCCAATAGCCTGGGGAATACACGGGATGGAATGGGGAGGGGGGAGGGGGGAGGGGGGAGGGGGGAGGGGAAGGGGGGAGGGGGGAGGGAAGGGAGACACAAGCAGTAACTCCAGAGGCTACCCGAATGTGGATACGACTACCCGGAAGGGGGTGAGTGCGGAGGCAGGATGGCAGGAGGCACTGCACTGCAGGTGTGTCCAGATCAGCGGGCGGACCTCCGGAGAGCGAGCCAAGTGCCGTACATACCCGCATGTCCCCCCCACCTGAATGGTCTCCTGCCTCTCCGCCTGTCGTGATAGGTTCTCGATAAAGTAGTTGATGGCCCGACGCAGGCTCAGAGAATCACCGGTGGGCTTGATCACCTGAAGAGCCACCAGGGCCCTGAAAGTGGGGAGGGAGCGGAGGGAGGGAGGGGAGGGGGAGGGGGAGGGATAGGGAGGGGTTTGGGAAGAGGGGAAGGGAAAGGGAACCCAATACGGAGAACAGGGTCCCACGCGGCGACGAGGCATACCGTTTCTACGATAATACATACAGGGAGACTGTCCGTAGCCAGGAAGAAAACGTCGGTGCATACCGCTCAACCCCCCCTGTTCAACCCTGCTCAAGCGGGCTCGAAAAGTTGCACCGGTATCCGCCTATACCCCTCCCAGGCCCCGCCACCCCGACAACTCCGGCAGTTGGTGCGCTGGAGGTCGGCAGTACTTTCCCTCCTTGACTTCTGTGTTACATGTCTCTTCCCCCCCCTACACACACACACCACCACCCACCGGCTCCGCAGCGTCCATGTCCGCCCGTACCCACCTGAGCACCTGGTCTGTGTCCTTCCGGTAAACACCGTAGAAGACGTCCTGTCGGGCGGAAGGAGAAGGACACCGGCCGGGTGAGGGGGGTGAGCGGGGGTAAGACGAACTGCAGGCGATTGAAGCAGATACCAGCGATAGATGGATTGTCCAATGGAGGGTGGGAGGGTGTCCGGAGGGGGAATGCCAGCAAAGCTAGGTACATAGCGCACGCCAAGCAGCGTGGTGCGTGCGTGTGGATGTGTGTGTGTACAGTACGAGACGGATGGGAGGGCTGCAGTGCATCAGGGAACCGCAGCTGGGGCACACGCGCCCGGGGGTATCGAAGGCTAGGCTCGTCCTACACGGCAACCACGCAGAGGGACACGGACCGAGTTTCAGGTTCGGACGAGAGCGGAGAGCTTAGGTGGCAGGGTTTTAGCGCCCCTTGAGCAGGGTATGGCATTGAAAACACACGTTTCTCCATCCGCATCCGCGTCCACGTTGCCCACTATGGATTCACGCCGAGGGTGTCTTGGCTACCGGCATCTATCCTCCCCCTCCCCCTCCCCCGCCCTAGTCCTCACCAGCAGTCGTGTTCGTACGTCAGGTACGATTTCACCCATCATGCCAAAGTCATAAAACAGCAGGTCGCCTGAGGGATGGGGCCACCGCGGGGAGATACAGCATATGATGGTTGGTGGAATGGGGAAACAGCCCTGAAAAAGGGGCCGTAGGGCAGCGGAAGGTCCCCCAGGCCCCGCGGTCGCGGCTGAGGGTCCAAGGGTCCTTTGACGAACCGGGATGAGCCGGGGTGGTGCCACATGACCACCCAGGGTCACGCCGCCGGGAGAGCAACACGTAGTGGACCCACAGCACCCCCTCATCTCGCAGTCCACAGGGAGCCGTGACCCGGGAAACCCTCCAGGGTGGTCGCCTCCCTCTGTAACAGACAAGCATACATACATACGTACATACATACACCTATGCTTCCCCTCACCTGTCCGAGTGTCCACACTAACATTGCCAGGATGGCTGCAGGAAACACGGCGGGAGGTGTGTAGGGTTTTAGCATTTGGAGGGGTGTGATATGTGTGTGTGTGTGTGTGCACAAGGCATCGCCGGTGGTGGGGAAACGGGGACCCCCCGGGGGACGACAACCCTTCTCTTTCAAGCAAGCTTCGACCCACACCCCCGGGGGCCGGAAAGCTGCGCTGGCTGTACCGCTCCCCGGGGAGCTGCTGCGGCCTCAGGAAACCTCGCTGGCCTACATCCCCTTAACAGGAATCCCGAAGAAGGTCTGGCAAGGCACAAGTGCTTGTGTGTGAGGGGGGGATTTGGGTGAGTGGCAGTACGTACCGACTGCAAGGCGATTCAGGGTGCAAGGCTACGTGCCGCACAAAAAACCAACACGGCACCTTACTGAAGATGGCATCGCAGTTTAGGTTTCATGCTTGCCTCTTACGGCATTACAGCCCACGGCTTTAGGCATGCCCCACATCGCCACGTTGCATGGAGTCTACCCAGAAGCGTCATGCTACGGGTCCACGCTCGCCAGCCCGCCCAGCTAGGGTCTAGCGAAAAAATGAAAACCTAACGTCCACAGGAAAACCCACGGGTCAGCATGGAAGAATCCGTGTTTGAGGATCTGGATCAGGTAGGCCTCCGTGGCCCTGCGAGCAATGGTGTCTAGATCCAGTCCTGCCGCCTGCAGCCGGGCCTTATCGCTAATCTTGGCACCTGGTCGGGTGAGGAGGAGGGCGATGTGTGTGTCTCTATCGGGGCGAATATAATCATGATTAGCAGCGAATCCGAACCCGGACCCTAAGCCCGGAGAAGTGAGCGGCTGGAGACGCCTAGAGGTTGAAGCGATGCGCGGGTTGGGTAGTGCATGTGTGGAGAAATAATTGGAAGATGTGACAGCATGAACTCCTCTTACGGGACCCGACAAGAGGTGTATAAGGGGGCGATCACAAGCAATCGAGTAGGAGGATGCGGTGGCAGGCGAAGCGAAGGTCTTCGTGGGATCCTGTCCAGCTCCCCACAACACACACATCAGTCGACCATCTCAAATGCAGCTCATATCCACCGTCGCACCCAGGCGCCGTATCGTCCCACATTCGCTGATGTCCTCTCCTTCGTTCCCCCTCCCCCTCCACCTATCTGTCTATCTCTGGTATCTGCTTCACTCGCCAGTGGTTCGTCTTATCCCCCTCCCCCTTTCCCCCCCATCTCACCCGGCAGGTACTCCAGTACCAGCACACGGGGGCTGCAGTACTCCCAGTACACCTTGGGCGCACGAGCCCACGAGGCATCCACACGGAAGTTACGTCTGGAGCGGGAGAGAGGTGCACGGGGGGGTAGTGTTGGAGGTCGGGTGGGTGATAAGTGGGTCGGTGGGTGGGTGGGGACTCATATGACGATGCAAATTCAACAGAACTCTCCAACTGCCGACGCCCAAAGAATGAGTGAGTGTGCCAATAATCGATTAGCCCGTGGGGAGAGCACCACAGCCCCGAGGCTCCCCCAGGTTGTCCGCCAGCCACCCACAACCACCCACCCACCCACAACCACCCACCCACTACCACGCACCTGAACCTGTCCGCGTTCCTCCCCTCGTTCAGGTAGTCGATTTCCTGGTACAGCACGGTGGCGCATTCCTGGTAGATACCCTTGAAGTCCCTTCAAGCGGAGATCGGGGGACGGAAGGGAGATAAATGTAGTGCACGCATGGGATGGGTTGGGTTGGGGAACGGGGTCCGTGGGATAAGTGGCTGCCCTGATGGGTGGGGCGCAAACCCCAGAGGCGCAATAAATCTGGGACTGCGATCAGGGACTGCGAGGAATTACGTGGTGGTCGTGTTGTGGGGGTTGTACGTCATGACCCAGCGGCCCATGCCAGCCCCTTCTTCCCCATTTGCTGCGGTGGCGGCCCCTAGCTCCACCTGTTTTCATCCCCCTTGTCCAGCTGTTCCGCCAGAATCCTCAGGTTGTTTAGGTCAATGTCGAACAGCTGCTTCAGTCCGGGTCGCTGCACCTTGACCACCACCTCCTCACCGCTGAACAACACGGCGCGATGGACCTGAGCCGGAGGGAAAAAGGGGCGGAAGGGGGGTAGGGGAATGGGGCATTGGAGGGCAGTTGGGGACCTAAAACCCTAAGGGAGGGAACGGCTAACCAACTGATTTACAGGAGTGGATTCGGGATCCAATTATCGTTCCGTATTGTTGAACCTGTTAAGACCCACTAAACCCGGAGCGTCCATCCGAGCAGCCACAAGCCCAAATGGTAGGCGTGAGGGCGTGAGGGTGCAGGAAGCTAATCAGTGCGAGCTGATGACTAGCGTTCACAAAGCATTCCTCGTTGAGAACTGATCACGGCAATAATGTACGCCCCACCACAACCCGGTTTACAAGGTCTTAGGGTAGCCGCACTTCGCGCCTGCAGCATGATGCCGAAAGGTGCTTGGAAACTTTCACGCTCCTAAAATGGACATTGCACAAACCACAGAAAACCGGATCTCCCACACACCTATTCGCGGCCTCAGGCCCCTTCCTCCCTCCCTTCCCTCCATCAGCAGGCAGTGGTCGGAGCCGCACGCCGTGCTTGTGCCCCCGGGCCCCACCTGCCCCAGACTGGCCGCGGCGATGGGTCGCTGGTCGAATGATGCGAAGAGCTGGGAGATGGGTCGGCCCAGGTCTTTCTCAATTATGGAGATGGCTTTAGAGGCGGCGAACGCGGGAACACGGTCCTGGAGGCCGCGGGGTTTGTGAGAAGAGGGGAGTGCGGGGTGCGCGAGTGAGCCAGAGCAAGCAGCCACACGGCAAAAGGAACCCTAACGGGGCGAGCAGTGCAGCCCAAGTGTTCTTGCACAGCCAAGCAGGCCAACAGGAGGTGAGCTGGCGCCACACTAGCACTGCGGAAGCGCCCCCTCCCGTACCCAGGCCCAACCTACCACATTCTCCCCCACATACACACGTGCACCGCGACGAAACCCTACCCCACACCCTACCTGGAGCGTTGACAGCTCCTCCACGAACTCAGCGGGTAGCAGGTCGGAACGGGTGGAACTCAACTGACCAACTGGGGGTAGGGGCGGACGGGAGAGGAGGACATACTGAACAAAGATATGGCCCAGCTGGTCGGGAAGAAATGGAAAGGAAAAGGCACATCTAGGAATGGTGAGCGTGTGTGCATGTGCGTGCAGGTTTCGGGGGGGGGGGGGAAATACACATGGCCCCACGTGTGAGCGTGTGAAGACCAGCCGCTGACACATGGGCCATGTCGGCGCATGCAGGGTGTCCCGCCATTCTTGCGTGCTACTGGTGATGGCACTACCGCCGGCTGTGGCTCTCCTTTCGCCTCGCCTCTCCGGGGCGCTGCTGCCCCGCATGGCACTTACTCTTAATGAAGGTGGGCCCCAGCTGCAGCACACTGTTCAGCAGGTACCTGGGCAGTGTGGGGCAGAGGATGGCGGTCAGTGGAGCAGCGCAGCGGCACGCAGGATCACCCAAAACATGTGTGTATACGCGCTGCCGTACCTCGCTAGGCCCTTCGCCCTCTGGCCCCTCTTGGCCTCAGTAAAGCCCCCCGGGTAGGACCACTTCTGATCCAGCAGCCACAGCCGGGAGCGGAAGAGAGTGAAGAACAGCCAGGTGTCGATGTTGCGTTGAGTCGCGTTGTAGTTGTCCTGCATAATCAGGACCCGTCAACACACTTCGCCTACCCTGCCTCATTAAGCTATTCATACATCACTCAACCGGAGTTGGTATACCCCCACCACGAGCACAGACGAACCTGTGCCCACTTGAAGTCCGTCTCCGCAGGCCGATCCAACACCTCAGCCTCCACAAGGGGGCCGCCGCCAACATCGTTCGACGAGCTTCCGGCCGCGGTCCAGGAGGGGCTGCTGCTGGTGGCGGAGAGGGCAGCAGGGACGCGTGTGGCAAGCAGCTCTGTATCCGCTGCAGACGCAGACGCCGCCGACCCGCGGGTCTCCGCAATGCCCTTTGCCACCTCTGCAGCGGCGGCACGGACTGACGGCCATCCAATCGGGACAACGGGACACCAATCCAACCGACCGACAACAACAGGGGAACCAAGCCAGCCAGTGTGAGGTATGGGATTAAAAAGGTTGGGGGGTTGGGTTGGGGACATACATCGTTAGTTGATGAAAAGCAAATGGGGAAGTGGAGGATCTCATCAGCACGGTGAGGCGAGGTGGTGTGGGGGAATTGATGGAGAATTTACGCGTTACAGGTCTGCGAGAGATGTGATAACGTTTGGGGTTGTCTGCATGAAACGAGTATTCGCGCGCAACGTGCAGTCCGGCACTTGGATTGTACATGGAATCCGCACCTGCGGGCATGTATGTGCGTAACGGCGCACGTGCTAGAACCACTTCGTTAGCCCTCGGCGGCTTGGCATTGTTGCCGTTGCCGCTCGGCAGGTCCACGCTGCTGAGGCTGTTAGCGCTGGATACACTGCTGTATGATGTCCCACTACCGAGCCCGCTACTGCCGTTCCTGCCGGGTGCCGTTCCTGGGGCCAGGAAGAAGATGCGTGTGCGGATATGTTCGTAGGGGAAAGAGGGGATGCCCCAAGGAACCACAAAACACACACTTTGCTGCATCGTGCAACGCGCCACGTGCTCCTCAGTCAACACGCCCACATTGATACGCAGGACGGCAGGCAGGCAGCCTACTGTAGACGCTCTGCCACGTACACAGCATTGCCCACACCTCAAAAACGCTCTTACCGTTGTCCAGTGACCGCATCACGATATCCACGGCCCCTGCGACCGCAAACAAGTAGATTCGTTACATAGAGCATTCATATCCTATCGAGGAAGCCCTTCAGAACCCGGGAGGATAATGACCTGCTGCGGGCTTTGTGGCCGTAGCCGTGACACGAAGATGTGAGCGCGGCAAGCCCACTCGGATGCGCAAAGGATGCCTGTTTTGAAAGACGTAAGAAGTAATATACAAGTGCAACTAATTTTCAACACCGGCTTCACAGTAAAAGGCAGTAACAAAGACTGGCGACCTCACCCAGCTGGCGTCCTTGCGATTGGCCCCATTATACTTAGTTGTACTTAGTATGAAGCAGAGGCAGATTCCCGTGTTCTTAATCGTTTAAGTTCCCCGTATGCTGGGCGACGCGAACCTCAGCAGGGCCTGTGAAAGGGCCTGATGGAAGGCCCAAGGGATGTTGGTACAGTAAAGGTTCAACTGATGAAATAATGAATGGTACCAATCGCAGCGCGCTTTTCCAGAAAACATCCGTCAACCGAAACGTCCGTTGGGGTGCGCAACACTATCCCGTATTCCCGTTGAATTGAAGTATTGGCAGAACCTCATTACGCCAGCAAGGATAATGGTCATTAATAACCACATATATGTACAGGATTGATGCTGCCGCTCAGTTATTAGTACTGGTAAAGGTTTGGGTATGGAACGGCAGCGTTACAGCCTGCAGATTGTAAGGAGGGTAGGATTCGGGCTGGAATTAGGGAAGAGCTCTGTCGCAGAATTAGCCTGGATTTTATTCCTGACAAAAGAATTGGTCCGTCGGGGTCTTGAACTGTTCTGGCAGGCTCGCCGGAGATATTCGAATTGCGCTGTGGAGCCCCGGAATTGGGCTGTACTGGGCCTGAATTGGCCTGTCCGGGTGCCGAATTGGCCTAACAGGGTGTCGAATTAGCCTGGCAGGGTATCGAATTGACCTGTTCGGGGTGTCAAATTGGCCTTGCAGGGTATCGAATGAGCGTGTTCAGGGTGTCGAATTGGCTGTCGAGTTGGCAGGATTGGCTCAGGCTGGCATCCGGAAGCACATGACTTTTAAGGAATTTACACAAAACTTTGCAAAGGGACCGCTTACAAGTGCCTCATGTGCGTATTGGTTTCGATCCCAGGACATGGAGCAGGAAAACTTGCACACCTGTTTACCGTACTCTGGCAATGTAGGGAGGCAAGCACTCAGGGCCACAATTGCAATACCCAGTCAAGTCAGTCGCCGAGGCCCCACTGTTTTCCTACCACACTTCATCGGCAGTTTGTCCAGTTTATCCCACAATACTCGTATGAATGAATAGGTTCGGGTGGAAACGATTGCAAATCTCCGATACACCGCTAAACTCAGTACCACGAGCTACAATAAAAACAAATGAAAATGCAGATGTCTGTCGAGAAGAATGTGTGCTCCACATGCGTTCTGTGCCTTAATCCATCGAGTTCTCCGTTGGGCGGGTTCTGTATCCACAGTGTTGTGTTCAGGCGCGTGTTTACGTCTGTTGAATGATTGGATGAATGAATGAACGAATGAAAGGGGTTTTACGTTGTGGTTCGGGTCGGTTCGGGTGGTGGTATCTTTTCGTCGAACACACACACACACACACACACACACACACACACACACACACACACACATACACACACACAATGAATGTATGAATGAAATGAGAACCGAGGACGGTAACCAGGCGTGTAGGGTTCCTGCCACTTCCTGGCCCATATACAGAATTAAAACCAACACAGTAGTTACAGAGTTCCATAAAGTTTCGTAAGTTCCTTCAACTACCGCGATTCTGGATGCCTGCCTGAGAGTTTCCGGGCCGACCCCGCAATTGGTCGAAATTGCTCGATAGAAGGGTTGAAATTGGCACGGGGTCTACACCTGGGACAAGTTAAATTGCCGGGACAGGCCCTTGAATTGGCCTGACAGGGACACGAATTGGCCTGGCAGGGACATTCCAACAGTCAGGATTAGCCTGGCAGGGACACGAATTGTCCTGGCAGGGACATTCCGACAGTCAGAATTAGGCTGACAGGGTGTCGAATTGGCCTGGCAGGGACATTCGGACAGTCAGAATTAGCGTGTTCAGGGTGCCGAATTAGGGAAGCACGGGAATTGTGCGACCGGGGCAGTCAAAAGAATTGCTCTGCCCGACAGTTTGTCCTACCCTCTAGATTGTACAACCCCCAGATTGCACCAGAGGTCGGCAAATCGATTTCTACGGCTGCGTGAGAGCATAATTTCGGTCAGTAAACCTGGAAACATTTCAAAGTCAAACACAGAGTTCAGGTTCAGCGCGCGGCCATACGGGCCGCAATAGAGGCTGCAAATCATGTCTTTTGGTCACGGACCCGCAGAATGCGATTTGTTACAGCGGACCCCGAACGGGTCGAGTGCAGCACCCCAGGGAACGCCTCCCGTACAGCACTGTGGGCCTTATTAGAGGTTAGGACACAAGGTCGGGGAGAGCAATTCTTTGGACTGCCCCGGTCGCACAATTCCTGTGCTTCCCTAATTCGACGCCCCGAACAGGCCAATTCTGACTGTCCGAATGTCCCTACCAGGCCAATTCGACACCCCGACATGCTAATTCTGACTGTCGGAATGTCCCTGCCAGGACAATTCGTGTCCCTGCCAGGCTAATCCTGACTGTTGGAATGTCCCTGCCAGGCCAATTCGTGTCCCTGTCAGGCCAATTCAAGGGCCTGTCCCGGCAATTTAACTTGTCCCAGGTGTAGACCCCGTGCCAATTTCAACCCTTCTATCGAGCAATTTCGACCAATTGCGGGAAACTCTCAGGCAGGCATCCAGAATCGCGGTAGTTGAAGGAACTTACGAAACTTTATGGAACTCTGTAACTACTGTGTTGGTTTTAATTCTGTATATGGGCCAGGAAGTGGCAGGAACCCTACACGCCTGGTTACCGTCCTCGGTTCTCATTTCATTCATACATTCATTGTGTGTGTGTATGTGTGTGTGTGTGTGTGTGTGTGTGTGTGTGTGTGTGTGTGTGTGTGTGTGTGTGTGTGTTCGACGAAAAGATACCACCACCCGAACCGACCCGAACCACAACGTAAAACCCCTTTCATTCGTTCATTCATTCATCCAATCATTCAACAGACGTAAACACGCGCCTGAACACAACACTGTGGATACAGAACCCGCCCAACGGAGAACTCGATGGATTAAGGCACAGAACGCATGTGGAGCACACATTCTTCTCGACAGACATCTGCATTTTCATTTGTTTTTATTGTAGCTCGTGGTACTGAGTTTAGCGGTGTATCGGAGATTTGCAATCGTTTCCACCCGAACCTATTCATTCATACGAGTATTGTGGGATAAACTGGACAAACTGCCGATGAAGTGTGGTAGGAAAACAGTGGGGCCTCGGCGACTGACTTGACTGGGTATTGCAATTGTGGCCCTGAGTGCTTGCCTCCCTACATTGCCAGAGTACGGTAAACAGGTGTGCAAGTTTTCCTGCTCCATGTCCTGGGATCGAAACCAATACGCACATGAGGCACTTGTAAGCGGTCCCTTTGCAAAGTTTTGTGTAAATTCCTTAAAAGTCATGTGCTTCCGGATGCCAGCCTGAGCCAATCCTGCCAACTCGACAGCCAATTCGACACCCTGAACACGCTCATTCGATACCCTGCAAGGCCAATTTGACACCCCGAACAGGTCAATTCGATACCCTGCCAGGCTAATTCGACACCCTGTTAGGCCAATTCGGCACCCGGACAGGCCAATTCAGGCCCAGTACAGCCCAATTCCGGGGCTCCACAGCGCAATTCGAATATCTCCGGCGAGCCTGCCAGAACAGTTCAAGACCCCGACGGACCAATTCTTTTGTCAGGAATAAAATCCAGGCTAATTCTGCAACAGAGCTCTTCCCCAATTCCAGCCCGGATCCTACCCTCCTGCCTTATTCACACCCGGGGCCGAATTTCGGCTGCGGGTACTGTGGTACGGATCCGCACTGCCCGCCTTATTTACCGACCTCTGGATTGCACTGACCAACTATTTACTGTGAAACTACATGTGTCCTGTATTGCGAGCAGCAGACGGGGTTCACGGACATGTGGAATTCTTCTTTTCGAATTCTCGGCGAGGATGAGTGCAGCGGGTTATCGACAGAAGATAACGCCGCGGCGGGTTAATGGTATGAGCCGCAAGACTTGCATAAGTTAGAAAATGATTGCTGCTGTAATACTTTTTGCACGGATTTTCACTACGCACGGACGACCAGTTGATTTGCCTCGCGTCGCGCCAGCTCGGGTTTCGGTGATGCCTGTCTTCCGAAGGCTCGTGGGTTGGGAAAATGCATGGACGATTTCGGGCTGGGGAAATCGGGGCAACGGGTCTTTGCATGTTTGCAAATTGCTTCCCAAGGTGGGTTTTGAAACGGAACGCACAACGCAATCGCAAGGACCAGCTGCCTGTGAACGCCATCCTGTCCATTCTGGTTTGGGGTTGTCGTCGGGGCTGTCCGCCCTAGAGCTACGAAACGCTGCAATAGGGGTTCCAGGTGATCACAGCTGTGGAGAACCTAAGTTTACACCATGAAGATGAGTCAGGCTTTTGGAAGCAGCGCTCTCGTTTTTGTGTCTTGCGAAAGCTACCCATGTCGCAGAACCCCAGTACTAGCTTCTGCAGGAATCCTTAAGCAAAACGAGCCGCCATGACAGAGAATCATGAAAGTATTTTCTTTATATCAATGTCTTTTACGCTGACGGATGTCGAACTGCTGATATTGTGATGGATAAACTACCGCTATCGATGCTGCTGTGACAGCTATCGGGCGTCTATGTCAGTGCACACCGCATGCAACCTTGAAGTCTGACTGCAGCTGGCTGAACATTAGTGTAACGTAACATCCTGTACACGAAGCACGTGGAATGACTGATGGATTCGGAGCGCATTCGAAAATGCATCTGACATGCTGCGGCATGGCGCTGGACTAAAGCGTAAGATGCAGTAAAGTCTTCATCCTGGAGAAACTGTCGTCTTGATCTGTAGGCTTACGTTGCATTGCTGTGTCGCCTCTTTTACTAAATGAACTTCCGGGCTTGCTGTATCTCCTATAAAGCCCGAACCGGAAGCGGTTTGTAGTTAAAACGACGCAATATGTGGATTTATCAGGCTGTAACAAATGTTGGTAAGCCATATTTCCCACAGGGTTTCATGTCTAGCTCGCCACCAGCAACAGATGCCGTCATGCTGCAGACAACTATGTTGCTAACACCTTGGCGACGTATTCTGCATGGCGTAAGATTCGCCGTTCGGCTCACGCCCGGCACTGTCGATGCGCACTCTGTCCCGCAGGGGTTCAGGTGTTGGTCCTTATTGCCCTTGGGTACCTTTTTGCGCGCTTCAAGCTCCTCGAGCAAGCGAAATTTTTGCCCCAATCAAATTTCGTTGTCTTAATGCTGGCTTTGCCTGCCTTCAATCTGTACCTCATGGGCATCAAGCTCGACCTGCAGAACCCCGAGCCATGGAAGTAAGTGGCTGGACGCAGAGTGCCGGCATGGTATTTCGAAAAGGAGCATTTGGGTCACGTCAGGTACTGAACTTAGGTTAATCTATGCTATGTTCCGCCAGGGTTCTTGGAGGTGCCCCTCGGCACCGACTGGGGCCTCACCGCACCAACCTTAACAATCATTTCTATCCGTATCTTTAACTGTCACGCAGGTCTCTTGCAGCTTTCCTCCTCTGGGTCTTCCTGGTCCAGGCCTGCATTTTGGCGTATACGTGGCGTTTCTGTGGTGGAGATGCAGGGGAAGCTGCAGTAATAAATATGGTACGTTTGGACCTCAATAAGGGGTCGCCCGTCACCTTGCCTTCCTACGGCATTTGCATGGGCGTGTACGAATGTCCTTCAGAGTATCATGCAGCTCGTATGCTGTCCTGCAGACAGCACTCGTATGCTAGTCTCACCCCCTGTGACTCGCGTCTTCGTTCAAATGTGAAGTCACGGCACGTGTGACAAAGTCGGACCTCCGGTTGTTTCATCCCTGCCTAGTTATTCATACGCATAGTCCTGCCGCAGAACTGCAGTGCTCGTCTGGACCCCACACGACCCTTCCACGCATACCTGCCAAAATTCGCTCTCCACCAGGTGCTATTAATGGACAACTACGCCATCACGGGGCTTCTGGCGCTGAACGCCACTCTGGGTACCAAATGGGGGACTCTGGCGCTTCTAATGGTGGGGATTAAGGACGAGGAAAACTGGAGGCAAGGAGGAGGGGGACTTGTGCAGAATGAGCTGAATAGATAGGGCTCACTGCACATTGACATAAAAATGCTGGAAGAAGGGATCGAACAGCTGAGTCTTTGGGGGTGGAGGTCGGGAATAGTGTGCCTCAATTACCAAGGAGAGATACACAGCAATCTTGTTGTGCCAACCAGGCCGGTGGTTGGAATCGACATTGTAGTGTAGATCACTCCATCCTTCAGTCACAACCCCGCACTAAAAAATTTGCACGTACTGCCACGTGCCGGTTGGAAGTCTGCCGAGGGCCTGTAACTCAGTGCTGCTAAGTTAGACAAAGAGCAGTTCGTAACGTGGAATGTGTGCAAGGCGTTTGCCAATAGATGTAAACTCACCCATTACGAAGGCTTGTCCATAAAGCTGTACGATACCTTAACTTGCGCCTGCGTGTGCATCTTGTTCGTCAACATCATGTTAAGCCATACACCGCCCCGTCCCTCACTCCGCATCTCCGGTAATTACCAGGCCATGGGCTTTTTCCTCGTCATTTTCCCCTTCTCTCTGGCGGCATTTGAGTGGGAGAAGTGGGCCGTGCAGCAGCACGTGGAGGCAATCGCGGAAGCAGCTGCTGTCGACATTGAGGCCGCGGCAGCGGCTGCAGCAGAGGCGGAGGGGGTGGACGGCGTGAAACAGCCGCCGGAGGCATCCGGCTTTAACAATCAGCCACTGCTCCTGGCTGGCACGCCACCGCCACAAGGGCTGCCGCGCTGCACGGAGAATGGTGTCGATCTTGAAGGGCATGTTCCTAAGGCCGATGGCGAAGTGGAGCTGTCTGTGTGTCTGGATGCTGACCATGTTCAACCACAGCGGCAGCCGCCATCCGATGGCTCCAAGCCCTCGGCAAACGGCGGCGCTGATGCTGGCGTTCTGGTCCCCACGTCGAGGGGAGTTGACCAGGGCGGCGAGAGTCAGCAAGATGAGAGCAGCTTTCCGCACGAAAGCAGGTGCGTACTTTGTAAGTATTAAACTATGCAATGAGGCATGTCATGAAGGAGTTTTCCAAATCTTCTCTACGTGCGTTAGGATAGGGGTGGAAAACACCTGGTATTTTGTAAGGAACCTGTCGTCAAGCTGTTTCGGGGCGCCTTCCGGACGAATCCCGAACATCTTTGTTAGCACCTGCCTGCTGGCTCAGGTACTGCTGGTGGAGCAATGTGGACTACCGACCCGTACGCCCCCTTCTGGGCAGCGAAGTCGCTCCGAGTTCGCAGCCTTTACAACGAACTGCAGCGAAACAGCAGTGGCAGCCCCATCGCCGCCAAGGGCTGCTACCAGAACAACTCCGCCGACAGCAGCAGCAACTACGGACAGGTGCCTATGTGCCGCCGGTGCTACTGCCAGCGCCGCCCGCGGGCATCACCTCGCCTGCTGGGTCCAGCCACCCCCTCGTGTCTCCATTCGAGGCCCGGGCGACTGCTGCCTTTTCTAATGACGTGGCAATAGGCACTGCGCTGGAGAGGGGTCCACAGCTGCAGCCGGCCACGGCTCTGGCATCGGCTGGGCGGCGACCTGTGACGGTCAGCAGCGTCCCGTCCCAGAGTCAGACTCCCAGGAGCGGCCTGGTGGAGCACCGCAGGAGCTCCCTGTTGGCATCCGTGTTTGAGCGGCTGGCAGCAGCTGGCTCGGGCCAGCTTCCGTTTGGTGACTTGGGCAGGACGGGAATCGTTACGCTCCCTCCTGAGCCCGAGAGGCCCAGACTACAGGTACAGACTGCGGCTCTGAACGATGACGTGAACCTAAAGGCCACATACGCAAGGGGACTCCACAGTGAGGTCACCAACAGACCCTTCAGGCCTTCAGTGTGGGAAGTTGTGCCTTGTTGCCGAGTTAAAAAGAGGGTATTTGGGTTTCAAGTGATAGCTGTGGTAATGGGTTTTCCTCCGCTCTCCGTTGGGGGTTGTTATAATGTTGTCCGTGGCCAGATCCCAACACGCCATTTTACTGACCTGGTACCTAGCGATGTAATTGTATCGCATCCGTGGCGGATGGGGCTCCCAACTATTGTGACCCTACCGCCACAAGCTTGCCGGCTGCAGCGACCACTTCCACCTCGCCACCCCTTTGACCTAGGCGACTTACCACCACAGCACAAAGAAAATAGTAGCTCGATTTTTTTTGCAAGTAGTCAGGATGTTTCTGCTCTATTCACTCCCTACATGCCTTACCTTGCCCTGGAACGCTACTAAACTCAAGAAGCAACGTGCATCATGCTTGACTGCTGGCTTAGCATCTCAAGTAATCGCCTATGCGGGGCTGCATCCGCCTGTTTACAAGAACGGCGCCCACATCCATGACCTGCCTCCTACCCGCCAGGACTTGGAGTTTGCCCTGACACACCAGCTGTCGGGCGGAACCGCAAGCCAGCTAGCTCGTATCAGTCGAGGATATGCGGCAGCCGCTGCAGCAGCCACCGCTGCAGCGGCCAGCCCCGATGCCAACCTTCGGCGCATGCTGCTGGGGGCCGCTGGGGCTGGAGGTCGCAGCCCACGTCAGATGGCTTCGGCTGCCTCCCGCCAGGGTAGTGAACCAGTTGGACTGACACACCTGGCAGCCGCTGCAGGCCCTGCCGTGGGCATTGCGACGCCTGGCAGGGCTCCAGGTAGCATGCCCCGGACGGGGATAATGCAGCCTCCGCCTTCCGCCTCGACAGGAAAGGGGGGAATCGGAGGCCTCGGGCCGTTAGTGCTATCGCAGCAGCCTCAGGGTGGTGGTGCAGGCGACGCCGGCACCACGGGGACCTCAGCCGCACCTACCACGCTGGCTTCCCTGGAGTCTGGCGACTCCATAGGGCCCCCACTGCGCCCTCCTATGCCGGAAAGCACCGATAGCGATGCGGCGACGGCAGCGATCAAGTATTCTGAGCTCGCTTGCCCTACATTAAGCCAACAGATAGCCTCTAGCGCTGCCGCGCCGTGGCATGCGGCATCGGCTCAATTGCGGCCACCGGCAGCTGAAGGACATCTGTCCAGCATGAGCACTCCTATGTTTAGCTTCGAGCGGCAGTCACAGCAGCGGCGGCCCGCTGCCGCAACAGGGCCAGCCAACACTGCGGCCGGGGCGTCAGATTTCCCCCGTCAATGGGGTACTGTAAACCGGTCAGCATCGGATACCGGCCAAGTGGATAAGATGCTGCTGAAGCTGGCGTCCGGCCTAGCACTGGACACTGCCATGCGGCGCACCGTGTCGGGAGTGAGTTCTTGAGGCTGTTCCAATCCGTAAGGCGCAAAAACATTCGTTCTACATCGGTGTCATACCTTTCCTTTTACAAGAGCAGGATCCGCCCTTCCTGGGAAGGGCATGGGGGGCTCCTTTGGGTCATGCTGTGTCGAGCCGTTCTTCCAGCGCGGAAAGGGGGCTGTCAGGGAGAGTTGCGTATGGGGCTCGTTTATTCAATCGGTGCGGTAGCACGCAGCTTCCTGTGCGTCAAGGCACAATGCTTACTTTGCTTCTCGTTGTGTTTCGCATCTTCTTCGCATGTCTGTCAGGCCCCTACTGTTTCAGGCCTCCGAACCACTCGCCCGCTCATCCCTGCTCCCAAACTTAAACCCCATCCCTTACCAGCATGGCGACCGCAGCCCTCTGCTGGCGGAAATCGACCCCAACGTGCTCGTGCAGCTCGCAAGCGCCGTTGCTGTGCCGGACTCGGGTGACCTGAGCGCCTTGGCGGCTGCCGACAAAGAATTGGTGCGAGAGGCCACCAGAGAGGCGCTGCGGCGGCATGGGGGCGTGGCGCGGGCCTTCGCTGCGTTTGTGTCAGGACACCCACAACTTTGGCACATCGTATCCACATTGGCCCGGGTAAGAGGGTCCGAGGCGCCCCGGGCCCCGCACTTGCAACGCAGTACCTTTATTCCCCATGCTTTGACGTAGGTAAACGTGCAGGGTGTCTTATTTGTCTGTCATGTGCTTAAGACGCTGTGCAGCGTGAAATGAACGGTTGGTGGCGTTACTTCGTGACGCTGATGATGCAACAAGAGGATGGCCGGTGACACCGTGCTGCGCTAACTGTATTTTAACATTGGTCGGAAGCACGTGACAAACAAGGAAGGCGCCCTGCATGTCGTCAGCCTGCTGCTACATCGCCTCCGTGGTGCGTGCGTACACGCACGACCCAACTATGTGCCGCCGGGGCTTCCCATGCCTTGCAGAATCCCATGATTTGGACCATGTTTGTGGCGATGACGGTATCGGTCAGCGGCCTGCGCGTGTTCCTTGACCCCGCATCCCCGAGGTACCGTCCCGAGGTCGGCTGGATAGCAGGGTCACTATCCTGGATTAACGGCCTGGTGGTGCCCATTTCCATCTTCTCAAACGGAGCTTGGGTAAGGACGCGACACGTCGGGAAGCGGAATGGAAGGTGAAGGAGAACCAGCTACGTTGGGACTTAACATGAGCTTTTTTTAGTTTTGCGCTATGGGGGAAGCGCGAGAGCTAATGTGGACGTATGAGTATGTGGATGTGTGAACTAGTGTGGGTCTGGCACTGGGACAGCGAAATTGTGAGACCTGTGCAAATGTCCATGGTTTCAATGGTGGGAGAAGTGGGCTACCTTGTTGCTGGGAAGGTCTCGTCCTGTTTAGGGCACTTGCCTAGGGGGACCTGTTGTGCTGTACTGTCACGGACAGCGGATTGGGCGGGAGTTGGGACCGCACGGGGACATGCTTGAAGTGGTGAAGGCCGCCTGGTCCCTTTGTAAGCAATTTAAAAGGGGAGGCGTTACCTCGTGGGGTTGCAAACAGCACCTGCAAATGCAGTATCGATATCGTGCTTGTGTTTCACCGTGGCTCGTTTTGCAGGCTCCGTGCCTTCTTTCTGTGTTACATGAGGTGTGGATTGCCTTAACATGTGGCAGACGTGTGTGCCCGTTGCTGCTGCCCATGCAGATGTACAGCAAACCATTGCTACCCAAGGGGGAGGTGGTGAAGGTGCGCAGGATGCAATCACTGTGACGGGGTTGGACCATTCCTGTCCGCTCGCTAAGAACGTTCTTTGACATTTGTGTGCGTAAAGCTTTCATCTCCAATCAGCTGATTTGTATTGTGCTTTCAATCTCCTCTGCTCGTTGTATCAGGTCCTGGTCCTGCTGCTTATTAAAGTGGGAGCTCTGCCCCTTCTGATGGCGGGCTGCGCGCTGCTGGTGAAGCTGGACGAGCAGCACGTGGCTGCCATGACGGTACTCACGCTGTCGCCTGCGGCGGCCGCCAGCTTCGTCCTTGCCGTACAGTACGGCCGAGGAGTGGAATTGGTTTCGCTTACCAACATTTTGGGGAATATTTTCCTCACGCCGCTGCTGATCATGTGGCTCAAAGTGCGTTTGCCAGGACGGGTGGTGGATCGTGTGGCAACTGCAAGGGGCTTTCTGTCGGGCTGCAAGGACACGCGCAAGGGACCAGATGCAATGTGCTCCGGAGACCACCTTGTATTTGTTGCTATGGGATGATACGGTAATAATCATACAACGGCCGACTCCAAACACCACAGGTTTTATGCTTAGGTGTTGCGGCAGTCCTCTGGCCCAACGAAGAGCATTGCTGCATGCCATAAGCAGCCTGGACCTTTTGTTTATGTTACTTGGTGTGCGTGTCACCCTTGTTGCTATGTCCCTGCGCAAACCTTCCGCACGGCAGATCCTGGCGGCGCTTCGCATTAACTTCCACCTACATGATGACGCTTAAGTCGGTTGCTCCGGTACCATGAAGATAGACGGCGCGGGGCCCCAGCCGCGAAGTATGTCCCCGAGATCGATTTCCTTTCAGCATCAGCCGTTATTGTGGATGCTGGCGACTGAACGGGGTTGGTTAACTTCAACGCGGGTGGCGATATCTGGGCATATGCTAACAAGGCGTTAACGTCTGTGCTGAGTATTGCTGGTCCTGTCATCAGCCGCCCAACCAGGCTGGAATATTCTGCTATTGGACAGGTTGTGGTGGCGGCAGTTGATGACATTGCTAGCAGGTCTGGTTGTGGAGCAACCACTTCCGACAGCGGCAGCAGGTTTGTAGCAAGAAGATGGTACAGGCAATATGGAAAGGGCTGGCCATTCAGCGTTTGCATGTGTGTGTGTTATGCCTGCTTGCAAGGTGCATGTAGATCGTGAGTTCGAGAGGTGTATATACAGCGGAGAGAGTTCGGTTTGGATGAGAGCGGGCGGGCGCCTTGGCGTGCTTTGACAGCAAGGAGGGGACTTGCGAGGCCTCAATCCTTTTGCAGATGCGGTGCAATGCTGCATTTCTCCGCGCATGGAGATGCCTTGTGGAGGGTGTCATATTTGCACTAAGTGTACTCGGTGTCCGAGGCACACATTTTCTTGCCCTGGACCATCTAGGGTCTGTTTTTTTAGGACCAGTCTCTGTGTGTTGATGTCCTGTTCCCTGGTACTTAATAGTTTTCGATGATTGTACATGCAGGCTGCAGAATATACCTTTGTTAGTACTTGGAGCCGAAAGAATCACCCATGGATTCTGCACCCATACACTAGAACTATATCACGTGCTGAAGAACTCAAGCAGGTTCTTGGTACAAACACTCACCGGCTAAGGGATATAGTGTGGCGGTCGGTGGCCAGGATGAAGACCTCTTGGGTTGCCCATGTAATTACCATATCCCCCGACGCGTCCGAAGTCCTGTGTCACTAGGAAGCCTGTCTGGGCTCTGGGACATAAGGAATCCCCGATGATTAATCGGATGGTCAGCCATAACCAACAGAGGCAGTGATGCACCAATGATGCACCAAAGTTGGCAGCAGCAGTACTGTACACATGCGGCACGGCTAGCAACGATAACTGATCACTGCTGCATACCTCGCAGTATGACAACTGACCAGACATCAGCAAAAGGAGCATTTCTGGTTTCGGGAACGGGCGGGTCCATTTCTGTCTTGCCCGTCCAAATTCTATTACGGCTCTGGCCGTCGGACGGCCCTTTCGGGGAGCAGAGGAGCTTTCATAAACGGCGGATAGTCATATTTCTGCAAGCGGGTCGGCTTCGGGAACTCTATTTCTGTTTTTGGTAGTTTCGGTACGACCCGAAGTGCCCGATGTCAGCAACTGACCAGCCAAAACATGTATGGCCCACCAAATATGCCAAAGATCTAGAAAACGACGCTTAAGCAAGAGATAAAGCAGTGGAATGAGTCAAACCATGCTGCCCTCTCTTGGAGTACGATACATAGTATATGTGTCGTACTCTGCCGATGAAGCGCAGTCGATGACCAGTGCTGTTATGCGGAAGTCATTAAGATGCTTCGCTTGATGCCACTCTTCTCACTAGCCATCTCTCGTAATAAATTAAAACTCACCTAAATGATTATCTATAACCAAATCGTCTTCCCAACCACCCGCCAACGGCAAAAGCCAGCAACGCAACAACTCCCGACCCACTATATACACCCCACGTACGAACTACCAACCCTCATCCCGATCCCAAGAACCCAACCTTCCTTTAATATCCTTTTCAAACAAAAGTGAAAATCGCCCAACCAGATCCTGCACACCGCCCACCGCGAATTCGCTGAAACGTGCAAATCATGCAGAAGCGCGACCCTAGGAAAGGAGTAAAGGTCATTCAAAATGTTATCTGCGGAATTAAAATGGTAAATTTATGGTGTTATTACAGCGGACAGGATGATCAATCTACATATATAACTTTGTGTATCGCAATTACCCTCTGCATTCGATACCCTCAGGGTATCGAATTGGCTGTCGAGTTGGCAGGATTGGCTCAGGCTGGCATCCAAAAGCACATGACTTTTAAGGAATTTACAGAAAACTTTGCAAGGGGACCGCTTACAAGTGCCTCATGTGCGTAATGGTTTCGATCCCAGGACATGGAGCAGGAAAACTTGCACACCTGGTTAGGGCCACAACTGCGATACCCAGTCAAGTCAGTCGCCGAGGCCCCACTGTTTTCCTACCACACTTCATCGGCAGTTTGTCCAGTTTATCCCACAATACTCGTATGAATGAATAGGTTCGGGTGGAAACAATTGCAAATCTCCGATACACCGCTAAACTCAGTACCACGAGCTACAATAAAAACAAATGAAAATGCAGATGTCTGTCGAGAAGAATGTGTGCTCCACATGCGTTCTGTGCCTTAACCCATCGAGCTCTCCGTTGGGCGGGGCATGGCCCACGAAGTTGCCCATGGTATTCTGCCCATGGAACCAAACACTGACACAAAACGTTGCACGTCTGGGCCCATGTAAACCACGACACTTCCGTGTGGATTGGCTACCCGCGCTCCCCATGTCGGGGCTCCTCCCTCCTGCTGGTGACTCCCAGATTGTCCACGCACAAACGCCAAACGTTGGCGCAGAAAACAGACAGGCCACTGCAGTATGGCATCAAACCATGCATAACCCACAGCGGTTTTCAGCAGCAGTACTGCTTGGCCAATGCGACCAGCCATGTACTCCGTTGCGCATCAAACACCCATCCATGCGTTGCACTCCAGCAAACCATCGGACTCCATATAGTAATACACTGTCACCCCAACACGTGTGTTAGCAGCCGCGGACAAGTATGGGTCCAGGTTGATCCCACCAGGAGTGAACACCTCGTGCACCAGCTCTATGATACTCAGTGGGGTGAAACACTCGGGTAAGGCCCGGTACGCTCCCTCTCAGTGCCGTGGCGGCACGAAACGGGGAGAGCTGTAAATCTTCTGCATAGGAGGGGGTGTATGTAAGGACACACGGTCTCTCAAAACACCGTTCGCAATGTTTCCAACTGTATTCGGCACTGCACAGGGACATGGCCGCCCCGCGTTTTTGACACAAACTCGCGATTAACTCTCTGCAACCAATAGTCCAGATTTCTCACCTCGGCCATTTGCTCACCGCTCCTACATGACAGCAACCTAGCTTCTAGATAAACATCGCTACACAATGAAATTGGGTAGTTATGTAATACTATTGTAAGGTTCGCAACTGTGACATGCTTGTGACTCAAGCCTACATGGCTGCCCAACTCTTGTTGTACGGAAGCGTGATGCATCGCATTAAAGCATAACAGTGCACTTCACCGGAAGTGCTTTTGACATAGTTATACAACTCTGTGTCGTTGTTGCGCCATCTCTGAGGCGTGTTCACTTTTGAAAGCTGAAGTCATTTACACAACAGGGAAGCATTCTGAACATCCTTGTAATCCAGTATACTAAGTATGCCATTTTATATCATCAGCGTAGGTTCTTGCGTCGAACGGTGGTAAGTGAACCATGGTGCATGCATGGAAGTATTCAGAGCGGAGAAGTCTCAGCCCTCTGCTCTGGGAGTCCTGGAGAAAAGCCAGCTTGATTGCAGAGTCTGTGGACGCCAGCACACGGTTAACTCGTGTTGCTGTGGCCACCCAGCGCCATGCACGGTTCTGTATCCACAGTGTTGTGTTCAGGCGCGTGTTTACATCTCTTCGTCTGTTGAATGATTGGATGAATGAATGAAGGAACGAATGAAAGGGGTTTACGTTGTGGCGTCTCGCCCTGCCACTGGTTCGGGTCGGTTCGGGTGGTGGTATCTTTTCTCGAACACACACACACACACACACACACACCCACACACACACACCCAGCACACACACACCCAGGGGGATCCTCAGAGTCGA